CTGGGTCCAGTCCTACTCTCATACGCGGTCGAACGCCCCCCCCCCCCCCCCCCCTTTTTTTTTTTTTTTTTTTTTCCCTTTCCCCCTTTCCCCCTTATTCCCCCTACCACCCTCACCACCCAACCCACCAATACTAACCCCCCAAAACAGCTAGCACAAATCTTCTCCTCAGTCCTCGGCCGCAAGATCACCTACGTGGACCTCACCGAGCCCGAGCTGGTCGAGCGCTGGGCCGGCGTCGGCCTGCCGGCCGCGTACGCAGCGGTCCTAGCGTCCATGGACGCGGCGGTGCGGCGCGGGTCCGAGGAGCTCGCCAGCGACGCCGTGCGCGCCACCACCGGCCGCGACCCCCGCGCGTTTAGGGATTTCGTCGAGGCGAACAAGGCGACCTGGGCGCAGAGCTAGAAGTTGGCGGGGTTGGTGCTGGGGATGACTTGGTTAAGAGACTCGGGCTTCACCCTGCAGTTATGTTACCTAACACAGTTCGTGTATCACGGCTATCAACACCCGGTACGAATGGTAAAACTTGGTGTTGTATTTTGTGTTTTGGCGTGGTGTACGGCGGTAAGAGGGAAGGGAGATGAGACCAGAGATTTATTTGGTGTACGAGGGTATGGATTTGGTGCGTTTAGTTAGCCAGAGACGTAGAGTAACCATGGTCCGAAGCTTTTGTCAACCCTCGGCGAAGCTTGACGTAGAAGCTAAAAACACTTGACTCTCTCTTAGCCAAGCTTATATATATAATTTGATCAGCATCATGTTGACTCCTGCCATACAGAAGATCTCAAAGCTCTATCATTTCACATTCTTAGGCCCGGGGTACATATGTCACGACACTGGTATCGTATATTACGTGCTCCTATAGTGTTTATATTCATGCCCTCATCGGCTCAATGCTTTTTTTCGTGTGCTCATCTAGTGTACAGATTTTTAGAATGACACGTATCGCGAGCTTAGGTTGGCCTTGCTCTTGCCCCCGGCGCGAAGCACAGGACGATATCATTCGGTTTTACAACCAGAAAAATTAAACCTCCTAAAACTTTTTCAGCTATCTTACTCCATAGCTGATTATTACAATGCAACATAAGATAGAGTCTTTAAGACGAGCTTGATGCTTCAGCTAAAGAAATATGCAAAGCAGACATATGCTAACTTGGTGGCCAGTTACAAAGAAAACCGGAAAGAGAATTTAGTTGCCTGACATTTTCAAGGAGCGACTTGGACTTGTACTCGGCACATCCTTAAGACCCTTGTGCAAGTCTAATGAGACGTCCCATCACCCTTCTTATTTTCCGTGAAGCTTTTCCTTAAGATAGACAACTGCAGCGTAGCCGGAACAGCACTGGGTACTCATGCCATGCCCGCACCACGGGCACTTGACCATCGTGGTGATGGTAGCCGAAACGCCAAGCAATTTGTCCTCGACAATAGAGTCGGGCTTAGCCATGCATTCGTACACCCGCGAGGGCATATCGTGGAAGAACTTGCAACTACAGCATTCAACCAACATTTTAGCGAGAGGCTCCGATCGGTTATCCGGAGTTCCGACGCTCTTGATACTAATGGACGAGTTTTTATGCGTATAGTGCGGTCGCAACGCCCTAGAAGTAGAGGTGGGCGGAACCGGCGCGGCTTTTCGGGCTTCTTGAAGGTAAGCGGCACCAGGAGAGACTATGGTGGCAGGTTCATCATTGTTGGCACTATTTTTGCGAGACGTTCTCAACGCGGACTTTCGAGGACCCCCATCAACTATTTCCGGTGGCGGCGTGCCAGGTAGACTAGCTGATATTGTAGCACCTCTATCTTTCTTCTGCTGTAGGGCCCGGTGCCTTAAATCTGGCAAGAAATTCGTTGAATGGACATCAATAGCAGATTGAGCCCTAGGAGGCAAGGAATGTTGGACCTGGTTCTTATTCATAAATTCATCCTCGTCCAGACTTTCCTTGATGTCCTCCGTAAAAGAGGCTGAGGTAGGGTTTGGCACTAGTTGCGGGCTAGATTTCAGACTGTTCAAATTGGATGCGGCAGCGGTATCATTTTCAAGATCTATCGGCAATGCAGTTCGGCTCCAGCTGTCATCCTGACCGATCGCATCTCTACTAGTGGATCGTGAAGTGTTTTTTGAAGGCAACTCCACAGCTGGGGGTCGGTAGGTCCTTCGTGGAGTCCTGTCTTGAACGTCCGTCCGGGGGGCCGCAGCTTCTTTTTGCGGCCGCGCTCGCGAACTGTCGGGTGTCGGTAACATGACCGGCGACGGAGGAGTATCGTCGCATGTGGAAGATGATGACCTCTCCGAATTGGTCCTACTGGGATCCGTATTTGATTGAGAAGTCGATGTGCTGGATGTTTCTACCCCGGCAAGAATCCTTGCGGCTTTCGGCGATATGCCCAGGCGTTCGAGTGCCGGTACATCGCTATCGGAATAATGAGAAGAAAGAGAAGGCGAGTTTTTGGTTGGCCTTTGTCTTACAATCCTATTAGTGACATTTGAACTTGGCATAGCAGTTTGACTTGGGTATTCGGACGGCGAGGTAACTTCGTTGGCTCTTTTAGCCGGAATTTGCCGTAATATACGATATAAGTTGTCATCTTCCTCGGGTTCCTCATCGATTCGCGGCGATGTGAATTTGCCGTCATTTGGTGATCGTAGCTCCAGAGAGGGAGGAGCATACGACTGATTGACGAAGGAGAAGTAATCAGCGGATCTGTCTGGCCTCTGCGGGTTTCCTGCGGGTATGACTTCCTCTCCTTCGGTCGACTGATTTGATTTTGGTGGCTGCGTGACAGGTATTCGCACTTCTTCGTCCGTCGAATCAGACGTGACAGCTCTCCCGATCATGTTCGGACTGGATGGGAAAGTAACGTGCGTCCTTCCGTCCGTCGGAGGGGAATTACGTCCTTGTCTTCGAGAAACTGGCCTGATCGTTGATGCATGAGTTCCAATAGACCCCCCATCATCTTCTTCATCCCTACTGAGGTCAGGCTCTGCGTGGTTGAGCTTTTCATTTTTGATATAAGTGGGTTCTTGCTGGCTAGAAGGCCTTGGCCCTGGGGTGTGCTCAGACTCTACCCAACTTTCTACTCGCGGCTGCACATATCCATTCATCTGTTGATTGGTGTGGTACTTTGACTCGAGTCTTCGACGAAGTTGCTCAGCTTGTTGAGGAATGTCTTTGTCATTTTCTACATATTCGGCCGGCTGTCTTGGGGCCCGAGGCGCACGCTCGGGTCGAGATCGTCTATCTCTCTCCATAGCTACTTCTCGAGTCGGCACGCGATCCTGTGGCATCTGAATACGACGACCGCGGTATGAATTAGGTTCTGGTGCCTCGTATCCGTTACCAGTGTCTCCTGGATCTTCTATACGAGCTTGAGGCCGAGGACTACGAGCGACGACTTCTACTGTAGGTTGAGTAACGACATGTTTGGGTTTCGGCGGAAACGAAAACTCGGGAAGTTTTTGGGTAGAATCTACAGATTTCGAAGAGCGTTCTCTAGGGCGTTCTGGCTGTTGCACCACGGGGCGTTTCGAAGGTTGGTTGTCCGGCAAGCCGGTAGTAATATCTGCTTCATGAGAGCTGCTCGGACGCTGGAATTTGATGCCTTTGGAAATTTCGGGAGGGCGATAGTAGAGATAGGACGGCCCTTTCAGCTTATTCAAAGTGGATGAGAGTAATGATTGTGAACGACCATGGCTTGAACCGGCCGAATTCCGAGCGTTTGATGGTAATTGGTCCAGAGAAGAAATGGATCGAGTTGAATTCGAGACGGCTGACATGATCGAAGGAGGCTTTCGAAGATTTATCAAGTTAGAGTCTACCGGGGCGGAATTTTGAGGTTTCAACATAGGTGATCCTCCGGAATGATTTTCATCGCTGCTGGTTCTCTGGCCATCGAGGATTTTCTGGACGGCCGCCACATTCCCATGTTGTAATCTGAACCCAGATAAGAAGCCTTTGCTCTTCGGCTTGCTGTCAAGTTTCTGGTTGGTCATCTCGTCTGGTGGCGTTGGAATGGGAGTATCTAGTTTAGCAGCGTTAGATTTAAGAAAGCGGTCTAACTCAGGGGCTGATTGTGAACGGTCCGTCGTTATCAATGATTCAACCCCTTGAAAATTAGGTGGCGGAACCTTGCTCAGCTTGTTCCCCTTTTTCCTCAAAGTGTTTGCGGATTTTTCCTCACCCTTTTTTCCCGCGTCTGCGTCCGCGTCCGCGTCCTGCTTCTTAGGCTTCTTCTTTTTCTTACGTCCGTACTGTTCCCAGCTAGGTGATTGGCATATGGAAGACTGGCCAGAAGAATCGCCGTCATCCTCTACCTCGGGACCCGAGAATGTTACCGTTTTAGTGCGTTCCTCCTTTCTTGGTTGCAGGTCTCCGGGAGGTCCATTCGTTGCCACGGCAGGGTCCTCAGCCGAAGGAGGTATAGATATTGAAAGCGAAGGAAGAGCAGAGCTCCGCCGCACGGCTTTCATTATCTGGATTTGGTGCGAAAGCGGAGGATGTCCGCTTACACGCCGAGCCTTAAACGGTTTATCTGGCTGGGCGGAGGGTGAACTTGTACTTGGCGATATGATCGTCGCGGGGGTATGACCTTGGATACGTTGCATCTATAAGATGTGAGTAGACGGCGTATTAATGGTGCATCGGATAGCGGAGGGGTTAGGACGGAGAAAGGGGAAATTGGGTGTCTAAAAAGGGTCCAAAAGGAGGGTTGCATGCCGGGAAATTAACATACCTTGTACCTTTTCTCCAGATCCAGCATTTTTAAGAAGCTGTCAGACCTCGAAGGTAGGCCTGGGTCCGACTTCTGTACTTTGGTCATATTGAGGCTTACGCGTCAAGCGGTGCGTAGCAAGGCAACGGTGATGATTGCTCCAGGCTAGAAGTAACCCGGCTGCCAGGTATGTCAGGTATTCTAGGTATCGATCGGGAGAAGTTGAAAATGCGCGCTGGGATAAAGGGCCGGATCACCGCTGGTCGAGATGAAGCACGTTTGGTAAGAAAATATGCCAACTGGATAGTTGCTATTTCTGGTCCGGTACTCTGATCATAGAAGGACCGGAAATCGGCAGTGAGCTTGTGTGTAAGCAGGGGGAAAAAAAAGAAGAATATATCCTGCTGGTCTGGACTTTTCAGATGCGTACGTCCGTATAGCCGGGTTTATACTTGGGTCCCGGAACTTTCTCAACTTGTAGTAGCTACATTAGCTGGATCGGATTTGCTCGCTTACTCGTCTGGTTTTGCTTACCAGGGAAGGCTAGGAGCGCGGCAAGAAAGCGGCTGGGACGAAGCAAGTAAGGAGAGACATGTAGTAGGCGGGCTTAGATATCACGAACATAGAGCTTGGTGGTTTGATGAGCTAACGAACGAGGCGCACTTCTCTCAAGCGTCGTGGGGCCAGCGGACAGGTTAGATCAGATTCAGATCGAATTAGCTGCCAAGGTAGATACAAGGCTTGTCGCGTATGTGTTGAACATTAGATAGGCGCTCTCAACATTGTCTGAAAACGAATGGCAGGACTAAAGGTCCAGTCGGATTGGTCCAAAAATTAATTATTAGAAAACGAGAAGAAACAGGCGACAAAAAAAAAGTAACGAGAATGAGAAGGTGTGTGTTTGTGTTCTATGTATCCTGTGTGATTTCCATTCACCTCCAGGGAAGAAACATTGTATGCAAGTTATGTAGTTACCAATCGAAGACAAGAAAAGGAACAGGGAACATCGTGGACCTATGATTTACACGAGATAGGGAAACAAAAACGGTCTGTCGGGGCTTGATAAGTCAACCAAGCAGTCTAGGTAATCAGTAGGTACATATTAAGCTTTAAGCTTTAATCGACCCTTCCCTACGCTGATGAACTGCGACGATTGGATTTCAAGAGCCTAAGTGGACTGCAGTTGATGCCAAAAACAGAAAACAGTCGGTACTGGTACGGCCCGGGTACAGGGATTGCACTGCCCTATCGTCCGCCGTCGTCCGTTACATACCTAGAAGCTGATCTCCTTACATGTACATATGTTGCGTATGTACTTAGTGTTAGGTACCTCGGTAAGTCCCAATATAATATTGGAATTACACCATATGTTGTTTTACTACCCACAAGCTACCAAACGTCAGGTTGATATTCGACTGCATTACGCCAACACAAATTTACCGAGGGGAGTTAGGTAAAAACAGAAAATACCAGCTACGTCAGAGGGTAAGTGCAATAATAACTATTGACATGAGCCAACATATGTTGAACATTGAAATTACATGAGTGCAAGTACCTGTCCCTCGTTCGGTCAGCTGCATCTTTACGATCTCCACTACCACCATACATATAGGAGAGGATAGTCCGCAAGCTATTGGCGTGCATGTAGGCCGAGATGCAGTGTGCCTTGTCAGAAAATAACCAAGTACCTAACTTCGGCAAGTTGCTTGACGTTTCTAAATTTATGACATATACCTATCCCTTAATTGTATACATCAATAAATATATGTATGTCATCATCGTATTAGTTGATGTATTACATGTAGTTGATGCTTCAAGAGCGCTTGAGTTCCAAGTACCTAGGTACATGTTCATTTCTTGCTGACATAGCATTGGAGCATGTAGCTGTCCGATGTGCTTACCTCTTTCTATGTACATGATGTATTGTCGGATGACAACTGTACGAGTTATGAGGTATGAGGTATGAGGTATGAGGTAGCTACTTCCATCTATGTATACTACCTGCTTTCCTAGCGCGAGTTTACCATTACAGTCTTCCGTCGAATTAGGTAGTCGTCTGCCCCGTAGGCATTAGCGCCACTATGTAGTTTACTATCCGGTTGGTTATGTCAGATTATCCACTTGACCAAAAGGTAACTTGTAATGTCATAAAATGTCATTACTTATTATATGCGACAGGTTACAAGACGGCTGCTTCCAGATTCAATATTATAAGTGGCGATGTACAATGTATACTATCCGCCGTCTCTAAATAATAGGTACCTATGTACCGAACAATACGAGCTCGGACGAAAACATTTTTTTAAGCTGTCATAGCTCGTGTTCCTCACAACTAAACATCTTGGAAGCCTTGCACGGTCCTCTTAGACCTTCTTTATAAAACGTCTAGCACTTCGAAATCATTTTATTATCGAGCCTCGGAACCTAGCTACTCGTGTTAGACCACTTAATTAAACATCTTGGTAACACATTCGTTCTTAGCTGGCAAGAAGGCGAGGTTAGTTTACTACCTGCACATCTAGAAAAACATCACTGCCGCTGAATCTTTGCGTTCAGCCTGGACTTCAGAGGAGGGGCATATTTACTACTATACACTGATCGACGAGTCTTTTCTACTCTTAGTAAGAACGGTATAATTCACCCGGAAATGCCAAGACAGCCTCTTCCCAATTCTGGCGCGCATCGAAGAAGAAAAAGGCTTATTATTCTCACGATGGGAATCCATCTCGTCAGAATGGTATTTTAACCGAAATAGCCGTCTAGAGCCCCCATGCGATGTCGATTCGCCAGAGGTACGCTTGATTCTGATTTCACCTTCTACATAGCTGCTGCCCTCCAACTCCACATTTCGCCACGCCTGTCAGCTTTCCTTACATGGGTTTGTACGCAATGCAACCACGAAATGGGAACAGTCCGGGTTATCGAATCTGGGTACGACCAGAAGTCGACAACGAGATCCGTGAGCTATTAGCTTCTCCCTAGTCGACGACGCGCAAGCCAGCCCACAGTAGCTACTACTCTATGTACTAAACAAGTACAATAAGCTCAAAAGTCCAGATGGGCCAATTGTAGCCAATTGTAGTGTAAGCAAATTCCATCAGATGATTCCGTTCTAGACTGGCAAACGGGTAGTGTTTCGCGAGTATTCGGCCCCCCTTCAGAGCTATGACATTGCATTACATCTCATTATCCCTTTCGAGAAACGGATCGGGCGAGATCTGACGACATCTCAAGGATCGAGAACGTGTGGTTCGCTACGTTAGGTACTTATGGACAGATCCGCAGCCTATTATTGTATCCAGCTCTTGATGGCAAGCGAGCTTGCCGGGCAACTGGAGGAATTCCACAAGATCCTGTAATCCTGCACCTGAATTAGGTTGCATTTTAAGGCGTTAAAAATCTCCCTTAGATGGTGAGAGCCTCAGCTCGAGTTGCTTCTTGTAGGGTCTTGGCCTCTTGCGCCACGACCGGCACCCCTGTTCGCATTGGGGCGAGAACAGCTATTTGACGCTATTGCTGCACGCTTCATGTATGTATGATGCTCCATGTATATGTGCCTTTTCGTTGGAACGTCATGTAACAGTCACATAGTACGACATGTTGGCACACAGATTTCTCACTAGTTTCCCTCTTACCAGCCGTTAATATCAATCGTGGTCCTCATTTCGAAGCTAACTTTATTGAAGATGCAGACTCTTACCGAGCAGTATCTCCGATGTATACGGCAGGGCTACTTTGTCTTCTATGTAAGCACCGGGAGCAATAAATCGCGAGACCTACTATTTTTCTTAGGTACCTAAACTTCCTGGCTCAACCGAATCGGGTATTGCCGGTTTTCGTCTGGACTGAGATGCACCCAAACCTCGCTCCCAAGCGGGAAGTTCATCAGACCTATTAGCGGCCTGCCTTTTATATCAGCAGCAACTGGTTCTTTAGGTTTTCGTCGAAACTAATTCACTGTACGGATCCGCAACTCGTTTGGTATCCTAAGATGAGAAGCCATCCACTTGCTATCGGGCTGATGCTCGTGTCGCAGTTCGCCTTCAATAAGAACTTTTGTCTTCGGGGTTTCTTCGTCGGCCCAGGCACTTCTAACATTGAAATCAGGAAGTAGAACTCGGCTCAAGAATGCTAAGGAAGAGTTTACGGTTAAGTTCACTGCCCTTTTAGAATTTGCAATTGCTTTCATAAAAAAAGACATCCAATGAGGATATAATATGGCGAAATCTATTTGAGAAAGGTGAGTGGATCCTTTGATGATGAGCATCCAGCAGAGAGCCCCCCAAATTTTAGCTTCTTCTTCAATATCCTATATTCTCTTAATGTTTTCAGGCCAGTGAATAATTCCTCGGACTTGATGGCTAGGAGAGACTTGCGCAGGGGTTGGCGAGTAACTTCTCCTGCTTTTGGTGTGGCCTGTCCCCATGCATCAAGGAGGATACTTTGACTAATATAGGGGAAACGGTCATTCTGGCGAACGATTTCGGCTGTCGTCGCTCCACCGAAAGAGTGACCTATTGCCGTGACGTTCCACAGGAGAAGTTTACCATCCCAATCAAACCAATCAATACCTTCTAGCCCTTTAGAGCTCGACCTAGCATTGCCTTTCTTTCTCAAATTATTATTATGACCAAGTCTCCTTGACCATTATTGAGGAGCTTGAGGACATAGTACGCCTCTCCAATCTCAGACATGCGCATTTCGATTTCGGCGTGCCTAAGTTTAGTATCCATATCTTGGGCATTATGAGGTGACGTATCCAGACTGTACCATAACACGTTCGAGATCCCCCTAATGAAAATAACGGTGAAGTTGGGCTTGTCTCCACTTCCCGTCAATGTGTCTTAGCTGTAGGCACCAAATGATGAGCAAGATGCAGCACCGGCGCAGTCTCCGGCACGGTCTCCGGCAAGCTTTGTATTCCGGAAAGCGGGTAACTTAGTGAACATAGTCGTAGCCGCAATATAAGCTGTAACAGGCAAATGTGGCACACTGAAGAACTTCACGTACCCTTTACTCGTTAAAGCGCGCGGCCTCGGCAGCCACGTGGCTTTGGACGGTCTATCCCCTCTGCTCTGCACATAGGACGAAGGGTCACATGGGTAATATATTGAGAAGAGGACCGCATCCATCTGCAGCGCATGCGCATAGTTGTGTTTGATACGTGAGAACGTGCGCGGCTCGCGTACCGGCACTTCTATTCCCATTATCCGTACGCTGTACGGGCCGGCATAATGGGGCAGAGAATAAAACAAGTGATCTCGGAAAGCATTCCGAGGGCTTTCCCCCGGCCGTTGTCGTTGGCTATTTTGGTGTTTTCCATTTTTATGTGTAAGTGAACCTAGATGAATGCTATATTGGTAGCGAAGCACTTATTACGACGCGTCGACATGCGTGTTGAAATAGACCAAAAGATCTTTATATTAATTTCGAATTTCAATAAATTGCAGTGGAATAACAACTTATCAATCTACGAATCGAATTATACAATGACCATGTACGGACTTTCCGGCCACTAAACTTCGCCTAGACGGGATTGACGTCATAGACAGTTACATAGGGCTCAGGGGGGCCAGCCAAGTATATACTTTACAAGAAAACTAAGGAAATCGCGTTTCATCTCGTGACTTTTGATTCGAGGAAACCGCAAACGCGTTGCGATTTGATGCTTTTCTCGTTTCTAAAACATGTAACTTCCGGCTCATTACTTACCTCTTAACAATCGAGTTTCTCCAACTGACTTGTTGGCTTTGGCCTCTAAGCAATTTCTCGTTTCTTCCACATAAACTTATGTATGGCTGGCCTATGACATGTAGTCAATCGGATGAACGTAGCCGGTACAACATTTGTTCCTGCGTCCAAGTCTCAAGTGCCTGGCTAATCAACGTTATTTATGCGAGCTCGTGGGAATTTGAGTTTACGACGTCGTGCTCGGAACCCGAGTATGTGGTTCATTGAGTCAGTATTACGTTCGCTTAGCAACGGCGCTGCGATCAGATGGACCTTGATGTACTACCCCTATCTACTTACCTCGTATGGTATAACAACATGAAGCCATTTAATTAACTGGGTATGCTAGATTGTCCGTCTTGCTTGAACAAGAAACAAACTGATGGATATTTTTGATTTCAAGCGAAGGCACTGCTACTACCTGTGGCCGTGGAGGATGACTAGAGGATTTCCTTGAAGGGGAAAATAATGCTATTAACCTCATCATCGAATTAGCACCTCATGCTAGAGCCCCCATAGGTACGCAAGGAGGGGAGTTACATTTCCAGTCTTCCGGGGCGCATCTCGCTAAACGCCGAATCTAATCCCGCGGCTGGTTAAATTCGCCTCGATGCTACCCTCACTCCCACATTCCTTTTCGTTTCCCCAGATCCACCTGGGTTAAAGGACTGGCTGGTAGCTACCCAAGTCTGCGAGCCTGGTCGAAAGACCCCGGATCTATCTGATCGAGGAACCCACCCTCTCTCGACTTTAACCCGGCACATACCATACCATCTGCCCCTTCAGCGCGGAGAATTAAACCAGTCATTTCGTCAATCGGCAGGCGTATGTCGCCAATCATCGTGTAGACAATTGCAGACCAATGGGAACTCCTTCGCCGTCCAGCTGCCCCCCTTTTGCCCTTTCGCACGTGGATTTCGCAGCGAATCGCCCGATGCCAAGAGCAGAGGATGCAGCATGGTTTTATATAGCGAGGCAGCCACACGTGTATGTATGTATGGAATCGCGGCCCAGCTCCAGCTATTTATCTTGTCGGCCACATATCGGTGTGTTCAAGGCGAGTTTAGCCGGCATGGGAGAAGAAGTTGCTGCCACAACTACTATGTGTAGGGAGGAGGGAAAGGGGATTTCTGACTCGGAATCCTCTCTCCCTAGGGCATTGATTAGCAAGCAGCCAGACAGCCTTGTTTCACGGCATATAGCATATATTATCGTCCCTGCGCGGGAGACGCCCGATTCCCCCGAAGCTGAAAACCGACATCTAACGATGGGGGCCGCGCTACTAAGCCTACCCAAGTTCTAGAAGTCTAATTTCCACCTACTACTGTCGCAGTCAAGTCCGCCGGAAACGCAGGGAAAGCACCCATGGCAAGAAAGCAAGCTACCATGGTTCGCGTAAGAATAACGCATTGGCCCGCCTGGTTCCTGGACCGGGCGGCTGTTGCCGCCTTGCATCGTGGTTTGGCATGACCCTTTTAGACCCCATCTGTCTGCTGGTCTACTCTGCTTTTACATACATATGTCGGCCGTGGCATACCCGTGTTCAGTTCCATCGAGTACGTAAAACAAAATGCTTCCTGAGCAGATACTCACATCGCGGACTCCACCCGCGGCTCAGGAACGAAATTGCGCTTACGCGTGTTGTCGAAGCTTGATTATCGGACGCCACGAGCCAAGTCTAGAAGCGCCTCTTTTCTATGTCGTGATATAACCTAACTTAGTGCTCTTAAGATTTGTCGTCGAAATGTAAATGAGTGAATACGTAAAGTAGGAAGTAAGACCGCCCTGCATGACATGGCATGGATTATTATTATCGGTGTCGTACTCGTTATTCCTATCCAAGTAGTTTTTGAACGGTAATAGAATAGTTTGTACTACTAATATGCACGCAAGTTTACTATCTTTAGAGATTCTGCCCGAGACTGCACATCGTGAGTTGAGAGCTACAAGGGAAAAAAAGAAAGGTCTAGCCGTTGTCAATTTAGATGTAGAGAGAAGTCTTGCCGAGGTAGGCGATAGTAACGATACCGTATTGTCGAAGCTCCGGAGACAAGACGACGACGACGACGCTACGTTATAATTATCCTTAATGAAAGTCACCGAGAAGGCTGCATCTGTCGTTCGGGGTTTGATCGATCGATGTCCAGCTCAGCAAATAGTATTGTAAGAAAACGGGGCGTGCCGGATATCCGGCCAACTCGCACGACAACACAGAAACTTTGGACACATCGCTAATTGCGCAATCAGCAAACCAAATGTCGCATGGGTTTGTTCTTTTTGAGATACTCCCTATGTGAGGTTAAGCTACAGAATACAGGCGGATGGGTTGAAAGAGGGCCAAATCCATCATCTCCGCAAGAGTTGTTCCTCACAAAATAGAAACAAGAAGAACCACGCGAACACGCCGACGCCGACGCCTTCGCTCTCACGCTAACACCAGGCTAGTTCAGTTCTATACTATAGCTTTCAATGCGTCCGCTGCCCAAAAACTTAACCGACTTAGAACTTGTAAACCTGGTCCTTGGAGTAACCCAGCTCCTTGAGGATACCGGACAGCTCGCCCTGATCTGACGGGCTGATCTTCATACCGGAGATAGCCTTATACAGACCTGGAGGACCGCATACGAACACCTTGATGTTCTCGCTCTTGGGCTCAGGTAGGACAGTCTTCAGGAGGTCCTTGGTGATGAATCCCTTAGCGCCAGCCCATACTTTAGGGGGGTTGTCTAGGACGTAGAAGGCGCGGAAGCGGTTAGGATACGTGTTCTCGAGCTCGGCGAACTCCTTCTTGAGCAAGATGTCGTCCTCGGAGACGTTGCCGAAGATGAGCGTGACCTTGGTCTTGTCGTCGGGGTTCTTGAAGATGGCGCGGGCTAACTGATACATAGGCGTGATGCCCGTGCCACCGGCGACTAGCGCGATGTGATCGTGCTTGTTCGGGGTCCACGGGTACTTGGGCAGCGGGCCCTTGAAGTCCAAGCGCTGTCCGGGCACCATGTCGTGCATGTGCGTTGACATAGGACCATTTGGGTACTTCTTCACGATCAACTCGATGTAGCCCTTGTCATCTGTGCGCCTCGCGTATCAGTTAAAGCTATTTTCATCTCATCGGTGTAGAAGGGACTTGCCCTCATCGCTCGTAGGCGTGTATGGCCGCACGACAGGCTTCTGGCCCTCGTTCTGGTATTTGGTAAGCAGGGCGCTGGCTACAACCATGCCCGAGACCTGGTCATCTTCGGGCAGCTTGAAGATGAACTTCTTGGTGTTGTGGTTGATGATCTGGACGTCCTTCAGTAGCAGGGAGATAAAGCCCTGGTCACCACCAAGAAAGGCCTTTTTGGGTGGGCCGCTCGCGATATCCTTAGCCTTGGCCGCGGCCGAACCGGCGCTTTGCCCCGAGTAGTACCAGTAGCCGGCACCTGCGACACCAGCAGCGCCTAATGTGTAGAGAAGGGTGTTAGAAGAGCCGCTCTTGGCGGGCTCGGTGGCGTATGTGCGCGAGAGGAGATTCTAGAGTACGAAAAGCGCATGTCAGCATGCGACTGGGCGCAATTGAGACTTATTTCGAGCTCTTAAAAGCCAAATAGTTAAACTCGGAACTCCGGATGAAGCTATCGTATGATGACAGTAGATGTTGATTGTACTTACCCGCTTCAGCGGCTGAGCTGCGCGAAAAGCTGATCTGGCGAACATCTTTATGCGATAGGACCTAGGTTAGGAGGGTGGGACGGAGGTGGTGTCTATACAGACCAATTGAGGTTCAAAAAACAGCTTCTAGGTCTGGATGTTTACTGTTTGAAATTTATTGGAGACTAAAGAGGAAAAAGGTACGTCAAGAAAATACTCTATGCCGTATGGAGTTTCCCCGTTAGCCGGCAAGGCGTTAGTTAGTGTTACCTTAGCTAGCAGTCTGGCAGTAAAGGTCGGATGAGCTTGCTAAACCCGATGGCACGATCCTCGGATATGACGTCATCACGTGATATGGTGTAAGCTTCGATGTGAGATCGAGAGCCCCGCTACGATTTTGAGACAGGCTTACAAATTACGTCTTTGTATGGAGGTCTAACAACATGTAACTAGGTTAAACAATTTACATACGTACCTACCTAGGTTAGGTATCTCATATTTTTAGTGGCTAGGCAACATGAGTTATTCGATCTTAATACCGTCGATATCTCACTAAAAGTAAGTTATGGTCCAGATGAATCTCAAGTTTGAGATGAGATCTCATTTGAAGTATAAGTTCATAATCTTTTGGTAAGTACCTAAGGTACCTAGGTTAGGTACCTATGAAGTCGTGGATTATCTTAACAGATTAAAGCTAATATTCTCCTATTTACCTATTCAATAGTTCCAAAATGAAATACATACGGAATAGTTGCTTAGGTAATCATATATAACAACTCTATGACAAGGTCTGTGATAAGGTCAAGCTACCGTCAAAAAGACTCAACTTCTAGGCAACTTCCTAAAATGGAATACGGCAAATCTCAAGCCAGCTTCCACCAGTCACAGTCCCTGTCAGTTACAGCGTCGAAGAATCCCCGCCCGATACGGTAAAGAGAATACGAGGAAATGATGCCCGTCTACTACGTCGGTGAATTACTAGGGTCTACGTTATTCAATGTAGACTTAAGCAGGTTCAATTCCTTCCCGCCAAGATCATAATTCTATCGCATGCATTGAGCTGCATTGAGCTGCATTGTGCTACTCTACTACGATCGCAATGTTAGAAAGATCGCGGCCTGCGAATGGCCACCGATGGATGCTACTGTTTACCAGTGCTGTGAGTTGGTTAATGAACGTAGTGTACGGCCAAACTCCACCCGCCGCATATTTACAGACACCATCCAACCAGCAGCTTGAATGGCATCGGCTTGAATACTACGCATTCGTCCACTTCGGACCCAATACGTTTACAGACGAGGAATGGGGACGAAGTCAGAGCACTCCTGATGTCTTCAACCCGACAGCTCTGGACACGGATCAGTGGGCCAAGTCCTTTGCGGACGCCGGTATGGCGGGAATGATCCTAACAGCAAAACACCATGATGGCATGGCGTTATGGGATACAAATACGACAACATATAAGATCGGCAACGGACAATGGGCAAAAGATCGCGTTGAGAAAGGTCTTAACGCGGACGTCGTGCAGTTAGCAGCTGCCTCTGCGAATAAATACGGTATTAAGTTCGGTATTTATCTGTCACCGTGGGACATACACCGTGATCCGGCCATGCCGAAGCCCAACCTAAATGGTACCTTGTATGACGAGCCGCAGATCTTCGGCGATGATACCCCTGGCGATTATAATGAGCTTTATTCTCAGCAACTAACGGAATTGGTCACGATGCGGCTGAGTGACGGCTCGCCTATTCAGGTATCAGAGTTATGGCTCGATGGGAACAGTGGCTCCGACACTGTGCAAACGTTCAACTGGACAGGTTTCCGCAACATAATTCGCGAGCATCAGCCAGGCGCAATAATGTGGGGTCACCAGGGCGTGGACGCTCGATGGGTTGGTAATGAGGATGGAGTGACGGTAGAGACGAATTGGCACACGATTAGTAGAACTCAGGATGAACCGCACTATTCAGGCGACGAGCTACAAACTGGTGTGCGAGATGGTACCTATTGGACCCCAGCAGAAGCAGACGCCCGCATACGAGACGGCTGGTTCTACCATTCTAATGAGACACCAAAGACAGCCGATGCCCTGATGAGCATGTACCTGCAGTCGGTAGCTCGAAGTGTAAACCTCCTGCTTGATGTCCCACCCGATACGACGGGACAGCTTCCCAAGGGTGACGTAGATATACTACTGCAATTCAAAGCCCAGCGTGACGCATTTCTCAACCGCGAGCTGCTTACGCCGGGGCTTGCGGTAAACGCAAGCAGCATCCGCGATGGTAACGCTATACTCTACGGACCAGCCAACGTGCTCGACGGCAACGACGATACGTATTGGGCACTTAACGACGAAGAGGAAACGGGATGGCTGGAAGTCGATTTAGGTGGGACCTACGCTGTAGACGCTTTCATTACACAGGAGCATATTGCCCTGGGCCAGAGGATCGGTGGGTATACGATCGAGGCTGTTGTAAACGGAACTTATGAGACTCTTGTGACGGGCACGTCGCTGGGATATAAGCGTATCGATAGGTTGGACGCAGCTGTTGAGACGAGCAAGATACGTCTTAATGTCACACAGGCAAATGCTACGCCGTTGGTTAATAGCTTCCAGGTGCTTGGTACGCAAAAGGGCTCTTCATAATCATCACAAATGATTGGATATAGCTACCAAAGCGCCCGATCACCTATTGAATCCCTTAATCCTACTTAGAGTTCTTATGAATCAAGATTTACACGGTCCGAAAACATGTAAGATTCATTTTTCATGAGCTGAGTGATCAGTCAAGAATGAACATTTATCTCCATCATAAGATATCCAGAGGATTTCAAGTTGGGGACATAGTAAGACTACATAATCAACGATCGCTACGAATGCTGATACTCGAATAGTGTGTGTAGCATTTAGACCTTACATGATATGATACGTGGAGTCTTTGAAACAATATAGGTAACCATAGAGGATTTTACTGCTGGAGGACTATTTTATGCGTCGACGTTAGGTATTCGATGGTGATCAGTGATTTAACGTAGTATCTAAGGACCGTGTAACACGACAATGGAGCCCTGCTGAGGAGTAAGTGCTCTCGCATCTGATAAACACGCAATTCTCTCTAAAATTAAACTATGCTTTGGGTTTTTGATCATGATCGTGGAACCCCTAAGACACCCTTAGAGTTGGCTGGTAGTTGTGAGTTAGCTTAGTTACCTACCTATATAAAGCAAGAGTTTCGTCCATAAAAAAGCCATTAAAAAGCCATATGTGCCATCGAAGATAACATTCCAACGCTCAAAAACTCTTAAACTCCTCATAAAAATAATTGTCCAATATGAAGCGAGCTATTATTACTATCTTGTTCGCAGCCCTTGCTGCAGCCGCGCCGCTGGCTTCTCGTAAGCATATATGCATATTCTCTGCATAACTAACTTTATTTATGGTAGCTTACACATGGCGTGAATCTGTATAGAGCAGCTAGGGTCACTGGACGCAGTCCAGCGTCGACAGCATTTGTCAACTGAGTTCAACAGCGACGACGTAGTTGCCAGAGAAGATATAAACACCGAGTTCGACCCCGATCTTCCGTAAAAGTCCAAACGTAGTGGAGAACTCGAATCCGACACCAAGTTTTCTCGCTAAGCTAAGGGGCTTCAACTCGTGGATGAGCTCAATACGGACTTATACTTGGCGGGGTTGTGTCTTTGGAAGAACGCGTTGCGATACATTGGAGTCTGATGAGTGTTGGTAGTAGTATCGGGTCTTCATTATGGGTGGATGATACAATACGACCGAGTCCTGTTTGTGTAGAGCACCAGGTGTGCTTCTAATATAGCAAGATTATCTCATCTGTGAATAGCGGTATCCCTCATAAGCACACGTAGCTGGTCTATTGAAAGCTTCTGAGAGAAATGTATTATCCCGTTTTTGATTTTGGCCCCCTTTATGGTTTAAACGTCTCATACTGACGGACTATCGCTGCGTCTCCCAACTCTGTCGCTGAAGACTAAATGACTATCAAATATGACTTAATTGCTGTGGTATCAAGAGTCACTGAAGAGTGGGGGTATCGTGTAAGTGATGTAGTAGTATACTGTATAGCTAGCAGAGTCAATTCTAGCTAGGTACCTATATGATGAGTGTATAAATACGGTGACATAGCTAGCCCTGCGTTCATCCCTAACACCATTTCGTCAAGTGGACATGTTTAGAAATACATTGCCATTAAAACACTAATCCCGAGCTTGAGACTAAGACTATGCGAGCATGGGGTATGTAATTCATGCTACAAGTCAAGTAACGCCAGGATGAAAAGTATTGACGGAAAAGCTGGATTTATCTTTCGCTATCCTATTCCAGTTTGCGGCCGGAAAGTCGACGGGGCGGTCGTGTGGCCACATACCTCTCAAGCTATCAATTTCGAATAATCACAGTCACGGCAGCCGATCAAGGCTAGGAGAACAAACCAAAGTTCCGCCCCAAAGTTGGGGAGGGGTTAGGTAGCAAGGAAAGCGACAAATGGTACTTCCAACTGGATCTTGTTCCAGGCCACTGGGAGCCTTCGTTCATATAAGGCTGCACAAAGACAGAAACACGAAATATTTAATATCTCGCTATCTCACTTCTAAGGCCCAGATTATGTAGATTGCTTCTCTTACATAGCGTCAGGCCGTTCCAGATATTGCCGCACTTCCAGAAAACCGAGCTGGGTCATAACGACCGATGCTCTCACGATGTCTTTAGTCCAAATGCCTACGCCGTCGACAACGGTAGGCAATGGTCTGAATATAACACGCCCCAACTGAGGTGCGGCCTTGTTTTTTGGCAAGTCGATGTCACGGTAAATGTCAAGGTACTCGATCAGGTAAGAGTCGCAGACTGGAATGGCGTACTCATACGCCTGAAGCCCGTCTCCCAACGTCCCCCAGGCGTGCACATCTAGCCTGATCCAGGTAAGTCGGGATATAGCGCAATGGAGCTTCCACGTCAGATCTTCCCACCTGAGCAGGTAGTCGCAGAAGTCACGCACCTTGACAAGGCTTTCCGGGCTCTGCGCTAGTGATGCTCTGGGATGTATCATTGCGAGAAATTCCTGGCTTGATGGATATAGCCCTTCGAAGATATGAATAGGGTTAGCAGTAGAAGCCAACTTTTCGTGCCTTAAGGCATGGCATATAGTTATGGCGTTGTATCGCACTAGTTTGAGAGTTTCTGACCGGCTTAAATATAGGCTGTCGGATAGTGGTAGCTGGAGCTGTTCGGATTCTACGGCCTTGAAATCGCCGATCTCGACAAGTGAGATGATGAGCATGTCAATGAAGTCGCAATCCCCGTAGGCTCCTGGCGGCGTGAGACAGTTGGGGTATAAAGCGAGGCAATACTTGACAAGGATATCAAGTTTCTCGGGAGTGCGAAACTCGAGCGTTTCTAACGTCCTGTAAAGAATTTGCACGTGGGTGGACTCGTAGGCGGCCCCGCGTTCGTAGGACGACAAGCCTTGGGTTCCGCCCTTGGCCCAGTTCTCTTCGAGATAGCTCCAGGCGTCGTGTATGTTTTTGAAAGGAATCTGGCCTTGCTGCGACTTCTTGTCGAGATTTATCTGGATTTGCCTCAATACCTGCTCGCCAGCGATGATAATACCGTTCGAGATGTCGAGCAAGCGCTCATCATCCTCGTCGGTGTGTAGGGGGCCGTTCTTAGGCTTGTAGATAGGTTCGTGGTGTATTTTTGCCCAGGCATGCATTAGAAGCGACATGAGCTGTATCTCCGCGACCCTATCTTTGACCGCCGGCTCTGTGACATCTCTGTCCTTTAGTTTGAGCCGGTAGTGACGAGCAAAATATCCCGAGAACCAGCTTCTTCGTCCCATAATTTCATTTTGCCCAGAGATGCCCTCGTCCAGAGTCGGGCAATGAAATGCGCCGTAGTTTCTATCTGGCCAGTCTTGTGGAGGCTTGACTTCCACGAATCTTTCTTGGATCACCCTCTCGACTTTTTCAAAGTCGTTAGGATAGTATAAGGCTACCTTGAGCCCGGAAAGGTCGTGCATCTCAGTAATGATTTCCTCTACTGTCTCATATTTTCGTCATCTGTCGTATTGACGCCTGATGGCTGACCGTCTAGCGGAGCCTGCGGACTTGGCCTCCCCCCCCGGCAGAACCCTCGTTGCCCCTATCGTAAATTTCATACTTAACCCCGACTTTTTTTTTTAGCTTGTCCTCAAGGACGTGCCTGATACGATCACCTAGCTTTCCATAGGCCAGATATCCTTCGTTCTCATAGTACTTTGCGAACTCTTCGACAACACGGTCATCTGACAAAATAGCGGCCCGTACAAAAATATCACTATTAGATGCAGGCGTTGTGATATCTGGCCCGCCTACTTCGGGGCTAGGCACATTCAACCCAGTTCTAAGAGCAGAGGTGTTTGCTGGCTGATCGTTATTCATTCTAGTACGCTAATCAGAGGTGAAATATTTGAGATATATGAAATGTAAAGTTCCTCATACAACATTTAGGATTTCGCTCTTGAACCGTAATAAATTAGGCGTCTTTTGTATGAAAGGTGCCTTCTTTCTTACATTGTTGGAAGATATAATACACTTTCTATTATTTTGAAAAAGGCAGGCGGCGTTCCTAGGCAGAAAAGACGGCGGACGAGGTCGCATTCAATACTACCAAGATATGGCTTCTGCCTCACGGGGCGTAAAAGGGGCACTTTCGTTCCTTATAAACAGGGCGTAATATATACAAGCCATAAGCGCTATGATTGTGCTATAACACAAGCTGGCCTGGCCTAGCTCCTTATGACACCCAATTGCCTTAATTATTTATACTACCTACTTGGGTCGGTAAGAAGCCAATATCTGTGCGGTTATACACCAGTTTCTTGAGGCTAATAGAAATGGAGGACAACAGGCAGAAAACATACAAAGACTTTATCGAATTTCGCCAGCGAGACAATCCATGTGTTGGAGCGCTCTCGGCGTTTCTTGAGTCTTATCGCCTTCCGACGGAAACATGCCGAATGTACTCTCTTGACTGCACTTTCATAGGGGGAAAAGATCATCTCTCTCCTTATCAAGAACTTCAGTACTACGAAATCCCGTCTGCTCTTGCGCCCCCGCCCACTCGTCGTGGTCGTATCGTGATCGTCGAGGACTTGCATCCATCCGTTCTCGAACTTCTTGGGACTACGTTGGATATAGACCCTATATTCTTTGCTTAGTATATTCTGACGAGCTACAACGATATCGAGCTATCGCCGGCACTTCCTTCCATAGCGTTGACCCCATCTCACATATTATCCCAGACAGATTCATTTCACATACACTATCAACAGATTGTAGATCTTACCTGCAATGGCCCACTTCAAAGCGCCCCTTGGGTTCTCAAGACATCTGGCAATGTGTCTCGCTCTGTTAGACGCTTATTGGAGCTACGTGGAAAGCAGCTAGCAATTGTACGTGGTTGTTGTTCGGTCTTAATGAAGCGCTTCGACAAATCGTGGATTGGTACGTGGCATGGACGCAGAGGCAGAGTAGTTCTGATTGAAGCTTACGTGCTCTAGGTCTTGTTCTCGTTGATTCGACTAGTTCGGAGATAATCGGGAACCCAGATTCTCAGTTTCGGCTCCGTCGAGAGCCTCTGCATAACAGTGGTTTCGAAGACTTCCACGCACCTCAGTCATTCTCTACTTTCCAACAAGCCGGCACGTAGCTAAAAAATCGTAGCAGAGATTCTTTGTCCAAAACTATCATGGAATGCTTCTTAGAGAATATATCATCTTTCCAACTAGCCTGTCCTACCCTCCTTAGCCTGGCATATTGTCCTTTAAGGATGACTATAGGCGAGTGGATGCTATATAGCCAGGTTCTCGGTCGATTCATGAAACGCTACGAATACTCATTTAGGAACAATGAATTACAGCTTGACCAGGACGAAATGATGGACTTGCACAAATGGCGACATCGAATAATGCAGTCACGGTTCAAGCTCGAATTGACGAGAAACTTTGTTTCGTATCACTCCGGCGTGGAAACCAAAAGAGAAGCCTGGACTTTCGTCTTGACGGACCTAGACCACCTGTCGAGAAAGATCGAGCAATACGGTCTTTGTCTCGAACAGATGATCCCAGTGGCAGCATCCATGACCCAGCTCCTAGATTCCCGCCGCTCGCTTATGGAATCAGTCGGCGTGAAGCGTCTGACCTATGTAGCTCTCGTTTTCGTCCCGTTATCTTCGGTAGCCGCCATTTTCAGTATGCCTGGCGACTTCGCTCCCGGTCAATCGCAATTTTGGGTGTACTTTGCAGTCGCCGTACCGCTCTGTATCTGTATTTTCGCCTGCATATTGGTAATAGAGAGTTTACGAAGCTGGGAGGCTTTACTGGACAGGAAGAAGGAATGGAATCGCCTGAAATTTTCATGAGTTTTATAAAGGTTATTATGTCGTCTTAGTTATAGGCAACCATCCCCAACTAAATTCTGTTACAGGCTGATATCTGTATGTGGGTTTTTGTATTTGGACCTATTGATTCTTGTCATCGCTTGTTAGATATAAGCGAGACAAAATGGAATATCAAATATGAAAAGAGCATAAGGGAAAGGTTTAAGAGGTTCTAAGCTGTCACGAACAAGATCTGAGCCTTCCCTGAAGTCCATATCACGCAGGAAGCAAATTATTGTTTTTTGTCAGCGTTTCAGTCATTACTCTTACGATAAGGGGTTTCCTAAAACCACTCTTTTTTTTCTTTCGATACTTTAGTTAATAATTAAAGTATTATTTGTATGGTCAAACTGCACAAATATGTTTCAAACTCACAGGATCTAGCTTCCATGTTAGTTTATAATAGAGACGAAGTTGAAATTATAGCCCCTGACACTCTAGAGGAGACCTTGCTCGTCTAGTCAGCGTGTCGTGGGATCGTAGGTATGTCGGGCTTCCCCGCAATTTTGGCTTCACTGCCGAGATAATCTAAAAATATATAAAGTGAATACACCCCAGGAAAATGAGATATTAGCCGGGAATGACCTTATAGGTTGGGAAAAAGAATAGTGTTAGCTATATGGAGGCAAGATCCGATACTGTTCGTAGAGGACAGCGGTCAAATAAGCATGACTACCTACCTAAGTATACACCAGATTAATATCACTCTACTTGCCTTGATAGATTAATATTAGCATGAACTGGGGTCCGGAGTATATAGGTAGCCATATGCTATCCATGGTTGTCGATTCTCTTTGCAACCTTTCTGGTTTTGTCTTTCAGTAACAAAAGTAGTAAAGATGCAGCTCCTCACAACCCTCTTGCTTGCCGCAACGGCGGTGCAGGCCCATTGTAAGTTAGACCTCATCCCTTATCTATCTACAACTCCGCCTAACTGTTTCAGACACATTCCCACGACTTGTAGTCAATGGCAAGTCCGAGGAGGCGGACTGGTCTGCCACGCGCAAGACCAAGAATGCCGATAGCAAGACGGGTGTCCTAAGCGCAACGAGCCCGGATATCCGCTGCTACTCCTCACAGAACGCGGCCAACATCATGACTGTGCCTGCTGGATCAACCATCCACTACATTTCGACACAGCAGGTGAACCACCCTGGACCTACCCAGTATTACCTAGCCAAAGTTCCCAGTGGTAAGAGTGCCTCGAACTGGGATGGTTCTGGCAGCGTCTGGTTCAAGATTCATACGACGAAGCCGACGATGGACAACAACAAGCAGCTCACCTGGCCTGCGCAGAGTAAGTTTCGATTTTTTTAGATTGAATATAACGATTAGAGTAAAATAAACTAACCGATTATTAGATGAGTACGTATTGACCAATGCAACCATACCTGCTGCTACACCCGACGGGGAATATCTGCTTCGCGTAGAGCAGATTGCATTGCACCAGGCCATGCAGGCGAACGGCGCCCAGTTCTATCTCGCATGCACTCAGATCAAGATCACTGGAGGTGGAAAAGGTACACCCGGCCCTCTTGTTGCTCTGCCAGGAGCCTACAAGACCAACGACCCTGGCATCCTAGTCAACTTGGGCACTATCCAGCCAGACTCTTATATCCCTCCGGGCCCTGCTGTATGGAGTGGTTAAGCATACGTACACCGTCAATAATAAACCATGCCTCTGCTTTTCAGTTGAACTCGGGCTAGTAAAAGCTGCATAAAAGCTGTAATAAGTTATTTCGGCGTGATTGGTGATCAATTAAATCAATTAACCTAGTGTAAAGGGGGAGAATGTCGTGCAACCAACCAACCAACCTTAGGTAGGTAACCTTAAATATTCCATAGGTACCTCTTACTCCACTTTCAATTGGTAGAAATCCTATGTTAGGTACCTACCTACCTATATATGCGTTTAAGCATCGCACCTTCCAACACCTTCCAACAGCCCATTACTGCCCTTTTAATATTAATATTGCTCTTAATAATATTATAAATTTAAAGCATACCTACCTACCAACCTATGTAGGTACATAGATGGTAAATGGCAATGACTCAAGTCAGTCCTGCCTCAATTTGGAACGCGATCAGGAATATTAATACTATAATACTATAATACTATAATACTATAATACTACACTACATTGGCAAGAATCTTCCGTCTCTGCCCTCGGATACCAGCCCAGAGACTTTTCCCCAGGCAGTGGACAAGGCATATAATGAAAATACCGAGCCTCCACCTCTGGCCGACGCCGTAACAGCAAAACAGGGCCAAGCTGATACTGTCGCCGATTTACTGTTGAAAGCACACATCGGAACGGCACGGTCGGCTGTCGAGGCCCTGCAAGCCCCAGGAAAGCTGCCTGAATTTTTCGCCAAGACGGACGATATTTTGCTCCCATATCTTGATGCCTTGCATGGTGCGGAGATGGACCCCAATAACCATAAGATATACCTGGAGCTGACCCAGAAATTCGAACGCCGCTTCGTCGAGGATATGAATGCGCTTAATGTACTGGCTCCCGACCAATTAACTCGTGTGACCGAGTATGTCCGGCCGATTGTTCGCTTCGTTGAGAAGATAGTGGCGAACGGTTTCGGTTACGCCACCCCCGACGGCTCCGTATATTTCGATATCGACTCGTTTGAGAAGGCTGGGCATAGCTACTCCCGGCTGGAACCGTGGAACAAGAACGACCGTACCCTCCAAGCCGACGGTGAAGGTTCACTGTCCAAGGGAAAGTCAATGAAGCGGAGCGAGAATCATTTTGCGCTGTGGAAAGCGAGCAAGCCAGGCGAGCCAGCATGGCCGAGTCCATGGGGTCATGGGCGGCCAGGGTGGTATATTGAATGCTCTGCGATGGCCTCTGAAGTCATCGGGAAGACGATAGATATCTATTCCGGGGGCGTTGATCTTCGTTTCCCTCATCATGATAACGAACTCGCACAATCAGAAGCTTACTGGTCGACTACGGGCTGCCCAGTACAGTGGACGAATCACTTTATTCATATGGGGCAACTAAGGTAAAAGGTTTCCAATACCGATTTCGTCGTACAAAGGCGTTAACAGATCGTAGGATTCGAGGTTTGAAGATGAGCAAGAGCCTCAAAAACTATACGACCATCAGAACTGTTCTCTCCGAAAAGGAGTGGAGTGCACGTTCTCTCCGAATTTGCTTCCTCCTTATGCCGTGGCAGGATGGCATCGAGGTAACAGACGAGCTTATGAAGGCCGTAGTTGGCTGGGAAGGCAAGCTCAATAACTTCTTTCTAAACAGCTTGGACCTCTGGAAACATTCTAGTCCTAAGGCTACAACAACGCAAGAGCTTGGCATCGCAGATCGGTAATTGTTAAGCGCCCTTGATAAGGCGAAAGCCGATGTCGATACAGCTCTTTGCGATTCCTTCAACACCTCAGCTGTCATGAGAATCCTCTCTGATCTTGTTACCGAGTCTAACTCGGCAGAGGCACTTTCAGATCAGACAGTCATCTTGCTTGCTCGGTGGATAACACGTATTGTCACCATTTTTGGTCTGGATCCCGAGGGAGATCTCAGCAACCCGGACCGTATTGGATGGTCGGGCCTCGATATTCCCGCGCCAGCAAAGCCCTATGTCTACCCTGCATCTCAATTGCGCGACAAAGTTCGAACCTTGGCCTGATCCGGCTCGGTTGATCATACAGCTATAGCGAGGCTCGCTGACGAGATTACGATCACGGCGTCAACACCAATGGTCGAGTCTTCCGAACCATACGATCAAGTGCTGCAGCAGTTCCGCACCAATATCAAGGGCCTCGCGGCCCAGCAAGCGCCGGCAAAAGACCTGCTAGCCTTATGAGACCAGCTCCGTGATGTACACCTCTGGAACCTAGGCATCTATCTCGAGGACCACGACAACCCCCGGCCTGCTTTGGTTCGACCACTCGATAAGTTGGTCATGGAGGCGCGTGCGGAGCGGGAATCTGCTGGCACTGCGAAGGCGAAGGCTAAGCTGGAACAGCAGGCCAAGGAGGCTGAAAGGGAGAAAGAGCTGAGCGAGCGCGCCAAGGTTGACCCCCTTCTGATGTTCAGGACCTCGGACGAGTACTTAGAATGGGACGAAAGCGGCATCCCGACCGTGGACGCAGCAGGGAGTGTGGTGTCCAAGAATAGGCGCAAGAAACTGGTCAAAGAGTAGGAGAAGCAGAAGAAGATGCACGAGGAATGGCTGGCGACGCAGCAGGCAGCATAGAAAAGAGGACTCGGAAATGTCAATATCTACTTTTCATCGTTTCTCTATGGCTTACTTTTCCGCCTTTCCAACAGCTTCCCGAAACTCGCCATTAGCCTAACCTCTAGCGACAACGCTCCAGTATCGTCCCCCAAGCTGGATACCTACCTACCTAACATATTAATAATATGATTGGTTAAAAATAGATGTGGCTAGAGGGTATATACCTACAACAAAACAAACTGGAAGATTTCAGATCGATCTGTAACCCTCGTAAACTCGGGCTATTGTGACGCGCAGGGGTGAGCTCATGTTTTAATTTCGTCGTACCGACGGAACACCGTTTCTGGTATCACTAAGCTGAATCCTTCAGCCGCCAAGATAAATGGCCAGAACCAATGTATCAGATTAGTCAGCCATGTCAGGTGACCTGAAAATCCATAGTCTCATGTAAAATAGCGGTGTAATATGCGTTCCCACGATTTTACCTCAATCAATCAGATCATTAGGAATATTATCAATTAAACCTCATATATCGCCTATTCAATACGTTTTAATTATGTATATAACAATTAAGAATCTCATACGTTCGATTCCGATTTAACGCTAGGAAAACCGTGCCAGATTTTAATCCCTACCAATTGGTACACCACCCGAAAGACCTTGCGTTTAAGTCAAATAATAAGTATTAAAAGATTTTAAGCATAAAAATACCAGTCTTCGCCGCTTTATCGAAACCTGGAGGGGTGTGTCGCATATAATAAGTAATGACATTTTATGACATTACAAGTTACCTTTTGGTCAAGTGGATAATCTGACAACTATTTACAGAAGAAAATAATGTTACGGTACCATCGATCTCCAAAACTTCGCAACCACAACCTAAATAAGTCTTATGCTTGAACCATACATAACTCACAACCGTCAGAGCTACGTTATGAAGTAAAAGCAGGCTGGGACTTATTGTGCATATAAAGCCGAGCGGAAGGATTCGAATGGCACTAGAACCACACAATATATTATGCGCTGCGACACGTATATTGCCACTCTACCTAACCAGTGTGTTTTGAAAATAGACTTTTTTTTTGAATGTGACCCCTATTTTGATATTATGAGTTGATGTTACATCTCTTTCCATAAGCAAGCAACTTTGATAACAGAGAATAAAAAGTCGAACGAAGAGCTTATGTATCTGTGTACATATGTTACACCCAGGGGCGTGTAAACATCAACTAGATGATCAACAATTACCTGTTGAAATAGCCGCCTTTTGACGCCGTGTGACAATAAGTATTAATACAAATAATTCCCATCAGTCGTAATAATATACACTTGTGAAAGAGACTTTCAACTGTTACACTAATACACTCCCGCTTGTACTCGGGTACGCATTCAAAGTCTTCATCTCGAATCGGCTGCAATACCCCTGGCAATGCGATCGGAGATAGCCATTATAGTAATCATGGGATTCACTCCGCTTGCCGAAGGGAATACGCTCGCATCTGCGACGTACAGGTTCTCAGTCTCCCACACCTTACCATGTTGATCGACTACACCCTTTTCTTTAGTTGTACTCATGCGGCACGAGCCCATCTGATGTCCAGATACTAGAAGGGCGTCGGTGAAATCTGCCTGTTCGAGCTCTCTGATCCAACTAGCAAAAACGGCATCATCTACTTTCCTTTCGATAGCCGGCGTATCACTCTTAAAGGGCGAGACGCTTCGAATCGGAGGGATCAATTCCGTGGCCCCCTGGATGTAGCACATCTTGGCGACAGCAACCACTCCTGTCTGTATGCTACCTCGATCGAACTTTGAAGGCGTATAGGCAACGATAGGGCTTCCATCCGCATCTGGATATACCGAGCCCGTGTCGCGATCACGCGCTAGAGAGAGGAAGTTGTTCATATGTCGGAAGCCTAGGGCATCAACCTTATACTGCAATCCACTGTGCCACGGAATTTGCAGCATAGACATGAATGGCTGCAAGACGCGACATCAGATATACCGTACGAGAAATGAGTAACGCGTAGTAAACTCCACTCACAAGCATGTTCGCTATTTCGACACGCACCCCGTGGCCTTTGCCGTCGAGGTTCTCGAATTCGTACATAAGGCTCGTCAAGATTTCGTCTTTACCGTGTTAGTACACCATCTTCGAAAGGAGCTAAACTTAGGTACCTTCCCATCCCCTGACCTCGTCTTTGAAGACGGATAGCGTAACGCTGCAAGGGTGCACGTGGAGATTCTTCCCGATGTGGCTGTTCTATGTAGTGTGTTAACGACTCATCCAACCGATGCAAATGAAGACGAACCTTCAACCCACTCCTTAGCAAAATAAGGGGGGTATTGAGTGAACCGCCTGACAAGACGACCTTCTTAGCTCTGATGTAGACCTGTTTCTTAGTCTTGGTCTTCGTGGCTTGCACGTTACCATCGGCATCGCGAGGGGTCCAGGTTCCTACAACCCCCACCGCTTTCTTGGATCCATGATCATCATCCCAAAGTATCTTCGATACTTCGAATCCTTCAACGAACTGCGCACCAGCCTTCGCTGCTGCTGGCAACCAGCTGACGGCAGGTCCTTGCTTCGTACTTGTCCGACAGCCGAGAGCACAAAAGCTACCGCAGCTGTGCCTAGAGGAACCCGAGTTCTGCGCAACGACCCTAGAGTTCCAACCAAGAGCCCGTGACCCCTCGAGGATAACTTTGTTACCGTGGTTTAGATGTACATGCGACTCGCTAACCCCCATCATCTCATAGGCCCGGTCCATCGAGGCCTCATAATCATCTTCCTTGAAGAAGTCCAATCCATGTTCTTCTGCCCATTCGGACCTGACCTCATCCGGAGTCGCGATACTTGCACTCCAGTTGACTGTACCGCCTCCCCCCCAACAACTCCCCGCAGAAATAAAGGTAGACCCATCGACCGTCGACATCGAACCCCCACCTTCGAATAAGCTGCTCATGGTGTCCAGTGCTAGAGGAAGCTGGCTTGGCTGAAAATAATACCCTTTGTCGACTACGATGACGCGGTGCCCAGCTTCAGCAAGCACTTTGGCACAGACGCCTCCACCACATCCAGAGCCTACGACGAGCACATCAGTTTCGACAGTCTCGCCTTCTGGAAGCGGGTTGTGGAACTGCAAGAACTTGTAATCTATCGTTGGTCCGGGCTTAGGTTTCCTGGCGTCTTCCGCGTATTGCTCATATCCGCTAATCCTCAGCAGGAGGGGGTCGGTTGTGCTCCAAGCTACTTTTCCCATGACCAAGAAGTTCTTAGCAATCATGGGCCAAAGGAACAGCCAGGACCGTTGCCATGATTGGATGATGGCCTCTCGTACAGGCGTTGACTGCTTGGTAAGGGGTGTTAAGAACCCGGTGCTGATTAGGCTACCTAGTCGTGTTCTATGCACCTTGTTAATACTACTTTGATTTGATGATATATAATAAGAGGCAGAGGTATGGTATGTGAAGACATACAAAATAGCATTGAGGATGAAGCCAAGCTGCTTTACTGGAGTCGGAGGCAAGTTGGCAATGGTACCTTTGAGAGCACCAACGAACTTTGGATTATCCACGGGCCGTGCCGATAGATATTCTCGGAACTCTTCGATTGTAGGCGGATTTGTCATTTTCCGCTGAACTTGCCGGTAAAAGTCGTCGAATTCAATTTGAGTGATAGCGATACGATTGCTGTTAGTCGTCTTGGATTCTCCCACCACCACCGAGGGAACAACCGAGTCGACGAGTGCAAGCAATGCCTGCCATTGGTCCTCCGTAAACACGCTGTCTGTCATTGTAATTTTTTTTTTTTTGATTAGGTATACTTAATCTACCTACTCAACCTTGATCTGGCAGAATTAGGTGGGTAACATACATAGGTGTTTGTGATGATACAGGAAAAAGATCACGAAGCGAGAAGTTTGAGTAGGTAGATCAGATCCTAAGGAGGCAATCCTTCAGGTACGGTGCTACCATAGGTCAAAATAAGTATTGCTACACTTACTCCCCATCCTTTACCCCCATCCTTTACCCCCTGATACTCCAAATGTCGTGTAACTTGGTGGCTGTAATAAGTCCTACCTCCATCCACCAACTTCTTAACTACCTACCTATCATATGATTCAGTGTGGGTGGTTGCAAAAATGCCCAGACTTCTGTGCCCCTTCAGGATGAGGCAGTAATTGCTTTTGTCAAATATCTCTTCCAGACTTCCCAACCCATATTATAGTTTAACTACCTAGGTTAGATTACCTTCGAAGTAAGTATATTATGAGTTCCAGGTCCTAAGCCTTCATTTTTCATACCGTCAATTGCTTAGCGTAGGGGCCTGCGTACCCCTTTCATTCCAAGATGTCGGCAGATCAGTTTGTCACTCTGTCGCCCGCCGAGCAGCAAGCAGTTCTCAATGGGCCTGCACTGCTGCCCCCCGACGGAATGCAATCCGACTTCCTGAACCCACCAAACCACACTGCTATGGCGTTTGCCGCGACTACTCTCTGTCTCGTCGTATCGTCTCTTTCTGTTATTATCCGGCTCTATTCCAGGTTCTTTTGTACCAAAACACCCGTCATTGAAGATTGTGAGTATCGATGCATCGACGGTTACCCGTGTTCAGGTAGAGTGTGCCGACTAATGCTTAGTAGATCTAGTCATAGCAGCTTTTGTCAGTGCAACTTTCTAGGATTGCGCGATGAGGCAGATATACTGATCTAAAGATAACCAGGGGACCTACGTTGGTTATATCTATGTTACTTACTGGTTACTTGACGACATTGGATTTTTCGTCCATCAATGGGATATCCGGGTCAAGGATATGACCACGCACTTATATGTAGGCAAAGCTCAATGCAGCCCGGCCTATTATTGTCTTCATGATGGCCATGTTTCTTCTAACTAGACCAGATCGTTCACATAGGAACCAACCTATACTCAGTTACCATGATTATCATGAAAGCATCTATTCCGAAAGAATGGTGTCGTATATTTTCTCCACATCGGTCAAGAGCCAGCTTCTACTGGATATGCCACACCATCATGGTTCTGAACATTATTTTCTACGCCATCGCGATCCTAGTAGAAAACTTCTCCTGCTTCCCACACGATCGAATATGGGATCAACTGATCCCAGGAAGCCAATGCCTTAACATAAACGCCATCCTTATTGCCGGAGCAAGTATTAATATTGTCCTTGACTTTATGATCCTGATACTCCCACAAAGGGTAATCTGGGGCCTTCAGATGTCAAGAAGCAAGAAGATTGGTGTTTCGCTAGTTTTTACTATTGGTCTCTTGTAAGTGCGCGTCACGCGCCCGACACAGACGGAGACGGCTAACGCCATAGATCACAGTGCCTGCGCATCCGCAGTTGCTCGACTTGCCTACACCATCAAGTACTATTTCACCGAAGACAAGGCTTACTGGCTAGGGGCATTATCGCTTTGGTGTATCGCCGAGATGACGTGCATGTTTTTCATCTTTGCTGGACCTGCCATCCCAGCAGCGTTCAAAGGATCGCGGCTACTATCCATGCTATCCACGACGTTCAGATCGTGGTTGGGCACGTCCAAAAAGACCACGGATATTTCCGATCGCAAGTGGCCGCTCCCGGGGCAACGCCAACCAAGCACGTTCAAACGCTATCGGAAGATGGACGAAAACAATGTCCCTCTCACAACACTGTCGTCGATTGACCAGATGGGGCCCGAGTTATCAGAGCCCAAAAGACCGGCACAGGGAGTAGAGTCGGGGATCGTGTTTACGACGGAATTCACTACGAGGGAGGAGATACTTGGGGATGGAAGACAGGAAGAGGACTTTAGGAATCATTGTCCTTGGGAACCTACCCCCCATGCACGATAGTGGTAGGCTTTTCTTCCTAGTATTGGCGACAACAGACACGACTTGCATAGAAGCAGTGAAATGGCGATTTTGTACTTTATGAAATTGTCAGAGATACCCGTTGAGTGATGTCATACACAGAGTGAGTGTCTAGGGTAGGTAGACCAAGTAATATATTGTATTGATCTAGTAACGCCTGGCCTTCTATCCTCTTTCGAGGGCGCTGTGCGCCCCTTATATAGTAGATAGACCCCTGTAGATACCCCTAACCCACTTATACCCTGACAGAAATACCGAATACTCCATGACATGCAAGACGATTATATTAAATAATTAAGAGTATATAAATTAACTTGATACCCACTTGACTTATTACTTGTCATTTATAACGGAACTCTTAATCCGGAACTCTTAATCCAATAATCAGTAGTAGGTATTTTAGATAACTCCGTATGTCGCCACTGTTTCCAGGGTCTTACTTGTATTATTCCGGCCGAGGAAGAGACGCTGGGGATAGAAAAGGTACCAGTGCATCACATGCTGATAGTTGGAGAGCGAAGCGCTTTATCTCCGCCCATAAGACCGTGTTGTGACGGCTAAGACGAACCACCTACCTAATATACTCATTGGCGGAAACGTCGCTATATTGGGGTATTGGAGTATTGGAGTCCTTGGCTGGCACATCGATATGCACTTGGCTTCACGATCCGAAGTTGAAGTTCACCGCCAGATCCGTACTACGGAATGTCTAAGTCGAGGTGAAAAGGCGGCATTCTTAGACGCGGCATCTATCGTGATAACCTCATTGTGTTCCATGGTTGTCACGGAGTAGATTGAGGGTGGTTACATTACCGAATTGATAGGGGTTCTGATTGCTGCAGAACTGGGCGTTGGACAGTTGGACGATCCTTTCAAGTAAAGATACTTACCTACGTATCTTCAATGTTACCCTCGCCAATGCAATATCTGATCCTCCAACACCTCGGTGCCGGTACGGTGCTGCTATAACAATGCCTTGGTTAGAATTATACGAGAATGGGATTTGTATACTTAGGTAGGCAAGCAACAAGTCTTCAGAGACAGAAAGATCATATTTTTGGTTCAAATGTCCAATGTAATGCAGTACAAGGGGTTTAGTAACAACAATAATGCAACAAAAGCTGTAGTTATAAGCTTAAAACGTATATTTAATTTATTAATAATTCATTAAAGTTTTCAAGTCTAATTCTTTTTTGTTTAAAACTTATTTGTAAATAATCTTAAATATGTATTAATTATTAATTATTATATATTTTTATAATGTCTTTTATTTAATGATTTTAATATTGGTTAACGTCTCAACCGCTTAACTGGCGCTTGGATATTTTGTAATATTGCGACCAATACTTCCTTAGCGCTGTTGTTTGTATGACGCGTAACCTCCTTTCCCCTGTCCCCTGCAGAGCTTCGTAATATACGAGAATATGATCAGATATATGATCAGATATATGATCAGATACGAATTAAGCACGTCGGAGTTTTTATATGTTTTAGGTAGGTAGCTTATATATGACCGTGCACCGTGATAATGGCCAGACCTGCGAGTATTGGCTTTCAACTTCTAAAGTTATTACTGTTTCTTAAGTATCGTCAAGCTTGAAATCGAAGTTGTTGACCCGTGTTGCTAAAAATCTCCAAATACAGCACGTCTATGATATAATGGACCTTAACGGACATACTAAGACCTACCATCAGGATGATGGTCGGCCAAGGGGCAGTCTTCGAGAAGACGATCCGGTTTGCGTCGTTGGAATGGGTACGAGGTCTTTCTATAACACCCCTGATATCAGATATTATACTTACATGTACTAAATCGGAAATATAGCGTGTCGTCTTCCGGGTGACGTTCGATCGCCTACGGAACTATGGCAGTTCCTCATGGACAAGAAGTCTGGACAGGGACCCGTACCTCCAGAACGTTACAACATCAAGGGATTCTACTCTTCGAAGGGTGATAAATCTGGAGTCACGAATGTGGATGGTGGGTACTTCATACGAGAAGACGTTCGACAGTTCGACAATGAATTCTTCGGTATAAACAACTATGAAGCTACATATGGTCAGCAAATAAACTCATCCCCAGTACTCCTAGTAACTAACGACGTGCAGTACGTTTAATTATTCGGAACTGCCCCCTTCATACCCAATATCAAGAAAGGGCTCTTAATAGACTTACCCATAATCCCTCCTCGAGAACCTTACTAATAAAAGCAGATGGACCCGCAGCAACGCAAGCTTCTAGAGGTAGTCTACGAGTGTTTTGAGAATTCCGGAGCGTCTCTCAACGACATGTCCGACTCCAACACGGGAGTATACGTAGGGAATTTCACTCAGGACAACCTACTCATGCAATTGAGAGATCCTGACGATCTGCGGCGCTACCAAGCCACTGGATCTGGTTTGACCATGTTGGCTAATCGAATCAGCCACACGTTCAACCTACATGGCCCAAGGTAGGTGTCTTGTCCTAAGAAGGAACTTACATCTTGGCGTGAAGACTGCTTACGATGAGACTCAGTTTAACACTCGATACGGCGTGCTCGTCTTCGATCTATTGTCTGCACCTAGCGGTGGCTGCCTTGAAAGCAGGGGAGTGTGATGGGGCAATCGTGGCAGCTTCCAACCTAATCATGACCCCAGGACCACACATCGCGGCCATGAAGGCCGGCATGCTCTCTCCAACGTCAACATGCCACACCTTTGACATCTCAGCTGATGGCTATGCGCGAGCTGAAGGTGTCAACGCCGTGTATGTGAAACGTCTGTCTTCGGCTATCAAAAACAACGATACCGTTTACGGTATTATTCGTGGAACGGCAGTTAACTCGTAAGTATCGACTTAGAATTAGCCGTCGATATGATTCTAACATCAGCATTAGGAACGGACGAACCCCTGGAATGATATATCCTAGTGCAGACTTCCAGCAAGTTGTAGTTCGCAAGGCTTACAAGGATGCGAATCTCGACTTCTCCGATACAGACTATATTGAATGCCACGGGACTGGAACAGAGCTAGGAGATCGTGTCGAGTTGAATGCCTTGGGAAATTGCTTCTCTAAAGATAGCAGGAAACCCCTCATGATTGGAGGCGTAAGTGAACCCCTTTTCCTGTCCCCGTAACCCGAAATCTGCTGGTGAAAATGAGACACGGACGTTACGACTTTCACTTACTAAAGTTCTATAAAATACACAGACAAAACCGGCTTTCGGACATAGCGAAGCAGCAAGTAGCCTTACGTCGCTAATCAAGGTTATCCTGGCCTTTCAACATGGCATGATCCCGCCCACTCGTGGGGTCGAGACACCCAATCCAAAACGTGAGTTAATTCCCTTCTAGGTACTGACTGAGATGGGAGCTTTGACTAACATCATGGTCTTAAGTTGAAATGGATCGCTATAATATGGAGGTTGTGACCGAGCCCAAACCGTGGCCAAGGAAAGTTCAACGAGCAAGCCTCAGCTCCTTTGGCTACGGGGGCGCGAATGCGCATGTGATACTAGAGTCGCCTTCTAGCTACATGGGTAATTCACCCCCAATCACACATGGCCCAGCCACAAATGGGCTACATGACAATTGCCAGCCTTTATTGTTATTGGTTTCGACATCGTCGCCAAAGTCTTTGGAGGCTCGCGCTAGCCAGATATATCAGCTTGCGAAGTCATGCGATATTCCGGGTCTGAGAAGCCTAGCATACACTTTAGCTAAGCGCTGCACGCATTTAAGATACCGGACGTCATTACTTGTAACACCTAGTCAAGATGAAAAGCCCGAAGACTGGACAATTGAGCTAGCTGAAGGCGCCAATTCTACCAAAGCAGGTCCGCTAAACTTCGCATTTGTTTTCACTGGTCAAGGAGCGCAATACCATGGCATGGGAAAAGCACTTCTTGATAGTAGTCGGGTTTTTCTCGACACCATCAGAGAACTAGATCAAGTTCTCCGAAGTCTTCCCCCACCATATGCGCCCGGCTGGACCCTGGAGAGCATGTTGCGGGATAATACTGACGAGAGCCTAATAAATGAAGCTGTAAGGAGTCAACCGATCTGCACCGCTGTACAGATTGGCCTTGTTAACATTTTGCACACCTGGGGTGTCAAACCCTCTGCCACTATCGGCCATTCATCCGGCGAAATCGGCGCAGCATATGCGGCAGGTCTCCTAAGGTTAGTTCTCCTATTCTATAATCCACCACCTGCGCCGAGGCCGATATGTCAAGTCTACTAACTAAGACAATAGCACATCTCAAGCTCTTCTTGTTGCATATTTTAGAGGGTATGCTGTAGCAGAGAACCCCGCCTCGGGCGCTATGCTTGCCTGTGGACTTGGTGCTGAAGGAGCCGAAGCGATGATACAACAATGTGGATTCGCAGAACAAGTCTGCATTGCCTGTTTCAATGCGCCTGAGAGCGTCACGTTGAGTGGACCGAAGAACTGTATTGAACAGATACAATTGGAACTCCAGAACCGCAAAACATTTTGTCGGCTCTTAGAGACAGGTGGCCAGCCCTATCATTCCCAAGGGATGAAGAACGCTGGTGTACTATACGAAAAACTGCTCAAGCCATACCTTCAAGATAAGCCCCAGGACGATCCTTTTGGTACAAAGATGTACTCCACTGTCTACCATAAGCTGGTCAGTCCCAAACTTGTCGATACCTCCACACCAATGGCCGAATATTGGAGAGGCAATCTGGAGATGCCGGTCCGGTTCCACTCGACTTTGCAGCATCTCATCCGGGGCCAGAGGTTCCACCTTATCGAAATAGGGTCGCACTCTGCACTAAAAGGCCCTATAAATCAAATTCGAAGAGCTGCGCTGCTCGATGAGCGGGCTATTCCGTATAGCCCATCACTGATTAGGGGGCAAGACGCTCATCTAAGTATGATGAGACTCGCCGGCAGGCTATTCGCTCACGGTTGCGAATTAGACTGGAAAGCCATCAACTCCATTCCCGAAAGAAGCCGTATCTTGTTTCAGGGTTTGCCTCCGTATCCTTGGGATTATTCGGCCGGCTTACTATGGTTTGAGCCTCGTACGAGTAATGAGCTACGCAACCGCCCTTTTATTCGACACGAGCTTCTTGGTTCTCAGCAACTTGCCGGGAACGGCATCGATTGGAGCTGGAGAAATGTCCTGCGCCCGAACGAGATGCCGTGGATTCGCGACCATAGGATTGAAGACCAAGTAGTTTTCCCAGCTACAGGTTATTTTGCTTTAGCCATGGAGGCAGTAACCAGGGCCAGAGCGGCATGTGGAAGTCCCTTGCTTGGGCGTCCAACGTTTGATCTACATAATGTCAGCATCAATTCTGCTATGGTGGTGCCTGAGGAGAGTGACTTAGAGAAAGTGCCTGTTGAGCTACACACTACCCTTAATACACGGAGGATATCCTCGAAGAGCTCCTCGGCGGGCATATACGATTTCACTGTGTCTTCCTGGACCGCTGGTCAGGCTACCGTCCACTGCGTAGGAAGCATTAGAGTATCCGATGCACTGCCTGAAGCTGCAGTAGGAGCCAACGGAGTCTCAGGCCCAAGCGAGTATAGAGATTGGAATATGGACCGATGGTATGAGAAATACGCAGAAGAAGGAATGTTATTTGGGCCGTATTTTCGAGCGCTGACGGGCGTAAGAGCTGATATCAATCAAGCACGACCCGATGTTTTATGCTCTGCCAAAATATGTTCGCCTATGCTTAGGGACTCGGCCAACCGTTATCCTGTGCATCCCATAACGATTGATGCCTGCCTACAGGCTGCTCTGATTAGTGCCACGTCTGGAAATCCTGAATATTTCCGAGCTTATGTACCAGTGTTCATCTCGCAGTGTCGCATCAGGACATTAGCGCTCCCAGATGACGATAAAGAACAGAAAGGGGTCATTCACGCAACATCCCAACGAACTGGATTCTCCAGCCTAAGAGCAGATTCTACCCTGCAAGATGGCCAAGGGATGCCTCTGGTTCAGATGAAAGGTGTCCGATTGACCATGTATACTGGGAAAGTGGCTAAAGACGAGAGCAGCAGTAGTCCCCACCTACAAAGGCACCCGGTGATGAACGTAAACTGGAAGCCAGACATCATGCGGCTTACGCCGGACACGGCGCCTCAACTACAAGATTATATTGCACGTTTTCTTCGAGATCGGCCCTCATCATCGAGTGATGACGAGTGCAAGGGTATCATGGGCGCAATACTGGACCTAGCAGGCCATAAAAACCCTCGAATGCGGGTTTTGGAAATCGGAGAATCAAATGATAATTCGAAGGGCGAGTGGCTAGAGTTACTAGCTGACGGAACCGCGTTCCCCCGATACAGGTCATGGCTGTCAACTAAGCCAGGTAATGGGGGTGACGTTTTGGTAGAGGATACCAACAAAACCAGGTTCGACATTGTGATTCATAGTGTAAGTGATAGTACATGGCGTTCAATCGATTGGAGTCGCTTATAATTCTTTAGGACAACGCATCTCAAGGGCTCTGGAAATACTCGCCAATATACCTCATGTCGCTCGTCAATGACCATGGGGTCATAATTGCCCGTAAATCGGATACTGTCATAGCAGAATTAACGGCAGCAAGTTTTCAGGTAATAGATATCGCCGATCGTGTCACCGTGGCACTGCGTAGAAAAGAACGAAAAGCTCTAGACGGGCGAAGCGTCCTCATCGTCGTACGTATATATATATATATATATCAGAAATTAACTTACCTTTTATTCAACTAACACAGGCATCAATAGACTCGGGATGCATCTCCGTTGCTACAAGGCTTCATTGCTGATCTGACAGAACACTTGGAGCAGACGCACGGGACTCGTGAGATTCGCACAATCTGTCTGGCTCAGCTTCCAACGACAGAGATCTCCGGGAATATAGTTTGTATCTCGCTGATAGAAATAGAACGGCCATTCCTGGCCGAGTTGAGCCAGGGGGATCTGGAGCTTCTCCACAACCTAATGAACGCCGTGAAAGACCTCGTCTGGTTAACCGGAGCAAATTTGACGGGTGTCCCTAACCCCGATCTTGCATTGGTACAAGGTCTATGTTCCTCCATCCTGGTAGAGCAGCCATCTTTTCGATTTACGGTTATCGACGTTAGCTCTATTGAGGCCCTATTGTCTGACTCGCGGAGTTCTTGTCGAAGTGTTATCCGCGTGCTAGAACGCCACGGGAAAATCGACGATAGACAATTCGTTCTTTCGAATGGCCTGCTTTACGTTAGTCGCATAGAGCCTAATACCACGCTTAACTCGATATTTCAAAGCCGGACCAAAAAGACACCCAAATCCATGAAAAAGTTGGCACTTTCCCAAGCAACACCAGCCAAGCTGTGTATAGACAAAGTTGGCCTCATGGACTCCTTGTATTTTCAACAGAGTTGTGATCAGCACACGGCCCCGCCCAAAGGCTTCATCGATGTCGAAGTCAAAGCAGTCAGTCTAAACGCAAAGGATGTGTATGCAATGAATGGGCGTGTCGAAACTAGGACCGGCACATCAGCAATCGAGTTTGCTGGTCTAGTCACAGCAGTAGGGCCGGACGAACGCAACTTTGAAGTAGGAGACCGAGTAATTGTGTTAAAACCTAATAATTTTTCGACAATTGAACGGGTCCCGTCTTGGACCTGTCATAAACTGCTGGCATGCGAAGATTTAGCAGTGATGACAACATTACCAACTATATACTGTGCTGCCCTGTACGCTATTCGCGACTGTGCACGGATACGCTCCGGAGAATCGGTCCTTATACACTCAGGGGCCGGCGCTTTTGGTATCGCTGCAATAAGTCTAGCACAGCGAGCTGGTGCGGTTATATATGCTACTGTTGGCTCGGAGAAGAAACGAGAGTTTTTAGTCAACCATCTGGGCATGTCTGCTGACCGCATTTTTAGTTCCCGGGACGAGTCATTCGAGGCCGGATTAAACGCTGCGACTGGAGGTAGAGGAGTTGATGTTGTTATCAACTCTCTTGTCGGAGATTTGATGCATGCTAGCTGGAGATGCTTGGCCCATTTTGGCCGCTTCGTAGAAGTGGGCAAGCGTGAACTAGTTGACGACGGTAGGTTGGAGATGGACATCTTTTCCCGGAACACGACCTTTACCGCTTTCGATCTCAGTGAGATGTTTTTCCTAGAGGGAGAACACTATCAAGATATACTGGCTGGGTAAGTCAACACGCCTCCTTTTTCGGCAATATCTTGCTAATTGTCATGGCTCTATGCGCAGTTTGGTCAAGGACGTCCTTGAGCTGTATCGCTCCAAGCAGATCCAACCTGTACCCATCACAACCTTTGACGTATCGAACGTTGCCCAGGCATATCGCTATTTCTCGTCCAGGGACAGAGTAGGGAAGATCGTAATTTCTCTTGATAATCCAAACAGCCTTTTAACTGTGAGTTCAGACTCTTGCTAGCCCATTATTGGTGACAATAATGCTGACTACATGCCTCCCAGGTTGCACCTCCGAAGTACATTACAATACTTGATTCCACGAAGGTGTATCTTCTTGTCGGAGCTCTTGGGGGTTTAGGGAGAAGTTTAGTACGTTGGATGGTGTCACGAGGTGCACGGAAATTTGTCTTCCTCCAGAGATCAGGCTGTGATAAGTCGAGCGCCCGGGAGTTTGTGTCTTGGTTGAGACAAGAAGGAGCACGCACTGTGGTGGTTAAGGGCGATGTCACAAAATTGGATGACGTGGTGGCAGGCATAGCAGCCTGTAAAGATCTTGGGGGGCCTATCGGTGGTGTATTGCAAGCTGCAATGGGTCTTCATGAAGATATGTTCAGCGCGATGACGAGCGAGGTTTGGCACGAAAGCATAAGGCCTAAATGGGCGGGTACGTGGAATCTTCATAACGCACTAGAAGGGCACGACGACGATCTCGACTTTTTCCTCATGACCTCTTCCATGAATGGGACTACTGGATTACCAACGGAAAGCAATTATTCTGCAGCAAATGCTTTCCTGGACAGTTTTGCACACTGGCGAAGGAGCCAAGGCAAACCAGCCGTATCACTCGCATTAGGAATGGTGTCTGACGTTGGCTATCTTCACGAGAATCCCAAAATTGAAGAATTGCTGCTGCGGAGAGGGACCCAGCCTCTCAGCGAGAGTGACGTTCTTCTACTTGCTGATATCGCGATCGGGGGGGTGAGTAGTCACTGCGGGCTAGGACAGCGACAAGCAGATATTGCACCAGCTCATATACTCACTGGCTTGGAGACTGCGAATCTGCGAAAAATAATGAATCAAGGATTCGAAGTGTCTAATTCAACCCTAGATGATCCTCGGTTGTCTATCCTAGCAGCTTCACTGGAGGTTGCTCACAATCCTATGGGCTCGAACGAAAATGGAAATTCGGAAGGCGACCAGCAGATCATGAGCACTCCATGGATGAGGGGTTTACCCCGGGAGGTTACTGACATTCTCAAACCAGAACTTGCTGGGGCCTCATCTTTGAAGGGATTAATATTGCGAATCTTAACCAAGAGATTCTCCGACCTGCTGCTCACACCGAGAGACCAAATCGACCCCGACAGGTCGTTTGTGCAATTTGGGTTAGACAGCATGATCGCGTCGGAGTTTAGATCATGGCTTTGGAATTTATTTAAGGTGGACGTACCGTTTCTGGACCTTTTGGGTTCTCGCAAGTCTTTGGATACCGTAGCAGCACTTGTAGAAGCAGATTTACTATCACGGACTGTAAGGTGTGAAGTAAAGTCCTAGGTTAAGGGTTAACCTCTTTGGAAATAAATGTAACTAACCTAATGACAAACGGGGAAACGGCTTTTAGTAGTCAGCTGACTTGCTGACATATAATATACATAACCCCTATTTAACCTGGATAGTGGGTCCAATAGGGGCGCATCCACCAATTAAGAGTTATGGATCAGATAATCTTATCTGATTGATAATTTGGCTTGGCATTATCCCTGGCCAATAAAGGTCCATCTTACTGCTTTTGGTCTACATCTTCAGGGATTTATAGTTATGATACTTCTAGGTAACTTAAGAACCCATTACAAGATGACTCATGAGTGACCGCCATATCCAGGCCTATTCGTCTGCCTGCCTGCCTGCGTTCGGTGTCAGCTTCGGCTTCGGCTAGCCGATCTACTTCTTCTTAAAAATAGGTACCTCCTGTCTGCCCCCAACCGCCTTTTCGATTCTTCCTTGTCGCTTTTGACCAACCCTACGATGCCGATAACCCGTTAGACTGGCCAACTGGCCGTAGATGGATGGTGACCGACGTCTTGTCCGCTACAGGCTTTAACCGTATCATGGTCTCAACAATTATGGCCCCAGCATTAACAACCATCACCAACGAACTAAACATGAGCTCAGCTGAGTCGGCCATGTCCCTTCTATATACCTCTTAGCCACTGTCTTCGGTCCGCCCCTTATTGGACCGTTGTCGGAAATATACGGTCGAACAGTTATTCTACATAGTTCTAACGTCTGGTTCCTCGTTTGGAATATTGTTTGTGGGTTTGCCCCGACAAAGGGCACACTTATTGCAGCTCGCTTTCTGGCAGGTTTTGGTGCCAGCGCCATATATTCCCTTGCTGGGGGCGTCCTTGATGATGTCTGGAGGCCAGAACAGCGAGGGAATTCACTCGGAGTCTACTTAATAACCCCCTTGCTTGGCGCAGCAGTTGGTAAGCTCTCCGCACAATATCTGATAGTGCTGGAAGGGGATCAATCCCCTCTATAATTTGATGACTACACTAGACCGACCGATTTATCTGATTAGCATCTCAGGTCCTATAATTGGTGGTTTTATGGCTGCGCGAACAACATGGAGGTGGATGTTTTGGGCTACCTCAGCATTCCAAGCTGTCATGATACTGGTGTCTTATTTTAGTTTCCACGAGTCGTACGGACCAATAATACTTCGACGGCGTGCCCAGCGCCTTCGCAAAGAAACTAGAGATAGTCGATATCATACTTAAGGTGAAATAATCATGGGAACAGTTCAGCTGTTACCATTCTAGTGCGAGCTCTATCACGGCCGGTTCGTCTCTTGCTTTTCCATCCCATCATCCAAGTTTCAGCCGTTCTATCAGGATTTAACTACGGAATCTTGTATGTCGTACTCTCTACATTTTCTGCTCTGTTTACGTCCCAATACGGTCAGTCAGTCGAAATTAGTGGACTACACTACATTGCTTGCTCCCTTGGCGAGTTGGCTGCGCCATGGCGGCACAGCAATTTCTTAGGAGCTTGATGGCTTTCTTATTCCCATTATTCGCTCCAAATATGTACACGGCACTTAGATATGGATGGGGTAATAGCGTACTGGCTTTAGGGGGCTTGGTGCTTTCAATCCCTCTCCCGATATTTTTATGGAAGCATGGGGCAAGGTTAAGGGCCCAAGCAATTTCGACCTACTAAGGATTATGGAATCACTTGTTATAAGCTGACCTGACGATAAGGAGAGTGTAGGCAAGCATCTTATCTAAAGCATTTCGAATTGATTCTTCCTGGGCTATTGCTATCCTCCTAACGCATGCTTCAACATGGAAAAAATCCCGAGGAAATATTTCAGGGTTAGAGGGCTAAAGTCCGTCGATTTTCCTTCTCAAGGGTTGCCGTACTTACTATATATAAGTTAATACCGCACTAAGGCACCTGAGGCAAATAAGTTGATAATTCTTTGGCGAGTATTAATATTAATCATACTTTATCATACTTTATATTTAGGATAACCATAATACTAAGACTTAACAATATTTCAGTAACTACTCAATTTACAAAGTTTGTACCCCAATAATCTATGTATTTCAACACCCTGTTAAAAGCCATTGACATGACATCTCAGATCAGAGACTATACGTAAGGATATGTAAGTTATAATTGGTACGGGTAGTATAGAGCTAAAATGTATCGAATTGTCTTTACGAAGACTTCACTATCATATATGAAGGAAATCTTAGCAAGTACAGTAACAGTGACTTACATTACGGTCTACAAATTCTCCTACTCGCCCTTTGAACGTTCGAGCAATTGCGTGTCACGCTTATGTCATAGCATACATAGTAAATGCCATCTAATATTATTACGCATTAGTATCTAAATACTTTATTCGAACTGCTGCCAGATAATCTCATATTAACTCAAAATCTCACTTCTAGTTTAGGGCCTGGGGGCTGATTACAACAATGATATGCAGTGCACTCATTGTAACGCAATGTGACTGGCGGGTGGTATTATACGGCAATTGTTGTTAGAAACAATTAAATCGTGAATTTGGAGATCTGTGAGTTATTTAGGAGCTGTTTTACCAATAGCTGGGCTAGATATAATAGAACACAGTATATACATATTTGTTGTAGCTACCAAAGTTATCAAATCTGGTATAGAGATTCACTATGCTGTCATATCACCATAGGCCTATCCATTCCAGGGGTATACAGCAGTGTATAACCACTACACTAAGAACTATATTGGTTCTTTATTTGGTGTGAACGACCCAGGCCCCTTTTTATTATCTTCAATATGTCCCCTCTAACCATTAGAGTCAAATATAAAGACCTGTTAGGTGACAGGATGTGACTCTGGATATGGAGGAGGTGTCGAAGTATAACATGGCAAAGGGAAAGTCATAGGAATGGAAACCTCTCCACTAACACATGATAGACTGGCATAGATGACTGGGCAGAGTGTTTCCCTACCCATGCCACCCCCTAAGCGTCAACAATCTTGGCATCCCAACATCGCCGCGGGCAACATTCTGAGTCATACCTTCCATAACCTTCCATAACCTCATCGCCATGGCGATTTGAGTTGATACCTAAGGATCTTTTCATTCTGCCCCTTCCCTAAAATCCAATTGCTACTTTTACAATCAATATTTAACCACACAAGCCATAACTTTCCCCAACCTTTCCCACCAATCCTACCAATCCTAATAATCATAATTACCTACCACCTAACCCATGAAAACTTTACTCATAACCCTTCAAAATTACCCAACCCTAACCTACCTACCTATCCTAAATCATCAAATTCATCATTCATAATAATCAGCGTCTCCTCCAGTCACGGTGGCATCTGACAAAAAAAAATGACCAGCATGCTGGTTTTCAACTTCGACTGAGATGATAAATATTCCCCAATTTCTATCCTAAAAACATACACAAATCTTGATCCACGGCGGAATAAACTTACTGCAACCTAACGCCATAGATTCTGAAGAGGTACGTCCTACCATATGCAAAGATGGCTGAGGAACCATCCCCAAGCAGAAGACTCGACAACGGCACCGCGCTCGAAGCCTTATTCCTTATGACGGTAGACATGGCAAAGGAATGGCATAATCATAGTGTCACCCCCAGCAGCAAGACTGTCAAATCCTTCGAAGAGGACATGGAAAAAGTCTACAATGACTTTCGTGTCTTGTTTCATGCCTCGAATAGGGAGAAGCTGCAATCCCTGCTCCCAGGAATGTTCCCTCACGATTTGTACGGATACGCGGCGGGATATCCTCCTACCAAGGCTGATAAGAGATTTATCTACATTAATCTCCCGTGGGCCACTGATGATGTCCATCGAATACAAGTAGTAAGTTGATTTGTTTACCATTTTGTCTTATCATCTATGAAGAGTTAGGGCTAATAGCTATCACAGATACCCTTCGCAACCGACTATCTTAACTAACTCCTTATACTACAACGTTTAACAAACACTATTCTATTATCACATCAACTTCAATACAATATACTATTTTAAGCTGTTGTAAATGTGACTCGACCCGGACAACCCATGGGAGACATTCTGCCCATCAATTATAGTATCTTCGGGTTCGTACTTCATCCTTTAATAAAGGTTTAGGTAGCTAATCCTCTCATCTAGCGGTCAACCTAATTACAGCCTGTGGGAAGGAGCAATGAGCAAGAGGGCCATATATAAGATTTCCACCATTGAAAAGGAAACCATACCTCAAGAGACAAGACACCAAAGACGGGATGTGCGCGGGAATTTGGGATTACAGTCAACCCCTATTATGTAACAACATCAGACGATTACCTACTGTATTCATCACGCGATTACAGAGACAATCAAAAGGCGACCCAAAGATGGGACGAGTGAATCAGGACCTCGAGTCCTATGTTCCGTCGGGCGGCGCGGCGGTTCAGATAGACCCATACGCTATAGACGCACATCGTGTCGCGAGGTGGAGCAAGAAGCAAGGAAACAATTTCATTATTCCGCGAAGAACTTGAAGCCACTACAACGGGATCCTATATCTATAAATACTGACAATGTCCTTTGTTCTCGATGTATCATCTAGTATCCTGACATATTGGGCGACTGAGTGGGAAATGACATACAGATATCCAGGTAGATAGTCATAGCATGCTCACTGGATATAAACAAGTTCATTAGGAACCTAAAATCTCTTAGATTGCAGTTCGTTAAGATAATAAACATCACCTAGGTTACTTCACAAGTATAATCACAAGGATACAAGTTATTTCATCACCACCATTCCTGAAGAATGATAAGAAGCCCCGCCTAAGCCACGAGACTTTTCAATAATTACTTGAAGATACATGAGAAAATATTGTTTTGCCGGTACAGGCATATATCCAGAATAAGGATCCTTCGGCTAAGTTGTGTTTCCGCTGGTACTTTCTAGAGTTAGTTGTAATGTACCATCTGTGCTATTTCTACACAATATCTGACCCATTCCGTCGTAGGCGATCTCATAACTGGATAATAGTACACTAACCTCACAACATCTAACGCTCTGGATATATTTTCACCCAAGTGACAGTCGCGTTCACGTAAAAACCAGAACTAGGATTAATACCGCCGCGTAAACCGACACACATAAGATTTAAAAAAAGAAAAAGAGAAGAAGAAAAGGTAGACTAAAGTACGCGTTAACTCTCACTCAACATGATCGCAGAAGCGATTGCTACAAGCTCCGGGAATCTAACCCGGGTCTCAAGCTAACTACCGAATAATGGCCATTGCACTAGGATTGCTTCAAGATTGCATGTTTGCTCAGGCCCTCGTTGCGGTATATATCGTGTAAACACAGACAGCCAATCACGGTTAAGGATTCCTTCGCGCTTCGAAGGAAAAAGAAAGTGGTTGAGACTAGCACAACTTGGGAGTAGGTAAGTTTGGCGATGGGGTTAGGGTAAGTGGGTGGAGACGAGCTTGCTGGATTGGATTTTATATTCAGAACTGAGAGTTCATTATGTATCGTGGGTTTTGAAATGTTGATTGGTAGAAGAAGAGTATGTAATAATTAGTATGTAATAGGTAAAAGCCAGAGTCCCGTTTAATCTACCCCATAATCCCCAGTCTGCGAGGCACTACCCTTGTCGCTGACATTAAGCTTCTCGAATTTCTTTCGAGCTTCTTGGTAGTCTTCATCCTTATTCACGTCTTCAGTGTCCGCTTCCGCTTCCGCTTTCCCCGCCTCCTTAGCTATCTCCTTGCCCTGCTTGGCAGCTTCCAGCGCAGCCGGCTTTAGAGACCCATCCTCGTTGACGTCTTCCTTCCGGTAGAGTGTAAACACAATGACCAGGTAGGTGTCGGTAGTCGACCGGTTTCGTAACGTGTATCTAAGGGTGTGTGAGCGTTTCGGGTTGGACCTAGATAGGTAAAACGACGCAATGAGAAAGGACGATTCCAACAAATCATAATGAGATGCGTTAGTAAGTCGGGGGGTTCCTTACCGTAGGCTCTGGCCGTCCCAATACTTCATGATTGGTAGAGTGAAGCCCGGTAAGCGCAGGCTGAACTCGCTAAAGTCCAAATACGGGTTGAAAAAGTCCAGGCAGTACGTTTTATCGTACTGGAATAGCCATTTGCTCTTGTTTGCCGGCTTCAAAGCCCACTTCATGCGGTCTTTCGCTATTGCTGGAGCGCCGATGGCCTCTCGCTCTTTCAACCCGTCTTCATCGCCACCTTCCTCGAACCATAACCCGCCCTTTTCGGGATTGACCTCCCCTGTGCCAATATGAACGGAATTAAATGATGAGAGGGCTGATCCGTAGAGATATGGCTGATCCGCGTACGCATCGCCCTCAAGACCGGGATCGATCCACCATTTTACAATGTTCATAGCATAGCTAAAGCCGGGTGGGAGGCGATCACGGATCGGATGCTCAAAGTCATTTCCAAATTGGAGGTCTTCCCCAGATATGCCATTTGTCGATTCTTCGCTGGTATCTTCCCCGCTGGTTTCTGGAGACGAAGACCTGGACGGGTCGGTAGAAGTAGTCTTTGAGCTAGGAGGACTTGCTGGCCTCTTGGGGGTAAAGCGAATCGCTATGCTGTATTGATCCTTACTGGAAGCATGTGGTTCGTGAGAGAAATAAGGAGACGTAGTAGGCGAATTCCTTGGCAGACCTCGATAGTTTTGCACGCGAACGTTGAGATCGATGTCGATCAGTTCGCTACTAATTTTAATCGGTTCGTGCGTGTTAACTGGCACTATGACATGTTGATCTAAGTCGTAATCTGACCCAGCAGTGACTTGAATGACGTATTTATCTGCCATACCGCGAAACAGCGAAACGGCCGTGTTCTGGTCTAATATAGTCTAGAGACTACCACAGCTCAGTCTCGTATAGTTGCCTCGCGACTAGTATTCACGTAATGCGGTTTAGTAAGTCTAGAAATGCGATATATTCTAGCATATAGAGGGAAAACACCCAATCATAAGCTTAGACTGGTGACTGTATGGCTTCGACTTTTTCACGGCGTATGACGATTACCAAAGAGGATTAAATCAGGGCCAAGGAGAAGAATTGGGCTGGTAGTTACTTGGTGATTAACAAGATAAAGATACAGCAATCGGGGAAGTCTATAATAAATTAAACCCTTTGTGTTTAGAGAAGTTAACAATGGAAATTGGAAGACTAGAACGTCGTTGAATTGGTAATGTAATAGTTGATATTTGTTGGATCTGGAATTTGCATGATGGTGGATGACGTCGCTAAGGAAAGCCGGGGTCCAAAGCACGGACCGTAGCTTATTTAATGGAGCTGCGATACATGAAGTCCTGTGTACATAATCAAAAAAATACATGTAACCTAGAGCATCGGGTTTAGATATAAATCCATACCTACATGTACCTCTTATTATCAATGATACGGTATTGATTCTGTTACACTTGAGGCGGTATATCGGAGATACGAGTATGTTGAATATTCAGCTCAAGTACTACTAAGTACATTGTAAAGTCTGTACCTATTAATCTAGCCTTTGTACTTTAACGTAGGTAGTTATAACTAACGTCTTTTAAACTTGGGAATAATTAGGCACACTACCTATGTAGGATTCCGTAGGTTTCATCATAATAGTATTCTCCATTAAAAATAGTAACGTCGGTTGGGGGAAAATACAGGCGTATGTCCTAGGATACTATGTACTTGAGAAAATAATATATACGCTTATATATACGTTTATGGTAATGGCAATACTATTTGGGCACGAGAAATTGATCGATATCAACTCTTTCGAAGAAGCTAATGTGGCCGAAACCAACCCAATACTGCGCCAGGCGATTATATGAGAGCAAGAGGAGCTGCGACTCGATATATCGATCTATAGATAGTTTAGTGGAAACGACAGAAATAATCCAAGTATTAGATATCTCACCATTAGAAAATCCCATGTGAGCAATGTGTCCTCGGCTTTTCACAACTCGAGCGCCTTCAAACGGCGGCTCTTTAGCCGTGCCTAACAATCCATTGTCGCTTAAATCATCAGCAACAAAAGTATACTCGCCTCTCGGTACATTAACGTCGCCTGTTAGCTTGACCGCTTCTAGCCGGCCGCGATAGACACGTTCGTGAAGAAAGCGTTGTTCAAACTCTGACTCTGTCTCGTCCTGAAGCTGCTCGAAGGGTTCCTCCTCCTCACTCTCGTCATCAGGCTGGTTGATCAATAGAAACTCGCAACCGTGCCCGCTAAAATCGCCAACCCATATTCCTCTCCAGGGTTTCTCAGCCGTTGGAGTATATAGGGCGGAGTCAAGAGTTGAGTAAGTTACTAGCTCCTCGGCAGCATGCACTCCGAGAGTTGGTGGCCCCATCTCCATCCATCGCCTAATACGGAACGTTTGATCGGATGCTTCCGAGCGGTTGCGCGGCTGCCACATTGCTGACGTCGACCTTGTATAACTCAGAGATGTCGCAAGCGGATGCACACCAGTCGGTTGGCCTGTCACACGATGGCGCGCTGGAATTGCGGGTGGGGGCCAGACATAACCATAAGGAAATTCGTTTATCATGCGGCCAACTAGGGCGGACTTGGTAAGAGGCTTTGCCAGAAGAAAGTTGCTAAATCGAGGATCCGTCCCGCCGTTAATACGCATTGGCTGCTCCGAGAAGAAATGTCGGAAGGATAGAGATGGAGACTTTCCACGAACTATGTTCTCGAAGCTATCTACATCCAGTTGCAATACGGGCTTGTCGAGATGCAACTTCACAGTAGGTTCGAAATAGTGGATGTGAACTGCCTGATCAGCACCCCATGGCTCGCTACCATCTCTATTACGCGTAGCGAGCATCTGATAACCTTCGATGCAGCCTCGGCGCTCGTCGTATCGGATGATGATTATTTGGCCGGTCAACTCGTGATCGCAAAACCATAGCTTGTGTTTCGTCAAAAACCAGTACGGGTCGTGTGATATGTAGAGCTCGCGCCAGCTTTGACATGGATACGGGGAAGTGACACGATTTCCTGGAAGGTTCGATAATACGTGTCGCCTCCACTGTGTATCGGAGTTTGCATGGTTTCGCAGTGCACGGCAAACGAGAGAGACGGTGGCTAGCTCTAGAGGAGCAAGCCAGGAAAATATTGCATCAATTAATTCGGAGGGAAGATTGAGGATAGGACTTATATCGGAATCGCCGCTCGGAGACGAAAGGGCGGGACTTAGGTCTGTCGGTAATTGTCAGCTAAGGCGTCTTTGAATCCGAGGTTCCAGGCTAACGAAAAAGAGCGTAAACGCTGCTTATAGAACGGAGGCGTGGATTCACGAACCTCGGCTTGCCACGCTTGTACTATGCCGCTGTATAGGAACATCAAGATCCTCGTCTAAGTCGGGACCGAGCATCTTGCGGCGATCCGTAGTACCGTACCGCAAATCATGATCGGGAACAGACTTAACAACGAGAACATGCTCTTCAATTTCGGGGTTTAATCCTCCGTACGCGACAGCAGGATTGTGTATATTCACCGTGTAAGTCGAGGTTGACTCTGACGGCTCGTTGTCCGGTGCCGTGGCATTGCTGGCGCTAGCCTCGTCCGACGAAGTAGTCGTGGGCCTTGGGTGCCAGATACGCTCGCGTCCTTTGTCGGACATTTTGACGACTTCCGCTGCGGAACCCAAGCGTACAGGTGACAAGTCGGGGGTTCGAAGGATCCAATTGACAAGGATGACCGCCACGTGGTGGAGAGCTGAGGGGTTGAAAACCCAGAGTCGGTCGTGGAGAGAGAAGATTAAACGAGATCCGGATCGTGAATGATTTAAAGCACACCAATTTTCCTACAATCTTTCTCCCCCTTAATATCGGCAACGCTGGCTCCTAGTCGCGCAAAGGCGACGAGCATAGGGACACTGTTTGAAGATTAGGAACAAGGAGGGAGGTATCTCGTTATCATAATGACGGTAGATGGATTATTTGCAGATTTAAGCCCGACGTAGATGTAACAGCTCATCGCTCATCTGTTCACATGTAAAGTGGACGTGGTTCCACGGCGGCGGTTAATAGTAAAGTTTAGAATTGACAGAATCATCGAATTAATTGATAGGCTTGGCCTGGCTAGCAAGGCACCAAGATGTTATGTGGAGGGTGGAAAAGATCGGAAGAGGGATTCCAATGGCTTATCAATACCGGTTCTGCGCTGTCTATATATCCAAGTTTATCCAGGAGTTGTTCAGAATTGATTAAAAGAATCGGAACGGGATCGGTCCATTGGCAATGGGGGATAATAAGGTAACGTAGATGATTAGTCGACTACCTAAGGTTAAGGTTGTTGTTTTGATTCGATTATACCTTGCCAACTTGCTGTGTATCTGTGTACCTATGTACTAATCGCGCTGACCCACCGGATTGGGACCGGGAAGGTTCCACCCATATCCATCCATATCCACCCATACCGGAAAATACCACGAAGCACTCCCGCAACTATTCCCCTAATTAGTAATTCTAGACTTCTAATAGTTGTCATTACAGGGTACATGGGCGCTATAGTCACATCTCTTAATGCTATATTCTGGCCCCATCGCTGTTTGGCATTTATTACTGACTAAGACCTCAAGTTCGTACCTGCTATTCTCATGCACGTTTTCCTTTATACGAGGAAGGCATATCAGGTGCCTAACCTTAGCGCATCTTTCAATTTTGTTCCTTAAGCACCTAATCCATTAAAACCATCTTCTGATCTTCCTTACCTTCCTTACCGTCTTCGACATCACTGCCAACAACACTGCCAGATCGACTAGTCCCGAAAGAGCCATATCCCGCAACCCGCATCGCGGCATACCTTACGTGTTAAGCAGATTACCGCCCAAGAGTTTCTTTGTCCGGATATCCGTGACAAGATGATTATATGGCGTACCTAGGTATCTTACGGTTGAAGATCCCTATCACACGCCATACCATCCCTTTCGCTCGGTTGTAATTTCAAGATGTGGCTAGTCCTCTAAGCTATTGGGACAATAATTTTGTCCCCCATGCCTTGTCTACCGAAAACTCACCCACCAATACATCTCGCGTTACGTGAATCTAACCCTGCAGGATCCCCGATCTAGCTATGTCCTCGATCCTATTGGAACGGCTGCTCATTCCTCTCGTGGGAAAAAACAGCCTAGGGCCGTGAAAGGGAAGCCAGCCATTATCAACCAGCCATTATCGGATCACAGATCCAATTTGGTAATTTGGTACGCTACACCTGACGATGCTACGATACATCTCGGAGCCATCAACTAAAAGAACTCGAAGACTACAACTGCGATACTGCCTTTCTATGTTAGTAGTGCCTGTTTGTTACCATTATTCCTCCGACTCAAGATCTACGTGCTGCTCTGCAGAAGAAGAGCCGAAAGAGTCGCCATACCTTGCAAGGTTATAACATGTACTTCCGATGGCAAACCGCCTTCCCTTCTAGTTATCGACTGATGCTGTGGGTATGGGTAAGGATTATTTTGCACGCAGGCATTTACCCGTCCATATTTCTTGATATTACCATGTAGGTCCACTCCTGGCTATAGATTTACTATGTCTAACCCCAAGATCCATATGGATTTGTCGCTATGTAGGCTTTTTATAGATGTTTATACCGCATAGACCACCTGCAATCGGGGTGGTTTCTTGGCATGTCTGCTATGATGTTACTACCTAATGTTAGGACATCATCGCCGATGCTAGAAAACTTTTGGGCCAAGTTTGTGAAGCACGATTTCGCCCGCATGTAGGTCAGGTTTGGGAAGGGTTGCTCTCCAGGCTTGCTTGGCGCGCTGGAAACCGCCCTTGGCATTTGGCGACAAGACTCTTGGTCATCTGCGCAAACGTCGGGGCCCTAGGTCCCCTGCCTATCTTGTTAGGGTATGGATGCAAATGCGACTCAATCTGTTATCAACGACATCAGCGAAAATCGGAATTTTACTTCGCCTACGGAAATCCGTTCCCGTGATGCCATCGGCAGTCGTCTAGTATTGGAGCACTAGATTTGGAGAGCCGCTGCTATTTCTGTCTTAGTCGTCCCGACATTTGAGCTTCCTCTTCGAGTCTACTTGATTACTAGTATGGCTACCTAGGGACCGTATTGAAACCAATGTAGTCCGTGCAAATCCAGCATATCGAGATCGTCCCGCCTCTCCGCTGTCCTCCACTGCTCGGCGGACTTGTCATCCTAAGTATGCCAAGCATAAAGTACTATTTAGTTGCAGCATCAAGCTGGCTGCCTAGCATTGTAGTGTAGGCTTCTCTTCAGGCTCCCCCTGAATTTGGCTAGGCTCATGAAGCCCGAGGCCACGGAACTCCTTGTCGCCTCTAAGCGATCGGGGCCCCTATTTTTGGCATCGATCTTACCCTTGTGTGGCTGCCGAGACCCGAGGGACTCTCTCCCGGTAAATCATATCTAGGCCAAAGACCCGAGGCTAGATAGACGATGTGTTCAAGAGCGAAAATCAGGTTATTTTAATGACCTTGGTATAATGTTGCCATATTTATTCAGGAGAAGTGATTATATGTTTTCATGTTCTTTTTTACTACGCAACTAGACTCTATTTATTCTACATAGGGCTGCTCAAAATGAGCCCTTGAATCATGCGCTTTTATAGTTATATCTATGGTGTAGAGAAGGGGTGTTCTATCAATACTATTATGAGCACGGGAAGACCTTTTAGCAGCAAGGGAAGGTGTGTTTAGGATATGAGCCTGGTCCCTGATGAGCCGATAGTTGCTCCTTTGCAGTTACTCATGAGAAGATGATATGGATATTCGCCATTACCAATCATATGTGCGAATAAGTTCTCATGTTGTATTTTGTACGTTCTTGAGTTTTAGAGGACGTTGTAGAGAGCAAGAACAACCATAAACATACCTAACCTAGTAGCTCGTGTATCCATCCTAGAAGGTGGAGTCTACGTGGTCCACTGTTTTAGGGCAATATGCACGGACCGCATTGCATACGTATTTTCGTACCTAACCTGAATGTACCTAACCTGAATGTAGCGGGCAAACGTCAGGTAGTTTCATCAATGTTTACTTCAAGCTATTAGTCTATAAAGCTACTATAATCATCTCTACATCACATAACGTCAGCAAGATAAAAGCCATATTCAAGCTTCTTCAACCCTGTTTGTTAACCTCGCAAGCCTTATATCGTATATCTACATGTACTTGCAATCCTGATTTAGCAAGCTATTAAAATATATTGAAGCCCTACCCCTCAGCTGTCTTCCATCATCATCAATCTATTGTCCCATCTTTAAGTCCGTTTTCATCCAGTGTTAATCATCTTCAATAATACCACTCCGTATGTGCGTCGTCCCAACTATTATAGGAGTTATGTCTGGATTCTTTTCTCTTCTTCCCGACCTGCTTCCGATGATACTACCTTCTGAGGTACAAATTACAAAAGCTTCTGACCTTGAGGCTCAAAGAGGCGGGAAGGATGCGCCCATGATTCGCCAGGGAGCTGTGATCGGCAAGAGTGATAGAATGTGTGCTACTGGTAAGCTACCTCCTTGTCTACCTACCCAACTACTTCCCTTTTGTACATGTACTGTGCGTCCTGTAGGATGCCATTATAGACAATAATCAACCCTTGCCCAATTCCCAATTATGTAGTCGTTCCAACCCTATGTCAGATTTATAGTAACATCGTCCATAGTTTTGATAGCCAAGCCCCGGTGTTCCTCGGCAGTACATCACCATGGTGAACAAGGTCAGTCTTGGCTCGATCGCAAACGCGTCAAAGTACTCTATCTAACATTCACATAGAGACTATCATCTACGCCGCCTCAGGCAAGGGAATGGTATGTATTAAAAGAATTTTGAACTTGAGGATATAAAACCTTATTTCTCTACTATCTATGATAGGCACTTGTTACTCTACGTAAATCATGTAGGCTAACTTGTTCGCAGTACGTAATTACGCCCCAATCACTCTTGTATCACTCTTCAGCTTTCTATCTCCAATAAATTGAAATTTCTAGGGTCTGCAGGAAAAACTGACAAATGATAGATTGGTGACTAGCTCCGGTGCGGACGAAGAACCCAAGAGACATGAGCTCTCGCCAGGGGATTTTGCTTTCATCCCGCCCTGGACTGAACATCAAGAAATCAACGAGACTGATGAGAATGTTGTGTGGATTCTCATCCGGAGTGGCCCGGAACCTGTGGTGGTCTACTTGACAGGTTGGGGAGGCGACGAGGCAAAGGCTGATTCAATCGGTTGAAGCTACTATCAATAGCATTCACATACAGCCAATTCAACAAGTCTGTACGTGTAGGTCTAAAATGCCAGGTGTCTAGTGGCGCATGAATCTTTAACTCTATTACTTATTAACTAGATAATCAGTGGCAATTTCCAGGGTGGACATCTATTCTTTACAATGACGGCGTATTACTCTGCAAAGTCGATCCTGAGTCTGCTCCGAGTCAAACACTTGAGCATGATCTAATCCCGGAAACCAGAGTAGCTCGATCCCGTCGCGTGTGAGAAGGCTATCCCCCAATCTATCTCGTTCTATAGACAGCTTCTCAAGCCTATAATCTTCTTTATCTGCAGGGTTGGGGGTGACCCATCCATCACCAGCAGTGCCCAAATATTGGGCCACCACTGAAGTGTCGACAATCAAATCTCGCTCTGCAAGACACACCGCTACCTTTCGCCGCGGTCTTGCAGTAGCTCGGCCCCCCTGATCACCCACACCACCTACTTCTGCAGATGATCGTCTCGCCACTCCCAATAGCTCTTCCTTCCAAACAATATTATCTTTCCAAAAGAAATACCGCCCAAGGCAGTGCGCCACCCCGGGATCCATACTCGCAAAGTACCATAGCTGCCACTCGTTGGCCCCTTTAGGCCTGCGTCTAGTAAAGTTGTATGCTACATCTGGTAGATGCAACAAGATAGTCACGGGGTCGATGAGAACCGTTGAAGCGATCCGGTCGCTTAGGTTTTCCGAGCGCAGCATGTGGGTTGCCAAGACGGTTCCATACGAATGGGATGCTAACACGAACCTGTCCCACCTGTGCACATCCAGAATCGTAGCAACCTGCTTCAGGAATTCGACCCTGCCTAATGGTTCCCCCGTGAGCCGGAAGGACACTGGTAGAACCTCGATAGCAATAATACCTATCTGTCCCTCTCCATCTTGTTCTTTTGATTGCGAGTTCAGTCGAGCAAGGAATGGCACGTACGGGTAAAGGCCGATACCGATACCATGCAAGAACACAACTGGAAGTTTATCGGAAGCGGTATGCGGACGGTGCCAATAAGTTAATCCATCTGCCTCGGAATACCTTTCGGCGAAGAGGTCTTGTAATCGCGGAGGGATGAGTGAGCGGGTCTTAGACGGCGAGTGAGCATGATAATGGAACCCGCTACGCGCTAATCGGCAATGCGACACAAAGTCGACCAGTCCCACGAGAAAATACCACACAACACTTCTATATCGGGTTTCCACTTCGTCCAGGGTTAATCGGAGACCCTCAGCCTTCCCTCTTCCCGGTTCTAACCTGCGTCCCAGGCGCCCTTCGATAATTTCTATGTACTCGTCTATTTCTTTGTCTTCCTCGTCGGACTCCTGACCCGGACCCTTATCAAAAAATGCCCAAAGAATAAAGTCGCGTACGTTGTCTCTCCGTATGTCAGACTCGTCTGCGCCAAGGAACCACATCTGGATATAGCGCCGGACGTCAGGTACGTTTGCGAAGCAGCGCTGGAACAGAGCACGGCGTTCTTCACGTGGAAGCTGAGGTGGATGTTTTGCTTCGTCCTTTAACCGCCGATTGTGCGGGATGTAGATCAGAATAGCGTACAGCACGTCAACGATGCAGTAGAGGAGTAACCCTATGCCCAGAGGGCGGGATAGCACCGCTGAGAGGGACCAGCTATGGGCCGCTGCCAAGAAAGTTAGGCATACTATGCAGAGCGGCGTGGTATACTGCAGCATGAATATGCATATACGGATGAAGATGTACTCCGGTATCGACGTGCCAATCATAACGACAGCGGTTCCGGCTTTGGGCAAGACGGGAGCCAGTTATGATAGGTAGGGTGTGTCAGTCTGTCTGCCACCTCTTGTCTCTTCCCTCTTCGCTCTTAGTAAACTTGGATAGATTAGGTAGTGGACGAGATGAGAACTTGGGTCTTTCTGATGCAGGCGCCACTTTAGCTAGTCGATATTATTTACCAAACAAAATTGTAACTTATGTAAACAAGAACATTTTCGCTTCAACTCCAATAATTATGACTATATTGATTATTTTTCCTAAATGAGGGAAACTCGCTCAATAGCTTCCAAAGATGGAAGGCCTCGATGGGTAGTTATTAAGGTTGTCGGCTCAACGTTTGTGGCTTGGCAGCCTGTTTCTGCTGGGGAAATCGGCGCAGCTCGAGTGACGTTGCTGTTTCGTACTAATGTATAGCCTAGGTACATGTAGGTTAGGCTATGTATTGTACCTAGGCAGGTACCTAGGAGGTATGACATGTGCAAGTAGACAAGTGGCTGACGGTTTTTGATTTGTGGCTACACTAATGGCTCGTGATACTGATTACCTAATTCAACTCGGTACCTAGGTACATCTTACAGTTCGAAGGCGAAAAGGGGGCCCCTAACCCCTTTTTAGCAGGTAGCCAGCTTGCCAGCTTAAGATCAAATAACTTGAAGGACCTCAGTTCCAGCAGTATAGGGGCCAAAAGATATGATCGAAGTTTTATCCTATTCAGAATCGTGTTTTATCAACTGGGATTAGATACGAAGATCTGATCTCATCATGAGTTTGTTTACGTTTAGTTAAGAGAAATCTACGTAAAGTTAAGAGTAATGCGTATGAATTATGAGCACCCCCCTTTAAGTGTAGGTTCTTCAATTTTGAAACGTTCCGCATTGATGAGATGTTTTTTTATTCTCCTTTATCTTATAATTAGCAATATCACATTTAACGGTGTTTGAACAATTCCATTTTTCAGTTGGGTATTTCTTCAATGTATTAAATACTACTAGCTGGAGTACAATCTACTTTGGCCATATTTACATATATGTAGGCTGTCGTAGTGAAAAAATCGTGAATATCAACACATGTCAATGTAGAGTAATCTAATTCGGAAATAACATTCCTGTGGTTGTATATATGGCTTTATTCAGCTTCTTCGTGTTATTGCTACCTGTCTTTGTACTTGGTTAATGCCGATAAATTTGGATCACTAGTCATATTCTATTACTTCTTCTATTTAAGTACATATTTTAAAGGGAAGCACCTTAATTCTGTCCCATAAGGCAAATATCCTGAAAGCTTCTAGACATAATATTGGTCTTTGTGAAATGACGAGAATTATTACCTTAACCCAACCACACTTTTTCAATATCAGATTTACATTGAAAGTAAACAAAAGCCCACCTCTCACCTTTTTAATATGGAGGTTCTGTAAAACGACCTGATTGTGTTTATGATTAATCTCAGTCGTCCGGCAGCACCTCCGTATGTATTTCGATGGGACTTGCCAGAGTTATTACATCATAACCACTAACAAATCAATATGCCAGTGTTCGAGAGCCGTCCCTCTACAGCACTTCATTCTTCAATAAACTTAGGTTGGTAGGATACTGGCATTTATGACGCTTAAGTTTCTTACATCTACTTAACAATAACGTGTTTTCCCATGCCGCGTTCTCACGGGGATACGATGAGCAACGTACCATAGTACTGATACAAGACACGAAGCAGTTCGAGAAAGGTAATAAAGAAAGGGATCGTGATGATATTGGAGGATCTAATTTACGTATCAAAGCCTGCTATTCCGCATATAATCTCCGTGATGATATGACTGGCCATTGCTGAAGACCATTTGTTAGAACACAATAAATTATATGAATGGTTTGAGACATGCCGTTTACGTACGCCCTAGCATTAATCCTAGCTTCTGAATAGATCATCCTAGATACTTTTAGATACTTTTAGATCAGTGTAGGTAGGCCAATTAGTCATATGTAGCTTAAGGGGTCCGCTTATATTTGATTTTGGCAGGAACTCAGCACTGATTAGTCGTCCAGTTGATCCTACCCAATGGTGTTTTGCGCATAAAAACAAAACTTCTAAATCAACAGCTGATGACTGATTCCCCTACAACTTGTTACTAAGTACCTGGAGTGATTGTGTCAGAGGGATGCTTAGATAAATACCCATGGTTCTTTCCTTCCTCTGACAATATTTTCTTCTACCAAGACATCTTCACATTGTCACTTCCTCCTCTGTCACCTCGGAGCAATACAGAAACAGGCCGACAGTCATTTACAGCCGAAGTCTGACAACCTGAAAGTCTTCTCCGCGCATATCTGTTTCAGTTTATGCATCTTTTCCCACCCCAAGACCATCCAACTCACCTTGTTTACCCAACCACTGGTCTTCACTCTTGTGGGAATCGCATCCATAAACAACTCTCTTTCCAACCCAAAACTACATACAATCACAAGGTTTCAACCCTTTTCAATCACTGTAGGCTTTACGGAGCCTTTATACACTTTCGTCACTTTGTCGACATCTTGCCATCCTCGGCATCCAACATACGTTACGATCATCATCAACTTAGGTTGCTTTTGATTTAAATCCAATCACCTTACAGCCGCGTTACTTCATCGAGTTCTCAATTAGGAAACCTTTTGATATCATCGTACAACAATTCAATTACTGAAAGTGAGGTCTACTACCGCGACCATGCCTCGAGCAGAGTATCAGGCCGAGCCTCAGGCCGAGCCTCACATGGGTCTCATTATCACCAACACGGCTATCTCGAATGAACTAACAGGAATGCCGATGGAGATAATTCTCGAAATTGCGACGTACATTAGTCAACCCACTAAGGTTAGTCTAGCCCAGACTTGTCGCGGCCTCTCAGCCGCCATGGAAGTAGCTCTCTACGATCAGGATAGCTACGAGGATCGACACGCGCTGTGGTGGGCTTGCGTGAATAACGAACATAAACTTCTACGACGTATCATCAAGTATGACCCCAGCCTTGTCAACTATCGTTTCCATCAGACACATGCTATCAAACTCGAATCCATCCCACGACGCCTAATGAAGGTTTGCGCCAAACGTGGAGGCGCTGATTTCAGCATTGATCTGACCCCTCTCGCGGTAGCCATCAAATTTGCAAATTTCGATGTTTTCACTACCCTACTCAAATTTGGTGCAAACGTGAATGCTGCCGTCCCCTCTAACGCTATGGGTCCTGGAAGACTCTGGCTTCCTATCCATTGGGTGGTTCGCGTAACCAAGAGCGGTAGGGACTTTGAAGATTGTGTCAGTCTTCTAGTCAAGCATGGCGCCAACATCAATCCAGCTCCTTTACTGCCGGGAATAATTGGAGCGTGTGGAGATGGTGTTCCCCTATTGGAGGTGATCGACTTTAAGCCTCGTTTCCGATCGAACCGCGAGGAGCCCAACCCAGACGCTTTCTACCAAGCTCAGCTCAGTGCTCGTATGAGTAAGGCCAGAGTACTCCTTCGATTTGGGGCGGACCCCAACTTTCGAGAGCCAAGTTCCTCTGAAACTGCGCTCATTAAGGCAGCACGATCTTTAGCTTCCTACGACCCGAAGTCTCCGTTTGCAAGGCAGATTGCGCTTAGTCACGATATGGAGCGCGTCTATGAATTTGTGTTGAACAATGCTTCACAGCTTTTCAAAGCCTTGATCGATCATGGCGCAGACCCGAATCTTTCCTGCCGTCAAAGAACCACCGCCCTGCATCACTTATGCGGACGCAGCCGGGAGCATAGACCTCTGATCTATTACCTCTTACAGAGAGGAGCTTATATCAATGCGACTGATGAAGATGGCCGCACCCCTATTTACCAATACCTGATGTTCCCTCGTGATCACAAGCTACTCGTCGAATTTATAAAGCAGGGCGCGAATGTCAACCATCGCGATCTCGAGGGCCGTACCCCGCTACACGTAGCCTGCGCTAATCGGTATTCTTCTAGTGCGTTGCTAAAAGATAATGTTAAGGCACTACTTGCGCACGGCGCCGACCCTACTCTAGTTGACAATGAAGGAAAAAGCCCGCTTGCCTTTCTTAACCCACGAAGATTCGGGACTTGGGCCGAGATCCGAAATCTTTTCCTAATGGCCGAGTGGAAGGCATCCGGAGTTGTTGTAAGAGATTGTGAGGATTGGGAAGATGAGAAACACGAGGGTGTTCCAAACCGATGGAAAGTGGTAAAATCCTTGAAAGAACGTCAACATCATTCATGAAGAGAACTGGTAACAGGGGGGGTTCTGAATTAGTGCCGTGGTGCTCTAGCTGTGGTACGTGAAGAACCAAATGCCATAAAGTGGCAGAAGCAGAAGTCTAGGATGCGAACATAGAGATCACCAAAAGATCAATAAGGAGTTCACATATGCAGAGTGAGAAAAGGAGAAAAAAAGGGGGAGAAAATCAGATTTGAATGGACGATAGGAAGGAGGGAAGGGGTTTGATACCCAAGTCACTAATACCCCAATGTTGATGGGGATCACATTGGCAACTACATCACCAGAGGATCAATACTTTTGTTTGTCCTTTACTTCTTGTTTCTGATTTGGCATGCAGTGCGTTGGAAGTTTGAAGTTTGAAAGATGGCCATTGATAAGGGCATGACTGTAATGTTGGAGGGTCAGCTCGAGTTTCTCATGTTTTGACAAATACCTACTGGCTCGACTTTGCAATAGGCGTTTGCCTCGCAACTTTTGCACTCTCAAATGGCCTATACGGCACGATTACTTGCTTGCTCTTGTTGAAGTTATGTATCATTGCAGTTGCGATAACTCGAAATACTTTTGGCACTCTAATTGATTACGCTTTGAGGATAGAACTAATGATTCGCCTTTGGCTACTTAAATTATATCGTAAGGTAGTGGTCGTATTGACTGCTGCTATGATTTCGTGATGATAGTTATTAACGTAAAAGTTTCGGCATAGGGTATTATAATTACGAAAATCGGTAGAATAGTATGGTATAATGATAGTGTTATTACTCGGGCCATTTTTATAGATCTTCTTCCAGCTTCCGGATATATCTTCACTTTATTAGAGGTTTGTTATGATGATGCTAGTAAAGCTATTGTAGTCACCTTCCTTCTCAGATCGTCAGAATCCATAGAAATGATTTCTATTTTTTCAGAATAGCTTTTAGGAGAGCGAGATCATCAGTCCTCAGATAGCCTATTACTACGATGGGATATAGATATGGAGGTATGAATGTAAATTTATTGACCATGTTGATATTGCTGTTGGTGACAGTACATATAAGAATTATCAGTTAAATTATCAGTTAGAATAGGTTGGAACACAACGATCGAGATGTAGTAAACATAGGTAGTTGCACTTAGGTATTCGCAAACCGTTATAGAATATTCTCTTGTCTAATTGTGCGATTAGTACTATTCGAATCTGAACCGAGAACCAGATTCCAAGTTTCGAAATAATTATTTTCTGCTCCCTTCTAACACATCGCGGTGTTGCCTAAATTCCTTATATCTTTTCAGGGCAACAACCCTTCGCATCTATCGGGTACTACATCATCAAGGCCTACCATACAAATGTGACTACTGCTTTCCCCTCCCCTCGCGCTCTTCAGCATCGCGAAACTATTTCACATCTCCTTTCCTTCATCATATCTCCAAGATCGTCCCAAAGATCCCGCAAACCGCCGGCAGAAGTAAGTATCGCGATAATAAATAAAACGAATTATTAGACGTCTACTGACGACCTACCATAAATAGCAGCACAGGAAATCGAATACAATCATGGCGAACCAAGCACACTCACTTCCAGTAATAAGATACAGGAAAGGAATATCTGCGGAGACATTCGAAAAGTTTCTTCAGAAAGAATCTCAAGGGGTCCAAGAGGGTGTCGATGATGTATTGACCCCACACCAGAGTGAAGGTCTGCAGAAAGAGGCCAGTTCCTACCATTGGCAATCATTCTAGAAACTTATGCTGCGTCTCTTCGGATGTAGCCCATGGGACCTGGCGACTTGGGGTCTACGATTCAGCAGCGATGATAAAACCATCATGATAAGAGAATTAAATCTGCTCCTCCCGCACCTGATTTGGGAGGGAAACGTCGATATCTTACGATACGTCCTCCAGAAGGCCATTATCCATCGATTGGGGGAAGATATAGAGCCACTGGGGCCTTTGAGACCAGGGATTGCAGACATATTGATTGCAAGAGAAAAGCCAGACACCCCTGGTCTGGCGCTGGAGATGTGGGCAGAATCCAACCCTGAAACAAACACCAACGTGATCCATTTACTCGAGCTAGTATTGAAATACTGGGGAAACTCCGAGCGAAAGCAATGGATCCCTGGCCCGTTTGTACTTAACTCAGATGATATCCTTTGCATTTACGAGTCACTTGATATTCTCTCAGGGGGTTGTCTAGCACCATTCGCAGTACAAGAATACTATGACGCTTTTGTCAAACAAGAGATGTGACCCCAGGGCCTGGCTACCATCGACTCTAAAACGTTAGAACGGTGGGATAAGAAGATGTTTGCAATCAAGAGCCGCGATGGACGCTTGGAAGAACCAGATACCCGCGTTGGAAAAGAAAGAGAACGATACAAGACCCTAGCATACTGGAAGAGCCGAAACTGTAATTCGTGGCTCAAGAATCTGGTAGCGAAGAACACTGCCCCGTATGTCTTCAAGTGAAATCATATTGTGTTTAGTTCGCGGATGTTTTACACGGGCGAGAAGTACTGATACGGTGAGCTTCTATGGCCTCGGATGTTGCACTTAAGGACAATATTAGCTTAGGGTTACCACAGAGAGTCACAACAAATATCCAATATACTATTCTTATTGACAGCACAAGTCCTAGGTAGGTGCCTAGGCCTTCAACGTAGAGTAGCGCCTTTTTACTTTTAGTCTGGCTCTAGGGCATTGTCGTGACCTATGCTTCGTAGAGGCGAACATGCTTTAAGAAACCTAGGCAGGTCCATGTTGATTGAAACGCATTTAATGATTAAACTTACGAGATCCTTGTAATTGGGTCACTGATTATGTACTATTATAGAGAAGGTCCAACGTTTTTGAACAGCGTCTCAAAATAATACTGGTGCTATAGTCGTACACCTGGAGAAGGTCGCACCGCCTCATCCTTCAAACGCATACCAGATCGACACCAAACACAAGTCTGCCCATGGTTTACTGCCAATCATAGACGCGTCACCTCATTCCATTTAAGTTGTTTCTGTCATCAGACATTTGCAAGAAGCTAAACTTCATCATAGTGACGTGAAAGAGATAGGTTTATCGCTAGACATGGAGTGGAGATCGTTCGGCAATTTCTAATAGTTAGCTGAGCAATATTTCCGAGGCGGGGGCTCACGACGCCAAAATCCCCGGTAGATGAATGATATAAAGCAATATTAGTAGTGTTCATGGCTGACTGGAGTGACAATTGGCAAGTAAAAGCTCCATATTCTTACAGCAGAAACTAATTAAAGATGACTGCCTCCGAGAAAGTCAACCTTGGTCGTATCTCATACGTAATCTACGAGCACCCGGATCTTATCAAATTCTTGGCGTTCGCCGAAGACTTCGGCTTTGAGTCTACGGGAGTTACTGATGAGGACGGGAATCTTTTTTTGCGGGGCTACGGGCCGGATCCTTATGTCTACGTCGCTCGCCAGGCGCCAGCGGGCAAGGCTAAGAGGTTCCTCGGAGCCGGGTTCACAGCGCAGACTAAGGAGAACTTCGAAAGAGCATGCAGGTTAGAAAATGCTAAACTGAAGGATATCTCGAAGCGACCAGGCGGGGGGAAGATGGTTAGCGTGCTTGACGTGAACGGGTTTGAAATTCAAGTTGTATATGACCAGAAGGACAGGGTTGTACCGGATAGGGGGCTGTCGAATGTCGTTAGTGGTCAGCCGAATATGAACGGAGCGATCACGAAAGTGAGAAAAGGTAAGCTAGAAAGTTTCTCACAAATAGCCTTTCCAGTGATATTTGACTCTATGGCTAAGATATATTAACGTTTTCTTTAAAATAGGTCTTTTCAATCGCTTGGACAGTGGACCAGCCAAGATCCACAAGCTCGGCCACTTCGGCTATATGACCGACAACTACACCAAGACGTGCGCCTGGTACTCTACTCGCTTCAACTTCAAGCCGACCGATATTGTACACGTGCCCGGAGACTCGTCTGAGGAGATTATGACCTTCTTCCACCTTGACCTCGGCCCTGAATACACGGACCATCACTGCCTACTAGTGGCAGCTCACCGCGACGAAAATGTCAAGGGGACGACGGTGCACCACTCATCGTTTGAGGTGGAGGATATAGACACGCAGATGATGGGCCACAAGTGGCTACAAGATAAAGGCTATGAGCTAAAGTGGGGTGTGGGAAGGCATATTATGGGATCACAGGTCTTTGACTATTGGTATGATTCGACAGGTTTTATAGTAGAGCACTACGCAGATGGCGATGTGGTTAATCAAGACACACCAACATCAAGGCTTGCGGGAGCTTCAGCTGCTATATGGGGTCCTCCTATCCCGGCAAAGTGGCATTAACGTATTGAATACTACATATAATATGTGCTATGGCCATCTAAGCCAGCAACGGACGGATTCCCGTCGTCGTCCTGTTGCATCGAGTGGTTCCTTAACTCCGACACGTTGCATCTGACTCACTTGGCGTACCTTATACTCTAAGCCTTACTTCTACGATGATAATGGAGGCATGACTTAGTCTATAGGCCAGCCGGCGAACGGCCTGTGATGGGGAGTCCTACGTAGATCTTGGCAAACATGCAGATGACGTGGAAGGGAATTGATTGTTTAGACCTTCGAGTCTTACTTGAGGTTCTGTGAGATTGTGGGGGGATTTGCATTCAGAGTGTAGGGGCGGGGAGTTGAGCGACTTTAGTTGATGGACCGGACCTACTCCATTCCGGCAATTTCAGTGTCTAAGCCCCCCGTGGCAGTTATCTTGAAGCTGAGTATTTGGATTACTGACAGATGGTATATGCTGGCAATATGAAGGAAAACGAATTCATTTAAAGCTGCCTCATCTCTAACGATTTACTAATAGAGAAACAGCACACTTCAGGTTACCTACATAATTTATATCTAGTGGGAGATTCAGTATCGCATTCTATGGAGAGCATAATATCTTTCGACAAGTTTTATAACGTAAGTCACTCGAGCGAATTTGAAGCATTACCTTGGATCTAAATAATAGACAGATTGTCAACAATTCGAGGGTGTTAGGTGATAAGACATATCATGGGATCGATCCAAGCACAGGCAAGACTCTTTGGGGGGCTCCAATAGCTACAGGGGATGATCTCGATGAAGCTGTAGCAGCCGCCAATAGCGCTTTCAAGAAATGGTCTTCGCTACAGCAGCACGAACGGTCCCGGTTCATGAGGGATCTTGCTGATGCTCTAGAGAAGCACAAAGATGCACTAACCGAATTACTCGGCAAGGAAAGTGGCAAATCGGTATGAGGCCCTCCAATATCATTACCTCTACGTGAGCTTACTCTCCGCATTAGGTATCCTTTGCAGAGTCGGAGGTTGTAATGGGTATCAATACTATGAGACGGCATGGTAGGTTTCTGTTTAGTTTTAGTGCTAGGCTTTGAGATCTGACTCCTTGTAGCGGATTGGTCAGTTCCCGATCAGCTCTTGAAAGATACAGAGGATGTACGAATCATCGTCCAACATGTACCTATTGGTGTAGTTGCAGGAATCACCCCATGGAACTACCCCTTCCAACTGGCTATTCTGAAGGTGGCCCCGGCGCTAGCAACTGGTTGCACAGTCATACTGAAGCCTTCGTGAGTACCGAACCAGGAAGTTGATAACTTCACATCTGACCACTTACAGCCCTTTCACGCCTTATATCGCTCTCAAGATAGCCGAGATCGCGGCTGAGGTTCTCCCGCCTGGCGTGGTGCAGGCTCTAGGGGGTGATGACAACCTCGGCCCTTGGATGACGAAACATCCTGGAATCCACAAGATTTCGTTTACTGGGTCTACAGCTACCGGCAAGAAGATTATGGCTGTGGCATCCGAGACACTGAAAAGGGTTAACTTGGAGCTGTATGATATCACAATGCCAAAGCCAGCTTATCAACATGTAACGCTAACGGGTTATTAGGGGTGGCAATGACGCGGCGGTAGTAACTGAGGACTTTGACGTCCTTGAGGCGGCACAGCTAGTAGCAATGGCCACATTCGCGCATTCTGGTCAGATATGCATGGCTACAAAGCGAATTTACGTCCAGGAGTCTGTCTACGATGAGTTTATGACGCATCTTGTAGCGATTGTCAAAGGTTATAAGCCAGGCGAGGGCTTCTGCAGCCCAATCCAGAACACGATGCAGTTCGAGAAGGTCAAGTCTATCTACGACGAATGTGAAGAGCAAGGGTTCAACTTTGCCGTTGGCGGCGGTAGCAAAGTGTCCGTGGACGACAACAGACCGGGGTATTTCATCGCACCGGCAATCGTGACCAACCCACCGGAAAAGTCGCGCATCGTGCAGGAAGAGCCTTTTGGGCCTATCGTCCCGGTGCTAACGTGGCGCGACGATGATGAGGTAATACGGCGCGTAAACGACACTCCCACGGGCCTAGGGGCCACGATCTACTGCCGCGACGAGAGACGCGCTTGGCAAATTTCCGAAAGTCTTGAGACGGGAAGCGTCTGGGTTAATAGCGGATTGAAACTGGATCCAGTTGCGCTATTCGGCGCGCACAAGCAGAGCGGTATTGGCGGCGAGCTGGGGCCGCTCGGACTGAAGTACTACACGAATACTCGGACAATCACATACTGGAAGGATGCGCCGAAGGGACCGCAGGCAAAGGGCAATAGGGGTTTATTTGCGTGAATCCGCGGGATCCGTTCCGCCAATGTAATGTATCTCTTAGCTCATTATTATATGAAGGAATAGTGAGGGTAAGGTACCTAGGTAGTTAGTACATACTATCCCTTTACCAACTTAGGTAGACATTAACCTCTGCAGAGTCATTGCCATCTTGGTGCAACATGGCCAATTCATAGTCTCAAGCTCCATCTTGAAAGCCAGTAATACCCTTCTACTCCCATATGTATCCCTATCACCCCCTGTACTGAAGCTGACCTTCGCCCAGACCACGAGGGCAGCGTGGAATACAACTATTGGCATCCAAGCTTGACATAAGATTCCTTCTGATTTTGGACATGTGGCGGCGGCGTCGAGTAAGGCCCAGGCATGATCAAGTGACTGGCTCGATATATTGATAGTATTTGCAGCGGCTGTAGCGCTCGCTTGGGTTATGCTTTGGTCTAATGGCACATCATATTGGGTGAGTCGTGAAAGACTCGAAATTTCCGGACAGGAGAGATATAGTCTGCAATAATAGAAGAATGCTATCACATCCGGACTCATGGAGCCACTGAAATTGATGTACCATTGGTCCAATGCTTTAGAGAGCCGGCTTTGCATGCGCTCGAATTCGGTATGGGCAGAAAATGGGACAAAAGGGTTGTGTTTATACGAGGTCATTTGGACCGAGTTGATGATATTGGCAGCGCTTCCAAGGGACCGGCGTAGAGTAATGGAGTCGGAGAGGATGGCGAGAAGTAGGAGAACAGCTTGCTCCCTAGAACTATTGCCCATGGTTGAGAGAAGAGTCTGGCTCTCTACGCCGGAATCCTGTAGGAGATTCCGGTAGATATCCTGAAACGGAATGTTTGAAGAAGGCATATTCGTCGAGATTTCGTCGGGCGAGAAGTTCAGAGACAGGTTTGAGTGAACGGCCTGTAGAACGTCCCATAGCCAAAGTAGCCAAAGCATGGGACTTCTCTCAAGTAGTATCATCAGTTACAGACACATATCAACAGTCGCGAGTAGCGTACCTATATGATAACATTCGCTGTTGAATACCAGGATCTAACTGTCCTGGATTATGCAAATGCATACGACGAGCAATCTAAAAAGGGGGGATAAGTTAAGCTAACAATCGTTACTTGGTCTCGTACTCACTGTTAAGGATGAAGATATATTAAGTGCGGATCTTCTCTGAAGGGGCTTCTCTGCAGATAGTACACCATATGGTACGAGCAGAACAGCCTGTAGCCAAGTGAGTAGATGACCTCTAGTAATCTGATAGAGTTACCCACTGCTAAAAGCATTTCAACTGATCTAGCAAGCCCATTGTCTACTTCCACCATGACTGGCCAAAGACATGCGCCAGCCTGATGGATGCTCCGAGTTTCTTCGGCATCACCACGGCTGCAGACGGAGCCAAGACAAGCGATAGCAAGCCGCAAAGGCGGGGCAAGTAGTTCTCGACCTACAGCCGACATGGGGAGCTGTCCGAAGAATACATGGTCTAGACAGCCGTTACAAAAAGCCTGAGATAAGTGGGCTAAACGGTCATCGGTTGGCAATCTCGGAAAGCGTGATAGGATAGCTACGGGGTACGTATACTTCTTCGTCGGAGTCTCCTATGTCATTTATGTTAGGAATCAACGTATAAAAGGACAGCGGGATATATATTTAGGTATAGATAGATACATAGATTTGGTTTCCAAGGTCCATGTGAAACAGCTTCTCTGTTCCAATCGCATCGCTACTAGCCAGCAAGGCTCTCTTGAAGTCGCATAGGAGAGTGGGATCCGGTCGTTCACTGGCTGAGGCGACATCCTGGTGGGAAGGCTCACGCTCTCCTGGCCAGCTCGAACTATGCGCACTAGTTACCATCTCCGAAGATGGTTATTCATTTAGTTTGATGAAATTATGAAGTTGAGTATTTTCTATCCAGCAATAGATACCTCCTGGGAAAAGGAGTATGACTTATGACTTGCTTACCTTAGGTAATTAATAATACCCGAGATGGGGTAAGGTTGGTGTAAGGCGCGCTGGGGGGCTCATCTTGCTTATGTACATGTAGTCATCAACTACGCGCTTATAAGCGATCTACTCTAGTTAAATAATTCGTTGTCTTATGCTTTCTTTAGAATTATATTACTATTGGATCTAAGCCGGATCTTGTAGCTTTTTTATTTTAGATATAATAGTTCTAACGCGACTTGTTAGACTAGCAACTAGGACAAATAAATGACAGTAGGGATCAAGGCGACGAGGGTCAAGCGCGGGGAAGCTTTAGCAGGTTTCATTGGTTAGAAAGTATTTAAAGAATTAGACTAAGGGTTGGGCTGTCTTATTACGTGTCTTATAGCCAAGGCGGCACTTTAATAATTTGGAATACTTGCCTGTCTTACAACGAAAAGAGAACGCGACGAGTCCATGTGGCTTAGATGCGGGCTGCGAAGAATGCCTTGTAATTCATGTAACTGAAGGTTAGATACCTACCTACCTACCTACCTAATATAAGTCTTTACATAGTCCCGCCTAATTTATATGGGGTAAAGTGGTATCCATTGTCTTCAACCCCGAAAGCAAATACCGAAAATAAGGGGGAGCGAAGAGCGCCGACTACTTCAATAAGATAGCTTCAAAATATCCACATATATAGTAAAATACAGCATATTACCATATCACTATTATACTAGTAACGAACTAGTATCCTAAGAATTAGGTGAGTAAGAATAAGCAGTCCTTAAGAACTCTTAGAATTAGAAGTAGCCTGCGCCCTCTAAGACGAAGTCAGTGGAGCTACTTCTAATCCCTGTTTATATAAAGCTACATAGTATTCGCGACAACGGCGGAGATAAGCCCTGTTTATATTCTCTGTTCCCGGTCATGATACCGGTTTTAGTCCCCCAGATTAATTTGGCTTTCATCTAGACCTGCTTTTATGTGAGAGATCTTCTAGGTATTAGAAAAAGAATATTGCATTGGATGGGATAAAACCCACGCACATATCTAGGAGGTCGAGCTGCTCAAACTCGTGTCAGTGATGGCGCATTGCGACGTCTGTGGGCGTTCCTTTGCGCGAAACGAGCATCTTATTCGGCATCACAGAACCCGTGAGTCGTTCTGTATGGCTGCTTCTTAATAGCGAGCTTGCTGACACTCATGGCCACGGGCAGATACAGGTGAGCGACCATTTCGCTGCCCTCACTGTAAAATCGGATTTCATCGCGCCGATGTCAGGGCGAAGCATATGAAGAAAATTCATCCAGAGAATGTATCGCCGTCAGAATCTTCGGGGTCCCTCTCACAAACTCCAGTTGAAGAATGTAAGCCTAAGGAGAGAGAGCGTTCAAAGTTGGCATGCGACCAATGTCGAAAGCGAAAACTGAAGTGCAACAACGTCCGGCCATGCGAATCATGTCGCACCAAGATGCTGTCTTGCACAGTTTCGAGCACTAGCAGGCCACCCGGCAGGCCTCGTAACCCAGTGCTTATTGCCACGAGTGAACGAATTATCCGTGGAAAAGTAGATAATTCCGACGTGCCTCCGGTTCCCCAGCCCTGGGTACCGAATAGCCTTGAGTTACCCCTAGTTCGATCTAACCCCATGCCCGGTATACCTGGGATCGACGTACCGGACACTAGAGGCGGCGGCGGCGCATATCCGGGGACTACAGATCTCACACCACTAGGCATGAACCAATGGATGACTCCGGAGACAGGAAACTTCTCAATACACGCTCCGTTCCCAAACGAATCTATACCAATCGACCACATCTGTGGCGATACGGATCTGATGGATAATATACTCCCCCAGCTCGTTAGTTATGTGTCCCCTTTAGCACCTTCACCAATGCTGACACTTTTGACTAGGACCTAGGGAATTGGTTGGATGACCTTAACGAGTTCTCCGCAACAGACGACACATGGCCACTGGACTCTCTATCATTCAACATCGACTCTGATCCGTCTATGGACAGCGCTATTGAGATGATGAAAGATCACTTCCAAAGGCGATCGCGAGCAACATCCCCCCCTCGAGAGGAACAGAGACGATCTTGGTATTCAGCTCCGCCACAATTATATGTTTATGATAAAGACGTCCTGAACATTCTTCTTAATGTTTCCAAGACACACATCACAAGCACGTTTTCTATATTTTCTGATTTTGAAGCGAATCATGATACCCGGGTAGAGCTCTGCCTCGCCATGGCCGCCGTTGGTGGCCTTTATTGTACTGCATATGGCAGTATGAAGGTCGCCAAGATGTTATTCAACGACTCCCGGCGGCTACTTTACGAGAAATATCATCTGGAAGACCCCATAGACTTTGATACATTATTGAGCATCGCCAAGACGTTCATCCTACTAGAGATCTACGAGTTGTGTAGCGGGGACAAACGAGCCTATGAGTTCATTGAAGTCTTTCATGCGAGTAAAGTGAATGCAGTTGGCTCTTGCATAAGCGCCTTGCCGTGCGATGCTCCCCTAGACCAGCGACGTAAAGCAAGACTGCTTTTGGAAGCGGTTCGTATTCTTGATTGTTACAGAGTGCTGTTGCTACAGAGGCCACCGTCATTTATAGGAGAAACTCAGATCGGCCTACACGCGGCTGGTGAAGCTCTTGGGTTCCATTCTCTCCCTACAGGTGGGTTGGTCTCTACCTCAAATGGCGACAATCTGCTTGGTGTGCCAGCTACGGAAATGGATTATCTAGCGACTATTATATGCTACAGCTGGATGGCGAGCCCGCAGAACACGGAAAACTCTTCACATACTCCTCTGTGGAGACTGGAGTTCGTCGAGCTTGCGCTAAATCGATGGATTCAAGCAAAAACAGCCGAGATGGAATACCCATCCCAACTCGAAGTATCTCAAATGTTACTATATCACCTTACACAGGTGGCACTTCATTCTAATCTAAACCACCTACAGCGTCTTACCCAAGTAGCCCTACAAGCCTCGAAACCTCCTCAGGAGGGAGGTGCTCTGGACTCGATCAGAGCATGGCGAGATAGTCACCGCTTCAACGTGGCTCAGTGGCACGCCAAGACGACCCTTCGTATTGCGCAGGAAGCTATAACAGCACCCCGCCGCCACGTCTCGTCTGCAAAGGACAAACTCCGAATTTCTGAAGCTCCGCACTTACCGCTATGTATTTACTTTGCGACTTTGGTCGTGTGGTGGGGAGAGCTCATATCGGATGGGCGAGAAACTGGCTCGGTCAACACTTCTGCAATAGAGACTGGATCTCAGCTGTTGTTCAGGTTGAAAGTCCCTGTATCTAAAATCCTGGGGACTGCCCTCTGTGAACTCCTCCCTAATGAAAGGTAGGATGAACGGCGTGAAAGGGAGATATCCGGGTTGTTGAGATAGAAAGTCAGCTTAAAGAGAATCAAGGCTCTAGATAGGTACGCACCATGGCAGGGAAGGAGAAGATGTCCTAGAAATTTTCGGAAGATAGGTCACCACCACATGAACATGCGCAGTCCCATACTGAAAAGGTTTTATTCTTAGGAAGGAGTGAGAAGATATATCGATTTATGCCTGTTATACTAGCTAATACTGGAATAACCCTTTGGGTCAGGATTACTATTACCTTTGGTGTCCAGTTGTAAAAGTATCGTTGATCTAAGCTGCCGAGCCCATTATATCACTAGAGATTAGGAGTGCAGGAATTATATGTTTATTATTGTTGTAATAAAATTGTTGGGCTCGACGAGAAATAATCCTTAACATCCGAATCCGCCGGATTTGAGATGAGTTAACGGAAGTGCTAAAGTCCATTGTACGTCTCCCTATGGAATGACGATGCCGTGCAACCTCGAAGGAAATTGCCGGGTGGAGGCCCCTCTGATAGTAATACCATATACGTTATCCCAAGCCATGGCGTATAGCACGGGAATTTGAGGAATAATACATTGCCCTCAACGCGACTACCTCGATTTTCAACACCTAGACTTCACGGCGGTGATTGCATCATAGCGGATTTACTGAATATATACACGAACGTATGCTCAGTCCTCTAGAGCCTGTCAGTAATATCCATCAAGCTCGACGGCTCTCAAAAATGTCGCAAACATATCGAGATCTCCGTAAGGAGGATCGGGTCTCGTTTGACTACATCTATGAGGAGAACGTCTCGGTGCCCTTGAAAGAAGGGAAAGGCCTGGTAAGATGCAACGTCTACCGTCCCAAAGACGAGTCTACAAGATATCCTGCTTTGGTAACGTATGGTCCTTATGGCAAAGACGTCCACTACAGTGTGTAAGTGATAAGCGTTTCCACATGGTATAACTATACTTACCGTCATAGGTTTCATCCTGCTTCATTCTCTGAAGTGCCTGAAGAACATCACTCGGCGCATTCTTCATGGGAGACTCCGGACCCAGGGTTCTGGACTAGGAACGGCTATGCTGTAGTTAGGGCAGATGAGCGCGGTACTGGTCAATCCCCCGGCATGCTCGATACGATGTCTCGTGGTACAAGCGAGGCATTCTTCGACGTTGTCGAGTGGGCGGGGTCTCAGCCCTGGTCATCCGGCAAGGTTGGCTTGCTCGGCGTGAGTTACTATGCGGGGAGTCAGTGGAGAGTAGCAGCCCGCCAACCTAAAGGACTTGCCTGCATTATCCCCTGGGAGGGAATGTCGGACTATTATCGCGACCGTTGTAGGCATGGGGGTATCCTTTCCAATACCTTCATTAGCTTTTGGTGGAATAGACAGGTTAGTCATTATGATAAGAGAGTACTGTTAGCTGCGGAAAAAAGAAATTTGACCAGATTCGTAGGTTGTCACAAACCAGTATGGACGCCCTGGAAGAGCTGCTCGAAATTGGGGTCATGATACGATTGAAGGAGATTTGTCTGAAGAGGAGCTACGTGCTAATCGTCGCGATCAAAATGAAGATAACGCGGCGCACCGCTTTCTAGATGAAGAGTATTACGCCTCGAAAGACTACGACATGAATGACATTAAAGTTCCGGTTCTTTCGGTCGGAAACTGGGGAGGCATCTTGCTACATCTACGCGGAAATGTAGAAGGGTATCTCAACGCTGGTTCTCAGCACAAGTATCTGAGACTCATCACTGGACGCCACGATCTACCGTTCTACTCAAAAGAAAACGTCGAAATGCAAAAAAGCTTTCTAGATGCATTCCTCAAGGGACACGACACGGAAGGATGGTCAACGGGTGCCGCCCCTAAGGTAGGCCTAGTCTTACGGAAAGGGAACGTCGGGTATAATAACCCGGAGGCTGAAAAACAGTATCCCTATCGCTACGAGGAAGAGTGGCCGATCCCGAGGACTAAGTACACCAAGTATTTCCTCACCGCGGATAAGCAGCTGAGCGAAGCCACTGCTCTTTTGTCTTCATCATGTACTGAGAGCTCCATCTCTTACCGAGCGCTGGGGATCCTAAAAGACCCGCAGACTATCCAGTTCATGACATCGCCTTTTGCCGAAGAGACCGAGTTTACAGGCCACGTCGTAGTCCACTTGAACGTGTCGGCGTCAAGTCTACCAGAGAAAAACGCGAATCCGTCGGAAATCGACCTCTTCGTCACTTTGAGACACTTGGACGCACGGGGGGAGGAAATCTTCTACACAGGCACAGCAGGCGACCCAGTGCCCGTGACCAAGGGATGGCTGCGGGTAAGTCTCAGAGAAGTGGCAGACAGTCATCCTCGGCACCGGACTTGGCACCCCCATCGGGAATATCGCTCGACGGATGTGCTGCCCGTGGAGAGCGGAGTAGTGTACGCGGTGGACGTTGAGGTATGGCCGACTAATGTGGTTGTTAGTAAGGGCCACCGGTTGGTGCTGGAAATCTCGTCGGGAGATACGCAGGGGGCGGGGTTGTTCGAGCATAATTCTGAGGAAGATCGGCCGCGGGATCGATTGGAGGCACTCAACTCTATCCATTTTGGTCCCGAGTACGACAATTGGATCCTGCTGCCCCTCATCCCCGCATTATGAGTATGATATAGTATGTTAGGTACTTTATAGAGATGAATATGTTATATGTACCAATATATTATGCCGATGTCGCCCCTATTCCAAGGGAATTATATATTTACAGGTCCTTTCAATACCTCTTACTCGAGATAACTACTAGTATACCTACTACTAACTACCTATTATATAAGAGAGACGTCTTCTACTACTATCAACTTTAAAAAGAGATAAGATTATCTTCTAAAGGGGTTTCTACGCTCCTTCATTATGTCGTCAGCATACCCCCCTAATAATCTTCGCGCGCACTCGCGCTTCATCACCACGCATGACGCCTCTGGGAAAGCAGTATTCAGCGACGCCGTACCAGAACAGGCGCCTGTTCGCCAGGTCCTAGGCGGGGACATGTTATTCAGCCTCATGTACACAACAGAGGGCTTCCCCGTGTCCATGGCCGAAGGCAAAGACATAAAAACATACCAAAACTACTTGACCAACACGCCAGCCATCAGTATCCCAGGCGGAACCGCGTGTCGGACGGTGGACTTTCCACCCGACTACACGTCGCCGATGCACCGCACCCCGTCTTGCGACTTCGGCGTCGTGTTAGAGGGCGAAGTCGAGCTGGTGCTGGACTCGGGTGAGACTAGGCTGCTGAAAAGAGGGGACGTGGCCGTACAGCGTGGGACGAATCATGCGTGGCATAATACTAGTAAGGACGGTTGGGCTAGGATGTTGTATGTGCTGCAGTCGGCGGAGAAGGTGGTTGCGGGAGGCAAGACATTGGAGGAGGACGAGGGAGGAATTGATTAAGTTATTTAAATTTGATCATTAATAGGTAGGTAGATATATGTATACGAATCATAGAGGCGTTTGGCTCAATGCTAAGCTACCACTTACGAGGGAAACGAATAGGCATTCAAGACCTTAGATCAAGCAATACATAATACCCTTTTATAAAGCTTCCCTCAGTGAGAGGGTTTCCGGGTTCTATATTCTTTTATTATTGTAGTTGATAGAGATGATGAACTCTCGCAGCTCACATTATGCTTAAACTCCCATTTGCGTTTCAAGACGACAATTCTATTTGGAATTATGTTGAGCTAAAGATTTATAGGACTTAGGGATATACACTAGGAAGCAGGGGGTAAATTCCCGCGATGGGGTCCTCTGATGCATCGTCGATCATACCCCAACATCAACCAAACCCACTGTGGTTATTCAGGGGTCTCCAGCCGCTTTGCTCCTATGTATGTATGAGGTATGTAGGTACATAGGCAATTTATGAAGACTAAGTTATTTGTAATCGCAACGTACAAAAATGTTGAGCAAACGCTATCAATGAAGCGACAGCACGGATTTCAACGCCTGCTTCAACTTTGAAGGAGAGTCTTCTTCCCACTTCGGACTCCGCCAAGCCACAAAGTAGTCCGGCCGCACAAGCACGCAGCCAGACTCCCCAACGCCCCTAATGCCCGCCCAGTCGAGATATACGTCCTTGTAATCTTGTCCGTACCCAATCGAATAAGCCTTAATCGGTACCCCTAGATCGGAAGATAGCTGCTCTGCCGCCTTCTTCCAATGCTGACCGCCAATGCCCGTGAGCAGTGTGAACTGCCCCTTTCCGGCTAGATCAATGGTAGAGGTGTACTTGGACGGCGTGTGATTTCCCACCCACACGTGCGGTAGACGCGCCCCGGGATACGTGGTGGGATGGTAGTGCTCTAGCGGATCTCTAGTAAAAGCTGGCGCTGCGCCTTGATCCGCTTGGTACGCTGCCGAGGAGACATAGCGCTGGTTCATTTCGATACCGAGACCGTGTTCCTCTTTGTCATTTGCCCGCAATGCTTTGGCCAACTGTTCCCGGCGAGCACTTCCTTCCGGTGAGTCGGCATAGATCTCAGCATGAGCCTTCATGCGAGCTTCTACAGTCGGCTCTATGTTGCCGAGGGCTTCCCAAATATTCCAGTGGTTCCTTAGAGAATCATTTGCCCTATTAACCCGTGGTGAGTATGGGTAGCCTTCACTGGTCCCGGACGTAATCTCGATGCATGGATAACTTACTGAGTAATTACTTCCAGTCCTACTGGTTGACGCTCTATGCTGTAAGTCTCTAATAGCTCTCTTCCTGCTAACCCTACACGCACATCTTGTCAGTAAGTGTTTTGCAAGTAGAGATTTCTTTTCACACATACCTTTATCCACAAAGTTGATCTTCCATGCGAGGTTATGTGCGTCTTGGATGCAAGTATTGGACCCTAAGCCGTGGTTCGGTGGGTGCCGGTGTACCGCGTCGCCTAGGCAAAACCTATTCAGTTCGCAGCTATGTCAGCGAAGCCACTATAGGGGGGATGAAAATGCTGAAGTTATACTGACACGTTGCCCTTTGAGTAGTATTCTGCGACTGTCTCGTTAATAGCCCAAGTAGACACGCCTAATATTTTAACTTCAACCGAGTCATCCCCGATCATCTCACGAACACGTTTCATGTATTCTTCATTCGACCTTACCTCCCTCGGTGCGTTAGGGGTAGGAAATATAATGCATAGCCATTCGTACCATGGCTTAACCATCCTCATGCACCCAATCCAGCCCCATTCAGGGGTATCAAGATTGGGCTGTCCAATCCAGTGAAGGTTGCCTTTGCGATGCTCCATGAGGTGCGACATATCCGCCTCGATTAGCACGTTCACTGCGAACCCCTGACCTGGGCGCCGTATTAGGGGGATTTGGGCCTGCCGCACGATCTTGCTTCGCGCCCCATCGGCGCCAAAGAGGTACCTAGAGTGAACTTGAAATGTGGTCTTGGAGAGCTTATCCAACAGTATTGTTGTTACTCCTTTTTCGTCCTGCTCGAACGATACGAACTCGGTATCCCACCGACATTTGAACCCGTTAAGCGTCGCATATCGTATCAATATCGGCTCCAGCAAAGTCTGAGGTATATCCAACATTTCCGACGGGCTCGCGAGCTCATATTCCCCCTTGATTACAAAAACTGTCAGACTATCGCCGAAGGATGATAGATTCAAATGTGCAATCGACCAGACCATACCTTTCGCTTCGGGTCATTTCCCCAAGAATATGCACGACCATATTCATGGCCGGCCATGGTATTGGACCAGCGAGTGTGCAACATGGAATCATTTTGCGTTCCTGCCTTATAGCACTCTTTGTCCAGTCCAATATCCCGAAGACAGTCTATATTTTCATTAGTTTTAATTTCGAGCTTTTCGGGATTTATATCATACCCAATGCAGCCATGTTTGTGATGTGAGCCCTCGGCGTATCAGCAGTACTCGGATCTTGGCTTACAACGAGGCCCTTCATCCCTAAGAGAAAGTCCGTATCAGATACTAAAAATTCATATAACAAGGACATCATGAGAATACGCAAAGCCCTTCTTTTTGCTTGTCCTTACCATACGAAGCCATGAAGGCTGCTAGGGCGCCACCCGCAGGTCCGGTTCCTATGATGAGATAGTCTACATTGAGTAAGAAGGATGGGGAGCTATCGGATGTCCCGTTTGATTCGGCCATGGTTAATGAGTTTCCGTGCTAGTGGTACTATACGCGTATATGTGTAACAAAATAAGAGAATGAAGCGGCCTCGATAAATTATATCTATATTAACATGAGTTCTCAATTAACCCCAAAACATTTAAGAGGTCTTTAAACTTCTCTATATCCTTATTTTTATTTCTATCAACTAAGCGCTATGTAATGTCGCTCGGGGATGTTATAAGCTAAGCTACTCCATCTCGGCTTTTACCTGGCCTGCAAACGAGCCGATCGGGTATTCCGCTGGGGGAGAAACAACCCAATTGCGGATACTTGCGGATACTTAGACTTTTCACAACACAATTAATCCAACCAAACTCTCGGGTCGGACCCACCCCGGGATTCTAAATCTTTACCGGCGGTATAGGTAAGCTTCCGGTAAGCATCAAATAAGAACAGGTGCATGTATTTTCTAGGGGCATTACACTATCGGGACCACTTAAATATCATGTATTTGTCATTTTTATTTTTAGCATCAATGCACTTACTCACAATAGACAGTTATGGCATAGCTTAGGCACAGGACTACAGGATAATTTGATAATGGCTTAGTTATAAGTTATAATTACTTCACGTAAGTACTAAGCCAGCAGAAGTCCACTTTCAATGCATGAAGTGCCACGAGCATGGTAGTTAGTAAAGTCATTCTAAGGCACGGTTCAAGGTATTTATCTCTTGTAACTATACGCTGATAGTCGTAAAGAAAGGCTCGACTGGAATTGAACATTGACTTTACAAGTGTTGTTACAAGCGAGTACCGACCGTGGAATAAGTTATATGCGACCTCGTGCATGCAATGGTTTAAAAGACTATAATTACCTTAGTGAAGCCATTTCACAGAAAAGGGAAAAAGAAAATGCTTACTATTTTCCTCGCCTCGTGGAAACCTAACCTAAGTAGTCAGTGTAAAATAATATGATGAAATTTAGGAGTGACGCTTTAGAAGTGGATAATTCAACAGTGTGAAAACTTACCTAAAGTATTTAATGCATTACTGATCCCTTCGTTATGTTACCTTAACATATAACTAATGCTACCTAATTATCTATTTCTTACATATCAACACCTGCTTCCAAGTTGCTGACCCTATAGACCTACTCCTGCATATCTCCCAACCACTCGTCAAATCTCTTTTCCGTATCAGCAAGAACATCAAATCCCAGCAAGCTCTGTTGATACTCAGCATCTCCCCAATTAAACGAGCATAGCCCCTTCCACCTCCCGCCAGGCAGCCCGGCCAACTCCTCGTCGCGCGCCTCTTGCTCCGGGCCGTCGGCCAAATGGTAGTAATGGCGGGTATGCACGGCACCGGCCACGTTGACTTCTGTCCGCTTCTTGCGTAGACCTTCGTACAGGCGGAAAAGACTCTCTAGTTTCTCGTTTTTCTCTGCTTGGTTCGATGGGATACCTGCGCTTTGGAACTTCTCCAGAAGTAAGCCAAGGATGGCGCCGTCCTCGACGGCCATGGCAGCGCCTTGGCCCTGATATGGTAGCGTTGGATGCGAGGCGTCTCCTAATAGAGCGACTGCACCCTATTTGAAGTTAGAGGAATGAGAAATACACGTCTGTTTTAGGGCCTGATGCTTTATTGTACTCGCGCACCTTAGTCCATTGGTCAAGCTCTTTGAAGTGAAGGAGCTTCCATTTCAATGCAGTCTTCAGACATGAAATGATTTCGTTGAGGCTGGATAAATCTTAGCTCTTATTATCAAGATGAAAGGGGTTAGGAGAAGAGAAATACATCGGATCCCATCCTTCAAAGTTAGCTGCCATTTCCTCCAGGCTGCCTTGTGAGGTACGCACGCCGGTAGGTAGATCATCCGCGGCTCTGTAAGTATTTAGTAATTCTGCCGCTCAAACTAAGACTTCGTAAGAGGGGTCTACATCAAGACGAGATTGTATTCCGTATGATTCCTCAAAGGATAGAAAACGGCGTGTCGACCCGGCCCTAACCATACTTGTATATTAGACTGCTCTAGCAACTTATCCACTCGTTCGTTCTTAAGCCCTTTCAGCTGTGCACGCGTGAAAGTGCCTCGATATGCAAGATCACCCGTTTCCGTTGGCGGAAAAGGCCGTCCTAGGACGATCTCTCGGGTTAAAGACCACAGCCCTATCCAATGAGTTTAGCTGTCATAATGGGGATAGGCTTCTTGAGGAACAAGCTCGGCGTACCATCCGCGCCGATTACTACATCTGCGCTGATTCGTCTTCCATCTTTCAGTAACAAGGTCTGGGCGCGGTCGGAAGCAAGATTGACGCCAGTAACGTCTGCGCTCGTCAACACAACTGCTCCAACAGCTCGAGCCTCTTTGAGTAGTACGTTCTGATAGTCTCCTCTATGTATTGCTCTTTTGCATAGATCCAATTACCTAGTCAGCGTTGTCTTTTCTTGATAAGCTGGTAATTAGGGGTTGCATGTCTCATATCTGCTCTTACATCCATTGCGCCCCGTACTCCGTCTCCATCCTATCCTTGAGCGGCTTCTCAACAAGGACCTGGCCATTCTCATATCTCCTTAACGTGAAATCCTGCACCTGGTATCCACCCGCCTGCTTGAGTTTCTCGAGAAGCCCGAAGCGAGTCAGCACCCGGCAGGCATTCGGCGGAATGTGGATCCCGGCACCGATGGTGAGGATTTCCGGCGTGCGCTCAAGAACGGTGACTTGGAGGGGAGGGTTTGCTCGGCGGCATGCTATCGCGCAAGCTAAACCGCCTATTCCTGCACCGATAATGGCGACATGGAGACCATTGGTATTGGATGATTTCTGAGTAAGGAGTTAGTTTATTGATAATTATGGTATAATGGAGGTATACACTTGCGCCTGTTTCTGATCTTTCCGTCGCCATTTGAGTCGGTTCTTGAGATTTCTTTCTATTGTCAATATTTAAAGTTAGATTGGTGATATTCGGCTCTTTATAAATAAGTATTTGATTGTAGTTCTAACCTGAGCGCGTTTTAAAGACTGACCTCTTGCAATACTTCTTATACGGTTATTTTTCCTGGCCCTCTCCGCTCGTGGCTCTAGTATTACATTCCGATGGGGTCTTCTACCCCCACTTCGGGTAATCCATCTCATCTCATCTCATAATAGGACTTCTTACGGGTTGACAACGAGATATAAGCAGATTTTGAGGCATTGCTGTCAATTCCGAATGTAAGTTGGATCTTAGGACTCCTTGCGCAGGAAGGTCTCAACGCCTTGCGAAAGTATCATGAGCTATACGTACTCAAAGTTCAGTAAGCTGCATCTAATTGGTTACACGTTGGTGACTTGAGTTGCAATCTCAAAGCAAATGTCCAAGCTAGAAATTTGCTCAAAGGCTGCTATTTCAGCTTCAGCTTTAGACATATCCTACGAAAATCGGTAGCTAAAATAGGGATATGCCTGAAATCTGTTCTGATAGTTGACCTTATATTCACAAAAAAGAACTACGAGTCGTAGACAACTTGGAGTTGCACTATATAGCCTTAAGCAATCAAAAGGCCTTCTTTTCTTATGCTCTTAAGAGTAGGGAAAAAGCGACATTAACTGTAACATTGATCTGTATCAGAAAGGTTTAACTAACAATGTAAAAGACATGTTCGAAATACCATTAAAAAGACGGAAGTCGGAGAAGATTGGTGGATACCGGCTCGGGTGGTGCCGGACATAGGGCGCGGACCGGAGTCTTCGCAATATCCGTTCCCATCTGTTTGTTGTACATAGTATAAGCCACCGAACTGCGGACTTAAATGTGGAATGGCATCCGATATCTCCTACTTGTATCTCCGATTCCGCGTCTGCATAAGACCAGCGTAGAATAGAAACAGCCGTAAAACAGACAATGTATCGCGTATAAATTAAGATAATCATGCTTATAGAATCAGTTGGGAGAGATTACGCAGTTGTGAATACGCACACACACACATAATCTTAATATTACGTATTACCTAGGTAGGCTAATTTATTTACATCGTATTATTCAGATCTCCAACCCTCCAACCGCAGGTGTAAACTTTACCGTCGGTTGGCGTTTTGCGCTTAGACGATATGCCGAAACAAGCTTATGTAAAGTAAAGTTCTACTAATTACCTACATTAGCCAATAAACGTATCTCGCATTTGCCGCGATACCTCAAATGGGAAGCTGGGGCGATTAAACCCTGCTCTTGATGCTTCTAGGCCGCGGATATTATTGCCTGCTTTGTAACCTTTAACTATATTTTATGCTCGGATCGAGTTCGGATCTCTACAAGCTGTTGTGCAAGCTGATGTGTACTGCATCATAGCCATTGCAGCAACGAAACTGTTGGAGATTGTAAAGTGGAATAGGTAGGTATGGATGCTTAGCAAGAGAAGCGAACTCGACAGAATACATACTAGCCATCACAGTATGGGGCATATTTTTTTTTTGGACGGCATTCTGCTCGGACACGGACGCGTGAGCGTGCACGGGCAGTATACGCGGACGACCCTCCGTTGAAACCGCAAATTAGCAAAGTGTTTACTTGCCGAATTTTGCGCATAATTCTTCAACGACCACTTATCAATCAATCTCATTGGCACTGAACGAGTAATAATGGAATAATGGTACCTAATATTGGTGTTTTGCTAGGAGGCCCTAAATACCTAGCTAGGATCACTGGGATCACTAGGATCACTAGGAGCTATGTACATATTAGAAGATTTCTAGAGTCCCGAATTTGCACAAAACCAGATTCGGCTGGTCGGATGGTCGACAGATATATGCATAGTCCCTACCGATGTCCTCCCCTTGCTCCTTGGCGTTGTCACCAACTAGGACCAATCGAATGTTCCACTGGTAAAAGCGTGACATCGCCTTTACAATAATTAGTAAACCCGACCATGGTCGGGATTCGGTGCCATAAACCTACACTCTCATCCCTTCTTCCTGTCTCTTCTGTTTCTGTAGTGTTTGATCCTAGTGATGCGGTGATCAAGAGATCCCGCGAGAACTCAAGCGGTTATTACCCAGCGCAGAACGCGATACCAAGCCGAGTCATATATATTTGACTAGAGAATCGTGAATTAGACGCGCAAAGACATACCGAATTCGTTACAGCGCAGATCAGTCTAGTTAAGGTCACATCTTCCCCTCAAGATTTAAATACTCCAAGAAATCTAAGAGAAGCCAAACACGAGTAAGTATTTTCCCACTTGGCTAGTCGAGCAGCTTTATGCCTTATACTTGATCTTGATTTCGTTTTGTAAATCATTGTAGCCTGTCTCCTGTCTCGCTCCAAATAACAAGGAAACATAAGTCGTTAACCTAGAAGCTAGTAAACAGCAATGGTGTCCAGCGCAGCATCAACTGCCTCGGCAACGCACACAGATGGGGATGATGATGCGTCCGGAGAGGCGCGGCTGCAATTGCAGCGCAAGATAAGTCAGGCGGTAGACGAAGGACATGATGCAGATATCCCGTCGAGCCAGGGCTTTATAGTGGATGAGCAAGAAGAGCTTAAACGACAGCGATCGAAAGCCGAGCGGAGGCGAAACTCATTCGCCAGTAAGAAGAGTCGGACGGACCGCGACGTCGAGAAGGCGCAAGGGCCCGGCGAAGCGCCATTATCAAGCAGCAACGACGGCGAAGATAGTGATAGCGATCCTAACATTGTCTGGTGGGATGGACCTGACGACCCAGAGAACCCTTATAATTGGCCGACGTGGAGGAAGGTTCTCAACTGCGGACTCATCAGTGCCATGACTTTCGTTTCCCCCTTAGCATCATGTAAGTCTTTCGTACCTTGAGTACATATCGCATTTATTTTCGAGCGCGTATTGGATGAACACTAACCATTACATAGCTATCTTCGCTCCTGGTGTTCCTCAGGTGATAGCCGAATTTCATTCGACATCCTTAGAAATCGCCTCGTTCATGGTTTCGGTGTATGTGTTGGGCTTCGCAGCGGGACCTATGTTATTTGCGCCGTTGTCTGAGATATATGGTCGAGTTATCCTTTTCCACATCGGAAACCTAGGATTCGTCGCTTTCCAAGTCGGATGCGCGCTTTCTCCAACATTAAACGCCCTCATCGTCTTCCGATTTTTTGCTGGTGTCTTCGGTTCCGTAGCGGTTACGAATGGCGGCGGCACGATTGCTGATATGGTCACGCAGGAGAAACGAGGGGCAGCAATGGCTGTTTTTAGCATAGGTCCGCTTTTAGGCCCTATCATCGGACCCGTTGCTGGTGGTTTCTTATCTGATGCTGAGGGTTGGAGATGGTTGTTCTGGCTTCTGGCCATTGTTGGTGGAGTTCTTTCAATTCTCATGATCTTCTCTCTCAAGGAGAGTTACGCTCCCGCAATCCTTCAGAAAAAGGTGGCCAAGTTGCGTAAGGAGACAGGAAACAATTTACTTCGATCGAAACTCGATGCCGGTTTGTCGCCTAGGGACTTCTTTAAGCGGAGTATCATTCGCCCCTTCAAGATGCTGTTCCTTTCGCCAGTCATCGCCATCACGTCGCTTTATATGGCCGTCACCTACGGCTATCTCTATTTAATGTTCACAACCATGACCGATGTGTTCCAGGGATACTACGGCTTCTCAACAAGCCTTGTTGGATTGGCGTATATTGGTCTTGGGGTGGGAAGCATAATTGGTATTATACTTTTCAGCACTACATCCGATAAATACATCAAGAAGAAAGCTACGGAAGCCGACGCGATAGCCCAAGCTACTGGCATACCTACAGCTGGCATGAAGCCGGAATATCGGTTGCCGCTACTCCCTTTAGGAGCCTTTCTAATCCCCGCGGGTCTATTTATCTACGGGTGGACAGCCGAATATAGGGTCCATTGGGTTGTTCCTATCATCGGAACAGCTGTTGTCGGTTGCGGAAACTTGCTCGTATTTATGGTTATTCAACTATACCTAGTCGACGCCTTCACTATTTATGCCGCCTCCGCCATAGCATGCAACACGATTGTTCGATCTTTGGCTGGTGCCGTACTTCCGCTGGCTGGACTGCCGATGTACGCCAAACTGGGTATCGGCTGGGGTAACAGCTTACTAGCATTCATCGCCATCGCATTGTTTCCTGTATCACTGGGCATAATCAAATATGGGGAGCGTCTCAGGAAAAGATTCGTTATAAAAAATCTCTAGTGGAGACATTAACTCTACGGACTTCTTTTCAAACCCATTACTTACAGGGATATTAGGTTGCATTAGGGAGGGTTTATACATGAAGAAAAGGATACCATCTATCATCAATGCGTATACTGGGGCCATAACGGCTACAGAATAGAAAATTTAGCGTCTAATTATTCTACGGATTTTATGTATTATATAGTATGTTTAATTAGAATCGCTGTCACTACCACACCAGGCTTTAGATATAATAGCCAAACCATCATCAAAAAAAGAATGGAAATTTTTCATTTACTTTTAGGCAATATTCAGGATTTAACATACCTTGAAAGTTGACGACCAGAGCCCATTTACCCACCGACCCCGACTGTCTGACTATCGACGGTTACACGGAGTTCATGGACTTAAGAGATCCGAGTCTATACGCATATATAAGCCCTAGCTGCTTACTTCAATGTCTTAGGTAGGATCTAACTGTTGATACGAGTTAACCAGTTAATTTTCGGAAATGATTTGAGGGGTTGATTACATTGTAGACAAGCGATTGGTTATACATATACGAAGGGTACAGTCAGTGGGGAAACTGATATTTTCTCCTTTACGCAGTGATTTCTGTTATCTAACTCCGCCCCTGGATTTGACCGTAGTGCATCATCGCTAGTCATGCTTAAAATCCTAAGGGATTTTCGTTCTCATTGTCTATTCAATGTTCAAAACGGCATGACAATTATTTCAACTACAAATAAACTAGAAAATAGCATAGCTGTATTCGACAGTGAAATCTTTTATCCAGTATCCAGTAGGGGGTGATATACGTTTCTAACATCTTGGATGGGCATTCCTCCTAGGTGTAGATTTAAGGAGTCTGCACCACCGGTATTCGGGATTTCTAGCTCACTGCAAGAATTCTGAAAGCCGTTGTACTTGCATCATAGTGAAAATATTATCTAAAAACACATACGGGACAACCTTCCATCCCGCAAAATGAGGTATGGGGTTCAGACACGTCGTGCCTATCCTCAAATACCACTAGTTTATCTAGGGCAACCTTGCGAGCCTATGCTAGACCAAATGCAACTAGGTTAAGATAGCTCCCGTAAATCTCGCCCCCTCGGGTTCCAGTTCCTCGGATCCCGAATTCTTGACCGAGTCACGAGAGTTCTCGGAGGGTGAAGGATTGCTATGGTAACTATAATGGTTCAATATCATAATAACCATCGTTTAGTCACAGGAATAGTCGATCGTCTCCCCCACAAATCAAATATTCAGGTTTCCATCCATTTTTTGGCTGTCTACAACAAGCAGCATATCAAAACTGCCTATGCTAACCCTTATTTATTTAACCCAAAAATATCCTAAGTGGCCCAATAGGAGCTTGACAATTCCTCTTGAGATTCCAAAGTATATATCACCCAGGCATCCGAAGCAGCGAACAAAAGCAAGGGGCCAATTGTCATTTCGGGAACTACGTTGGCTCTCATTGGCTGGTACGCTGTGTGCTACACGAACCTTAATACTACTTCATTATCGCCGTCTTAGTCTTATTGTATTATTCTGGGGATGAAACTCGGTTTAAGGGCCTATTTCCAATCCTGCAGCCTGATACCAGGTTTGAATTCACCATTATTTAAGCGATAAAATAATTTCAATAATTACAATAATGACATAATATACTTCGGAGATAGCCATGCAAACGGGTTGTTCAACATACAACTCCAACTTACAAGCTGATCCTAATAAGTCAAAACACCCTTACTGGGGCCACCCTAGTGGGGGCCACCCATTTCCCATACAAAATCAACGATTTCGCATATTTGTATTTAATTCAAGAAAATAGATAAAAATATATGGTCTTTGATTTTGAGTACGGTATTGAATTCTCACCAGGTATAAAATTTTGAAAAAATGGCAGGGCTAATATCTGTGGTAAAATGAATACAGGAGTATACACTAACAGTTATACATACAAATTTATATGTAAAGCTGTTAAGGGATATTATTGCTTATAACTTTACCAATTAATATGGTATAAATGTAAAATCTATATCGTTAAATAAGGGACATTTTAATACAACTTTTAAATCTAGGGCGAGTTATATAACTGTTGGATTGACTATGTATTACGTAATAATATGAAAGGGAATGCAAATAACGATCGTGTTCTGATTGGTTGTATTGTGGTAAGAGAGGAGGGGTTCCCCCGAGTGGGGAAAGATATCTATTGTACAGATGCGTGGGCTGTGCGTGGGCGGTGTGTGTGGGCATAACCCTGGTCATGTGACGAGGTCACGTGACCGTTATCCCAACAATAACTTATTTATCTGAGAAGTTATAAGCGTTTATAAGGTTTTATGGTAATTTGATGAAATTCCCATATAAAATTAAAATTTTTAAAATTTTTAAAATAACATTAAAAATACACTTTACTGTTTTACTATTAAAACATTAGATTTTAAATATGATAAAATGTACATAAGCTATTATAATGATCGGAAAGTAAAACATAAGAGATTTTATATTTTTATCTATTTCTTTAAATTAATTATAGACATGCGAAGTTGTTGATTTTGTATGGGAAATGGGTGGCCCCCACTAGGGTGGCCCCAGTAAGGGTGGTTTGACTTAATACCAGTAGAGCTAGAACATACATATAACTCTCTATGATGAAGTTGACCTTCTAGTTGAATTGTATCAGATCTAGGTAAATCGTATTATTATATTTAGTTTTTGGTATTTATATTTGGGTGTTTATTTGCCTGAATACTGTCTAAGTGAGCCAAACTGAGGGTACCAAGAGAGGTTCAAAGACTTCCCAGAAAAAAACATAATACACAAGTAGTTTTAGAGAGGTTTATTCAGATATCACAACTAATGAATGGGCGTAAGATGATGGTTTTACCAGCCAAAGGGGTGAGCAGAGAAACCAGACAATCTTATAAGGCTGAAATTGGACTAAAGACCAAAGGGGTTGATACAAGTCGCAGCCTACAATTATTGTACCGCATGAACATCATCTCGGAACACTACACTTACCTAATATAGACACACTCTCGGTAAGTTATTAACACATAAACTTTATCATCGTATTATTCTTTATATTAGCATGAAAGCAGTTTACTAAGCATAGGAGGTGGGATATTACGAATCTAGCATGAGTTTGAATAGCAACACATGCCATTTCATACTAGTATCACCTCTAAGGTAATTTACCCGTTTGTTTGTTATTACTATAAAAATAGATAGTTATATGTTAGCCGTTATATCTATACCGGTGTGTCACCGGGGATATATGTCAATATCCGTCCGGGCCGCCCTATTTAATACGCCAGACGTGACTTCCACAGACACAGCCAATCAATATGTAGGATCATATTGTTATTTAGCTTTTGCAGCTTCCTCATTGCCGTAGATTCTATACATAGGTGCTATTCACTCATATGTTTGTGCTATTATTAATCTTCGAGAGCTTCCCTGTCGGCGCCACTTCCATGAAACATGAATCCATTCACGGGATCCTGTCTTTGTCTAACTTACTAGACTTCCTGTCATCGTTTCCTTCAGGGCATGGTTACTCCCATCGTTTGATATATTCATGGTCCCTTCCAGCTAGATACAAACAGCTTATGCAACTGGCTAGTGAATGGCTTCAGATATACGCTCGCCGCTCCTCTCTTAGGATACACCAATCATCATCCTTACCTCTGGGTGTGCTTAGCTGTAGCCAGTCATCGTTAAGACTATTAAGTACTAACCCTCTTCGTTCCTACCCCCGGAAGAAATATGTTTGTTATTATCCCCAAGACAAACCCGTACGCAGTTAGGGATTTTCCTATTGAATCTCCTGACCACAGAGACCCAAAAAGCTCCTGGCCGCTTAATGTCAATTTCTGGTCCAGTTTTACTTGGATAAGTTTCTAGTTCCTTGTCCTTCAATAAGAAGGTCACCTGGGTACAGATGTTCTCACGTTACTAGCAGGACAATCAGGATCGTCAGGACGATCCATAAACATAGCAACAAATCGCCCTGGCGATTGTTTTATTCCTTAGGTAGGTGCTCACAGACTTTTCTCTATTCCCCACAGGGTTCAATTCTATTTAAACCCACCCTTCTCCCAACTTAGCACCAGAAATTCAAAATTCTCTTCTTCATCCTCCTCTCCTTCTAACCCTCTAACCTATTAAATTATTCTCCTCAACATCAACTACATCACAATACAACACAGTACTACACAAAAACTACACAAACTGCTCTTCAAATTATTTAATAAATACTCTAACCTAATACACTCCTAGATACCTACCATACTATTGGACTCCTTTGCACGCTGATGTGAGCATAGGAAGAGACGATATTGTTAATCTCTTGTTCCAATAGAAGGCCAAGATCCACATCCTTTCTAGAGGATTTTGCAACTGTTTCCTCCCAGGCGAGAGACTGATATTCAAAGCAAAGAGCTACATTCAACCTGCCTGGATACCTCTTCATACCGCAATCTGCCACAATAGTTAAGCAGACTTCTGGGTTTCAAGGTTAGTATTTCCCTTATATTTCCTAGTGATACCTCCCCATTGAATCAAAAGATTTGTTGGAATACTACCACCACCACCACCATCATCACACCCCTGCACACAAACACGCGCACAAACACAAACCCCTTCTATCACACAATACCTTACTACAACTACACCTCCCCGTCATTTAACTATGACTGCATAATTTATTTTCCAGTTTTCCCTTTATGGTCATACTGTTTCAGAGAGAAAACATTTGGTTACGGTGACGTGGAAATGTCACAGCCAAACTGAGCAGCTAACAAACATATCAATAGTCAGCGAGCAGCCATGAAAATGTAGTCCCCGAAAGCCCCAGACTACCTAAAACCAAGACCCTGTTATCCTCCTCATTCATCAACTCAGAATGAGAGGCGATAGCTTCATGTCTCCATTTATGCACTACTTGAAAATCATTTCACTACGCTTAAATTACAGCATACCCTTTACTGAAGTAGAAAGTCATCAAAATTAAGGCAACTCTGAACCCCTTCTATTCTATCGCCTACACCAAATATTCTCCCTAGTTCGCCGATACGCCCATCAGGTATGCTCTATTCTATCGTTCGCTATCAAAAAGAAAAGTCCCACCGACCCATAATCTTATTACACTATGAAAGATGTGGCCCAGTGTGCGAACGAAGCTCTCAGAACACATTGACCTGTGCTCAGCCAGGGTACAGGTTGTGATGACATAGAAGAGGATAAATGGCTACAAGTCCAGCCATAATCTACAGAATGCAGGCATCACACTGGAAGTATCGCACTTCCCGGAGACTGGGCACAAGGCCATATGAAGCGATCACAGAGGAAAGGATCGAATACTATGAAGTGGAGCAAGAAAGACGGAAGCAGACTTCCCTGTTCCAGGAGGAACTCTAACATATCTAAACTACAAAAGGCAATGGCTTTACATACTAAATTTATCCTTTGTCCTGGATGTGTCATCTAGAATCCTAAAAGCAGTAAGTTCTCCTGAATTCATAGAAGCTGCATTACATGATTGTATGTGTAAACTGACTTCTTTATTAGGATGACCCTAGATTCATTTTATACCAACAATTATTCCATGTCTATCGAGATACTAATATCGATGATGCTTTCAAGAGGAGGCTGCAACTATTAACTAAGCAAGAATTCTTGAAGTGATACTATTGCTATATTTCAGCAAAAGACATCATATATGCATTGTTAGCCGATGACTAACTTATCACAAATAGTAGGAGATACCTACCTTATATCTGCTGGGGGTGATATCGCCGACATTGTGTTCTATCTTCATATGAACCAAGTCACTGGCCTCATAATAAACCTACAACCAACTACACAAACTCGGCCGCGAATATCTCAACCAAAACAAGAAGATACTGGTTTTCCCGAGATAATTCCCTTTCTCGTTAACTTGGGAGTTCATTTCTTTCCACTCCCTCGTCAAGAACTTTGTCACGCTGTTGGGACAATGGTCATGTGACTACATCACGTGACCACGATTATGCCCATACACACCGCCCGCGCACAAGCCTACGCATGTATTGTACAGTAGATATTCACCCCACTTAGGGAAACCCTCCATTTACTTACCTGAATCAACAACCAATCAGAATCAGTCATTTCGTATTACTTCGTTATGTATTTCCTACCTTTCACTTTTATTACGGAATATTGTCACTCCAACAGGGACATCCGTACAGTCTTTACACGATAGAGCTTCATGATGTGGAATTATTATTATGAGGTAGACCAAGAAAATATAGGAACAGCCTTGTTGTTTAGCAAGGAGCTTAAATCAAGGATACTACTTGTGAGAATACTCGTTTATGGCACCGACATCAAAGAGAGGGTTTAAAGGGCTAAGACGATGCTGAATATAAAGTTGTTGGTGACAGTTTCCCGACACTATAATAAGTGCTGTACACTAGAAATATAAATGTCAGTGATAATCTTATAAGAGATATGGAATAGGTACAATTCCGATGTCCCCTGTCTCGGCCGATTAGATAAGCATAAGAGGTGGGGATGGTGCCCCGCCTACAAAGTAGACTAGCCTAATATAACGATAGCTGTTGGAACCACTGGTCCACCGCCACGCTGCTGCTACCAAGGGTCGCGGAGCGATGCACGCCATGGGGGCCGCCTGTGCCTTACTGTGTACACCTTCGCTTTATTCCGCTAGACACAGTGACCGATTTACCGACCTCATGACAAACGCCTCGTGATCTTTCCGTTTTATCCAACCTCCTTCAACTAAAAACGACAAATCGAAATAAGGCCCCGACGTGACTCTTTTCTTCCTATCGAGCAAAAAAACAACCCGAGAAACTCCCCGATACTCCCGATATTCTCCTGCGAACCGGAACTTTCAGCACAGTTCATTGTAACAGGTACTCAGTCAAGATGGTGGTATGTTTCCCCTTACGCACATAATCAATCTCCTTACGCGAGAGCATCAAGCTGCTCCCCCCTGCCCTGGGAAGCTCTCAAATAAAGGCAGGGCTTTAGCTTCGTTGCTATAGGGACTGCTGTTTATCTCTATCTTCTACTTTGCTTTCTTGCTTGCTTTACTTCGCGACGACGCTGATCTCTGATCGATGTGTCTTCTTCCCGACAGTTTCTCAACTTGCTGACATTTGGCCTCTGGGGAAAGCTTGGACGACTTACTCACTACGCCGTTGATGCGGTTCTCAGTATGCGCTCCCTTCATTTCTCTCTCTCTCTCTTTCTGTGTACTCTATCTGTCTGTCTGTCTCCTGTGGAAGCAACTAGCTAACCCGGTCTACAGTCTCGACTATCCTCGCGGGCATGAGGCGCTCGACCGGCCTAACGTGAGTACCTAATACATACATACATACATGCATACATACATGCATACACCCATCTCCCTATCCATCATCCGATCGTGCGATCGCAGCGCGGCTATATCGCGGAGAAATTGCCACGGCGGGAGAGGCTGAAAAAGAAAAAGAAAAAGAAAGAAAGAAAAAGCAACCGCGACGACAATGTCCAGTAGGGAATAGAATGCTGATTTGATTATCCGCAGCTTCAACACCGAGCGCGTGACTGTCGGCGAGACTAAGGAGGCCAATAAGTGGATAGAAAAGTACCTGGGCGTCGGCGAATGGGTCATGGATCAGTCCGTCGCGATAGCCGGGTCCAGCGGCTGGTTCCAACGGACTCGATGAGCGGTTAGTACGAGACGGGAGGGTTGGGGATGACGCGCGATATATCTGTGACTGGAAACCGATCTCCCATTATCAATCATAGCGCTTGACTACGATTCTTGGCGAGACGCCCATCCAAAAGCCGGTTACACCTCTATCACCGATGCATCACCACCACCCCTCCACCTCGAACTGGACCGTACTCGATTGGATTTTCCTTCCCCCTCTTTCACGAACAGGCGTTGTTGTTGTTGGGTCCATATATCCATTTGATGAAAGTTTCTTGCTGCTACCACGATAGATGAAAGGAATGAAATGCTCGCCTCTGCTTGCTTCACTTGGCCACTACTCCATGCGCAAGCCGACAGTTGTTGCGGCCGCATTACGCTATATAAAAATATAAAGCTACAGTCTCATTTGCGGGCAACTTTTTGTTTCTTTCGTGCCGTTGTGGTCTTTCCCCCCCTAGGTGATTTGTCTAACACAGTCGTCGCCTGTGTTGTTTCGCATATACTACTACTTCAGCAACACCATTTCGACTCAACTCGAGCATCCTAAGTAGGCGAATTGAGAATGCACTGATACTCGTAATAAATGTCTCATTCGTAAAATAGGAGTATCTACCCCCAACGCTGATCTAATATGCTAAACCGTCATACCCATGGTATCCGCATCGAACCCCTGAACTCTGCTGGATCCCGTCACGACCATGCAGTCCGCAATGCAATCCCGTATACTAACTAACTAGGTAGCCAGATAAGCAATTCCTCTACGCCCAACACCAAGCAGACCACGCCACGCTGTATTCATAACTCCGGATCCCATCCTCATAAATAGTAACCGCTGTATTTATGACTCGCATTCATGACCGCATCACATACATACACACAACGATCTCGATAACCGTATAGACTAATCAACGACATCGTCATCCCTGCGGCTTTCGGAGAGCAGATCCGGCGGGATCTGGTTATCATCCTCGTCTTCGATCTCACTGCTCTCCCTCCTGAGGCGGCTGCGGTTAGGCATAGGTATGTCCTTCTCAATCCGGCTCTGCGGGGGACTATGCATGGACAAGAATTCGACGGGGATATCATTGTGGCTCTCATCCTCGCTCTCGTGGTGTGGTGCTTCGCTCAGCAATTCCGGCGGCACCTCATTATCGCTCTCGTCGCGGTGCGCGGCGCCGAGCAGATCTGCAGGGGGGCTGCTCAGTTGCTGCGCATCGGGGTTGTCCCAACGCCGGACCACGCTACGGCTAAGTTCCTCATCCTCGTCCGGTTCCGAGGAGCGCGGTTCGATATCCGAAATCCCATTTTCGCGCACGTCAACGAGATCGTTGCTGCCGATAGATGTAACTGGTGTGATTATGCCGTTGTCGTACCCAGAGCTGCGGATTATTTCCGCGAGGAATTCCTTAATACCCTCGAAGTGTGCGAGTTCGGCGCCGATGACAGCAATTAGGAGGTTCCAGCCGCGGGACTCGACATAGTCATGCTGCCTTTGAATTTCACGCAAGGTCCCCTTGAGGACCTTGTACTGATCTCGCAGAATAGATGCCGGGTCGCCGGATTCAAGATTTTGCTGCTGCTTCGTGGCATCTTGTAGCGATTGGTTTAGTTGGGTTTCGAAATCGACAAGCATGGTGAGAACCTGCTGCCATATTTCGTTACCCTCCTCCAGCGCCGCCCGTTCCTTGTCAACGATAGTTTTGCGCTGCTCGAGCACAGCAACTTCACCTTCCCACCAATCCTTCGCCATTTCCGTCGTTCGTCTCTCTGGTCGCAAAGAAAGAAAATCGACGCCAGACATATGTTTCGACATGAGCGCAGCGAAATCCTCACCGCCCTGTTCCTTCAAATCCTCGACTTCGAGCACTTGTACGCCTGGGTATTTCATCAGCTCAAAAATGCCCTGATCGCACTGCTTCAGCGCCCCCTTGTACCCGCTAAGGCTGGCTTCTCGGGTACTCCTGGCCTCTTCAAGCTTTCTTTCTAGACTAGCTTTTGTCCTCCTCAACTGTTTGAGCTTTTCCTCGAGCTTCTCGATATTAGCACATACTGTACGGTGCTGATTCTCCATCGTCACTATTTCGGTCTCGATCGGCGTCTCGCTATCTTCTTCTAAAGCCTTCAAATCGGCCGTGATAGATTTGCGCTGCGACGACAGATTACGTAGCCTTGATAAAGCGGCCTTCCGCTCAGCCAACGCAGTGGCGATATATGCGTCTTCCTCATTCTTCAAGTCAGCCAGCATGGTGACAGATCGAGCGATACCAATACGGGCCTGTCGTTTCGACAGAGGTCTTTTCTTGGGCTGGCGAACAGGCACGACCGAACCTTCGTACAGCTTTGTCTGAACGGAAGATGCCGTCATATCTGGTGATAACTTTTGCTTGGTGTCTTTGGAGGAAGTCTTTCCTGTATCGTTCCCTTCAAGATCTCGTTCTAGCGCAACACCTTGAGCATCTAGTAACTTCTGAAGTTCATTCTGCAATTGGCGTTCCCGCCGCTGTAACATTTTGAAAGTGTTATCAACCTCCGACTGTATCGTACGGTCCGCCGTACGATCAGGTCGTCCTTTGAATATACTCTCGACAAGAGATGTATGGGTACTGGTAGTAGCATGTCTACTGTCGCGTGGCTCGGTGCGGATGGTTGGTCGCCAAATACCAGGCGGAACCTTAAGATCATTGCTTGTAGGCTCACTAAAGTCGTCTACGGAGTTGGGGGTTCGAGATCGTGAATACTGCGGCCGACCTTGGTAGGCGAACGCGATCGCCTTGCCTTTGCCTTTAGAGCGAGGGGAAGGATTCATGTTTGGCGTATTAGTTCCGGATCCGCTAGGAGTATCGGAAACGATATCTTTGTAGGCGAATATACGAGTTGAATCTGGGGAGAGAAGCGCATCGTCAGGTCGGGGAGAGAGTTCGGAGAGGTCGTGTTCTTCTGCCTGACGCCGCGGCGACGATGTATATAGTGGTAAGAGAGTTGACATTCCGCCTTCACCAAGTCCTAGCTTCGATAGTAAAGTGTCCCCAAAGCTCATGTTTGTCACCTCCGGCATATGTGGACTCGGATAACGTTATATTAGAATTCGATGCTAGAAACTCTCTCTCGATTGCATTTTGTTAAAGAACAATATTCTGTAAGTTAAGAACTACAAAAGACGCATGAACGCCAAAATAATTAAAACAATAGAGCGCCAAAGCAAAAGAAGACCAGCTCTAATATGATATGAGGTATGTATGTCACTACGATATGCGGGATGGTTCTAGGAATGAGGAGGAAGGCAATCTCAGCCCTCGGTATCGATAGGTAGTTAAGGTCATATCGATAAATGCTTTATCTGTCTATTTTTCAGGGAAAGTGACAGGGTCATGAGAGCTTAGCAGGTGCCGAGACAAGAGACATGCATATTTAAAGATGTTTCTTATTGGTTCGTTACTAACAACCGAACTACCTATGTATCCAATTACCAATCACGTCACATTAGGTAAGGTACCTATTTAATAGGTCCTATTAACGTTGGATATTATTTGTACATTTATGTCTTATGTTTTAACTTCAACTCTGCAACTTACCAAAACCTTGGTTCGCCGGTTTACAAAAAATATTATTTAAAAGACCTTTCCCTTCAGATAAAATATATTGGGTGACGTCGGAAATGTAACCATGGAATCGGCCGTTGTGACCTTGTCGGAAGATCCTCCGCATCATTTATCCCCCCCTGTTCCGCCTCTCTGCCCTTGTTTCCCTTTCTAGTCATGCATCCAGGTTCTGAAACGATCTGTTCGAGATATCTGCCCAGTCACGGACTCGACTTAGACTATTCAGATATGACGATCTTCACCAGCTCGCACGAACAACCCTACGAATAAGTAAATCTACCTTCCTACAGGGTTGTCTCGGTGTTTAGTCGTATCATATATCGATGTAGCTCAATGCAAACGGAACGTGTCCTCGCCGTCCTCGCTGCCTCAACCATGGATACCATGGATACCACGGATACCATGTAAGATCTAATCCCGTATCAGTGTTCTCATCCACATTTACATAAGGGGAAAAAGAAATATGGGATCTCTTCGCTGTTAGTGATCTCCGCATGGGGATCTCGAACCCAGTCGCCCAGTCCCCTAATATAATTGAGGTAGTAATTGAACACCAACTGGGTAGCGGCCCTATGTATTCACCCCATTATCTCCCCATACCGCTTGCGGCCGTCACCGACGCAACACTGGCGTTCATTGATCTACATATCAAATTCTCCAGTAGACCAGCTGTAAGTTGTTGCGGGGAGTTAATTGATTGACATCTTGGGTGCCGGGGAGACGATTTATTTAGTCGTGATCGCCACTTCAACCTCGCGCGTCATTCACTTTTACAGCTGTCGCCCACTGGACTTCGTTGCGCTGCCCCTCTGGAGTTCAATGAACAGTTGTCAAGAGGTTCAATTAATTCACTTGGTACTTGATCAACTGGTGCCTTCCTTGCAAATTATTTCTATTCAATAAATTCTTACCGTCAGGTTTAAATTTTATTGTTTGCACCCTTTAATTCCTACAAACGCCAAACATATCGTAGGAACCTCGCAAGCAGCGCCAATCCTATAAAGTTAAGAACTCGGCCATCTTATTATAGGATATTGAATTGGTTATAATATTGTCAATCAAAATGCTAGCGACTCTTCTCTCGAACAAGGCGGGCGTCTTGCTCGCCGCATTGTCCAGCGTTGGTGTGGTCCTTGCCGGACCCGTGGATGCACGACAGGCAGCCAAGGTAAGTAAATAAACCAGAAATTCTACTACCTCAAGATGTTTTATTTCAATATAGTCGCTAATTCTTCACATAGGATGTCGTAGCTCGCGCAGCTGATGTCTCAACCATCACGGGCTATGCTCATCCCTTGACGCTCACTGCTCTGTCTACACTTCGCCCTGATCAGACAGCCTTGTCATACGCCTCGCCTCCTACGGCCATCACGGTTCCTACCAAACCACTTCCGCCTGCCGGAGAGAAGGTCGCCGAAGCAACCGGTGTCCAAGCTAAGGTAGCGGATGTCTCCGAACCCGCTGCGGCCCAGACCGACGCGCCGAGCGCAACCTCCGTCTGCACATCCATTGCGGGCACCTATCCTATGGCCACCATTCCCAACTTCTGCAACCCCTCGGCCCAGGTCAACGCACCCAGCTTCATCCCGAGCCGCACCGATATCCCCACTGCCACTGTCACCGTGGGCGGCGTGACTAACAAGCTCGACTGCTGCGTGCAGTGTGCTGGCATCTTCAACTGTGTCGCCTGGCGCTTCATCCCCGTGTACACCCAGGCACCCAACCCACACCTGCCCGGTGGCTTTGACCCTTGGGGCCGCGGTGACTGCGAGGCCGTCTACCACACGGGCAACCCGGATGACGAGACGAACACCGCGCATGACGACTCGGCAGCGAACCTGTGCCCCAACGGCAAGGTCGGCGAGCTACTAGCTAACAACGGTAGCGCTTCGAACAAGGCTACTGGCAGCTGGACGAATCTGTACTACAATGGCTGGAACGAGGGTCCCTGCGCTGAGCCCGTGGCGCCGTTTGATAGTGGCAAGGATGCGGGACGAGGAGACGATGCGAACTTGTGTTCGTAGGTTGGAGAGTTATGAGATAGGAACTAGTTCGGTTACGATAGATGAATAGGTCGTGGTTTACGACAGTTATTAATGCGATGATTTATCATCTCTATCCTACATGTCTACGGTGATTCCACCTATGTTTCGTGTGCCGTTGTCTGAACTTGAAGTGCTTCTTCGGTATCATCATCGTTTAAGAAATTATTAGACTCATCCTTCTTCTTACGAACATCGGTCACATGCTATCCTACGTGGCTATGGATGCTGGTCGAAGATTAAGACCCTTGGTATTGTACCATGCCGATTTAAGTCCCTAACCTAGTAGAGCTACCACTATTCCCATAACCCGAAAATAAGGGTGCATTTTAATTATAGTGGCTAGGATATAAATAGTACAGAGGGTATCTACCGAACAGCCCTACCGGATTGTTGACATGGTTTAGTGGTGTCTTCAATTTCCTTTTTATTTGTGCCGTTCTTTAGGCTAGAAGTGGGCGGTCTAGATCTTAGATCCATGCACGACGGCTTTCTTTAGCAGATGAAGGTAATTTTCACTTGGCTCAATGGTAAGATGGTTATATACATAACATAAGCAATATACCTTAGGTAGGTATATTATATTGCAAGTGGCTTCTTGGGCAACGGTACTTCTATTGATTGGGTACCTCTCTACCACATGCATGCTTTGCTCTTGAGACCTCTTAACCAGGAGCGTTATAAAGGGCAAGAATTCTGTAAAATAACAGTTACTGCAGAATTCAAACCTGTAGAGTTTGTAGTTGGATATTAAATCATATACTACATCCGCAGCGCGGTGTAGGTTAATAGACCGAGTATAATAATCATTTACAGATAGAATACGGCAATGTCGAAAACGCAACTCCTAAGACCATACCCACTCGCCAAACTGTGATAGGAAGTTTCTCCTTGAGAAATATAATCATAAACTAAACTATATTGATCTGTTGGGGGTTCTTTGGGGATTCACTTCATCCATATCTCACATGGAATATTCCACTGCATTATATTTCTTACAGCTAGAGATAGATACATACAAGAGAGGGAGATAGTCCGCCAGGGTCACATAACCTCTGGTAAAGACGAGACTTCTCATACGAATAGATATTTGCTCATGTTGATACTAGAACTTGACACGACATTCAACAGAGTAGACACCAGGTACACAATGGCATTCCAACGGTAATTATGTTGTTAGATAAGGGGACGATGCACTCTTCAGCGGACTGCCAATGACTACTTACGCCCCAGATATCTTCCTGAAGCAAGATTATGGGCCTGATGCTGTTCAAGAAACTCATAGATATAGAAATACCAGACAAAACATTACTGTAGTTATCCTTGAACCCGTGTCGACGAGCTTTGAGATCGGCATCTCTGTTAAAGAAAAAACCGACAGTGATAACTACCAGTATCACTATCATTCATCTCACATCCATATATGTACCCGAGGCGAGAAACTTGGGTAGAGGTAAGTGACTGGGCGGATGGGGGATAATGTTATTCTCAGCCCATCTTCACATACATTTCTAGCCGGTAATAGGTGATACTTTTGTGGACTCAAGATACCCTCATGCTATTAGTGGTAAAGCCTTTCCAAGTCTATGAGCTGGCACGCTGAGCTGCAATGCATGCAGAACCGACCCCGCAATCTCTGACGTAACTAGAATGGTGATGACCGGATACATAACCCGTTTATACAAATTGTAATAAATTCCCTCGCGTCTATATCATTGCCTACATTGTTGCCATAAAATTCATATGCCAAGATGACAACCGAGAGATCTGACTTGAGAGCAAGAACTCTCCCCCAGATATTGTTGGCCGACGGTTCCCCGCGTTCCCTGACGGCCCCGCCCCCGTCTCTATCTCAAATTCCGGCGGCATCCCGGGCCCAGGAAAGATTCCGTGTAACCGGAAACGCCATCGTTACTGGCGGAGCCGGAGACTTGGGGTTTGCAGCTAGTCGGGCTCTCCTTGAACATGGCGCAGCAGGGCTTATGATCTTCGACGTGAACCCAACGGAAGCACAAGCCAAAGTCGATTTGCTCAGCTCCGAATTCCCGGGTGCCAAGATTCAGTTTCTGAAAGTCGATGTGACGGATGAAGATGGCGTAGATGCAGCAGTAGGCGAGACGGTCAGGCTATTCGGGAATATCAATACCTTGGTGAGTTTTGCCGGAATGGTTGCCTGTGGACACGCTCTAGATTGGTCGGCGAAGGACTGGAATAGAGTAATCAATGTCAACACAATTGGCGGGTTCCTTGTTGCTCGTGCGATCGCTCGGACTATGATAGAACGCGGAATCGGAGGGAGTATGACATTTATAGCGAGTGTGTCAGCACATAGAGTCAATTTTCCTCAGCCGGTATGTAGTATCATGGTCCATGCCCCTTCCATGCCATATTTTGTCACCTGAACTGATTCTTATTATTACAGCAAGTATCTTATAATGTCTCGAAAGCTGGAGTTGTAGCTATGGTGAAGTCATTAGCTGCGGAATGGGCAAGGTACGGAATTAGAGTAAACAGTATTTCCCCAGGATACATGGACGCTCTTCATGTAATAGCTGTGGTCAGCTATATTCTCATGTACACTCTAGGTGAAAACTAGAGCTTTGCATCAAGTATGAGACTCGGCCTTGAGCTTTCGTATAGCAGTGCTGCTTATCTTCGTGGCAAAATTGTGTGTGTCCGCCGACTTATGCACGATCCCTTCAGCATCGAGGACGTCGACTTCAAATGTTTCCAGCTCTCGCCAACCAAGTTCTTTTCGCTTTTCATTTACCGCATTTCCCCCGCTTCTCGTCTCTCCCGAAACTACGAGAGCATCCATATTTTCAGTTGTGATGGTAGGACCAAAAGCATCTTGGATAACCACGCAGCGAACTTCGATAGTGCCGTTCCGGAATAGAGCAACAAGTTCGTCGTTTTCCTTGAAAGCTTGTAGAGACTGGCCTCCTTTCCAGCCGTCCTTGGATAGCTCCAGTATGGAAGACAAAAATTCGATCGTATTCATAGCGCGTTCGTCCCAAGATTGCACATATTCTGCATACTTCTTCCTCTTCAGTAATTCATCACCGGTGATGCCAATGACGAATTTGCACGGAGTCGACGTGCCACTCTCAGGCACTTTCAGTAATAATACGGCAGCAGTCAAGAGCAGTTTGTGCCCAGGGTGTAAGTGATCAAAGGTTCCTCCTAAGCATACAACCGAATGAGGGCTAGTTTGGGGGGATGACTCCGAAGGAACCGGTGGTCCAAGTGATACGGCGAGCCCACCATCTACAACAACTAGCTGGGACTGCTTTAAGGTCTGAATGCCCTCGAGAAGTTTGAGATACGTTGAGAGCAATTGATAACCCGGCTCATTATTTGTGTGGAATATGTATCTCCAAGGATGATAAGCTGCGGTGAAGGTTGCAAGATCGACTATTGCTGTATTATTCGGGTTTATGGCTGTCTTTAAATCAGCTGGGATTGGTTTAGATGCATCATGATCGATTAGAACAATCCGGGCATCTACGGATCCGGGACCGGCATGAAGATCGGTCGGAATAGAAAGTTCAGCACAAATAACGGATATGATGCTGTATAGATCAGCCAGAATAGACTGGGCGTGAGGCCAAGAAAGCGATTTGTGTCGTGCAAATCTGCCTGTAAGAATTGGCGATGCTAGAGCAATGATCAAGACCGCTCCATCTTTTCCGTCCTTCTCGGATTTCAATCTTGAGAGAGCGGCCTTAAGCGGGGGCTCATATGCGGCGTTAAGAGCAAGCCGGGATGGGGGATGCGGAGGTGGGGGTAGCAGTAAGAGCGACGGAAGATGTGCCATGACGGTGCTATTTATTTGTGTCATAAGGATGAGTATGACTTGAGTTGCTGATTTCAATAAGTTGCCGGGTAAATCTAAGGAGTTTGGATATTGTGATGGATATATAGAGGAATTTGCAGACTAAAAATAAGCTCTCCTGATGTCAACAACGGTTTGTCTGGGTGGCGTGATAGTAAGCAAGAAGCCTTGAGCTAATTCCTTACGGTTAAGAATCGAGGTTGAGAATTAGTAGTTTAAGAGGTAGGTAGATAAAGAGAATAAAGTTGAAAGTGTAAGAGAATAAGAGAATAATTGTTGAGCTGTATTATAACGCAAATATAACAGCATACCTAGATTAGGTAGATTATTGTGTTGAAAGATCAAGGCTTTGTTCTATAAGCGCTTCTGATTAATAAGATAACCTAGGTTAGATATGTATATGCATGTGTTGCTCATGCCGTAAATCAGTGGATGATTGTTTGATGGAGAAGCCGAATTGAAGCCCCTGCACGCTACTGAAGTCTATATCTTGTGTAGGTACCTAGGTACATTACATCAGTACTTAGGTTACTGGCAGCTGTCAATGTGGGATGTTTTCCGATATCAGGTGTCGAGCATGTATGACAGTCCAAAGTCGAGTGTAGCTTAGGTATTCACTGCCTGGGTATAATCTTAATTTAATAGGAATGGATAATCTATGCCTTGCTTGAATGTCTTAGGTACAATACGGCTTCATGTAAGGAGAAGAAATAGCCTATCTCGTAGTGTTAGTGTACATACGTGTGCCTAGGAAGGTACTGTATGTAGGTAGGTACCTAACGTAATGTAAAAGCCGCGAACTTCAACAAGGAAATCGCTAGCGGCTAAGAGGTATGTACCTTGAAGTACCCGAGTACACAATGGCCTAAGAAACAAGCGCTGGTGAGGGGAACCTTGCGGCAATATGTACTCAGTAAAAGACCTGGAAGGCATCGCATCCTGCCCAACCATCTCCACACTCGTTAGACGGTATTGTTTAACACCCTTCACTTGGAGATCAATTCCAATCGTAAACAATTACCTAAGTACCTACCTAAACCACAAAAACAACTTCGGCCGCCAGTGTCAAAGACGTAGGCGCAAGGCGCATACGCAATCATTTCAGCACGACGCGACAAGGACTGGTTGAGTAGTTGTCTTCCTCATTATCTTATTATCTACTATCTACCTCCATCACCAACTGCGGCGACAACTCCAATTGCGACCAGCACCACCACCCGCGGTACATTTCGATACATACCTACCTATTGTTCACTAAGTGGTAATCGCAAGAGCCCAACCGATAATCCTCCCGCCCGACGTCGCGAATCTATTTTGACCAGGGGCGTGTCCCGGTTTTTAACTGCTATCGACTTTTCTACACTCTACTTGCGACATCCGATATTTGAAAATATTAGCAATCAGTAGCCGTTAAATAACATCGACGTGAGCGTCGACAGGTCGAGCGACCACCTCCTTACTTCCGCCCCCTCCTGCGGTTTTTGCTCATACTTGCATCCTTTGACTGCAACACCGGCCAATAGCCTTTCGATCCAACCCAGCATCTCGCAGCTCTGTCGTGGCTGTTAGCGCATCCAACATGAACCAGGCAAGCCAGTACGGAGCCGCCCCGAGACGAACTAATACATATGGCTCTCAGCATGATGAACTCCATATTTCTTCTACCATGAGCCACAGCGGCCAAATCTCTCCGCGGGACTATACTACCGCCTCCGCTCCGCACATCAAACTCGACCAACCCGCATCGCAACCCGTCAATCCTCAATACCAAACTTCGGGTGTGCCCAACGTCCTTCAACCTGGAGGACTAGGTCCCGGTCGTCCCCCCGCTCTGACTGCCAATACCGCACCTACCCTACCCACCATGTCCGGTGCCATACAACACTCTCCGAGCGAGTACGCTTCGCCGTCCAAACCACCGACCTTGAGTTTATCAGCACACGGCTACTCTCGCTCTAGTCCTGCTGCTCCTTACGAGAATTCTGCTACCTCGTACTCCCCCTACACTCCTACCACCCCCGGAGGATCCAACCCCGGCTCATCGCAGTACATGTCGCCGCAAGATCCTAAATATACCGCTCCCGGTTCTCAGCGAAACATCTCCAACACGCCGCTCGGCCTAGCAGACATTCGACCTCGAGCCGATTCAAGTCTATCCGACGGCCCGCCCGGTACCCTAGGCTACGAGCTCGCCAACGTTCAACCCTCTACCAGCAATTACTTGGCTCCTTGGGCCCTATATGCATTCGACTGGTGCAAATGGGCTCCCCAGGGCAGGGGCGCCGGCAAGGTTGCAATTGGAAGCTATCTAGAAGATGGCCATAACTTTGTATGCTGACAGCCCATAGCTCGAGCCTTAACCTATTCGTGATCACTACTGACCCTGTTTATAGATTCAAATACTCGACACGCAGGTTACGAGTACCCCTTCCGATATATATACACCTGGTTCGTCCAAGTATAGCATGGAATTTACCAAGGTTGCAGAAGCAACTCATTCATACCCTGTTACGCGCCTTCTGTGGGAACCTCCATCTTCCCAGAAGCAATCTACTGACTTACTGGCTACGTCTGGCGATCATCTTCGGCTATGGTCCTTGCCGTCCGACGCCCAGTCATCTCATTCGAATAATATAACTAAGCCGAACCTGGGCGCACCCATAACGAAGCTTACACCATTGGCGCTATTATCTAATTCAAAGACGCCAGACCACACGGCGCCTCTCACATCGTTGGATTGGAACACCGTCTCGCCCAGTCTTATCATCACCTCCAGCATCGACACGACTTGCACTATCTGGGACATTCCGTCCCTAACAGCCAAGACGCAACTTATTGCTCATGATAAGGAAGTCTACGATGTTCGATTTTGTGCCAATAGTGTGGACGTGTTCGTTAGCTGTGGACAAGATGGGAGTGTGCGAATGTTCGACCTTCGCAGTTTGGAGCATAGTACTATCATCTATGAACCAACCGCCAAGGATGACCGAGGTAAGTTACCAGAGTGATATTCTTAAGGATAATCATTTTAACCATATGACAGACGCGAATGGTGGAAGGATAAGCCCGACGCTGGCCCAGCAAACCATGTCTCACGCACCGCCCCTCCTGAGGCTGGCAACCTCGCCTCATGACACTTATCTCTTAGCTACGTTCGCCCAAGATTCTAATATTATTCGCATTCTTGATGTACGACAGCCGGGGCAGGCGTTGCTGGAACTACGCGGCCACGGGGGATCCCTGAGCTCGGTTGAATGGTCTCCTGGAAGGAGAGGGCTACTCGCTTCCGGTGGCGATGACTGTCAAGTTCTACTGTGGGATCTTATTAACAGCACCCCTACCCCCGGTGGTTCGTCTTCCAACGGCGCCGGCTCGGCAGAGAAACACCTCAGCCCAGTTGCTAGCTGGCAGTGCGACTACGAGGTTGGCAACCTTGGCTGGGCGCCTCCTCTCCACAATGGAGAGGGTGTTGGCGACTGGCTAGGTGTTAGTGGTGGACGAGGAGTCTGGGGTGTCAAGATCTGAAGTGCTCTAGTTACACATGTGAAAACCCGGTGCAGTTGGAATACTACGAAGCAAAACTCCCCTATGCCAATAGCCATGCTCAACGATAATCTACAAGCTAGCACTCCCCCTCAGACTGCTATATACATTTACGAAGCAAGGCGTTATCTGGGCCTGTATCACGTTTTTGGTTACGAGCGAGCTCTTAGAGTTTGTGAGTGAAGGGCATAGCTGAGCAGGTGGCAGTCTATTGTCGGGTAGAGTGGACTGTTTGATGAAAATGAGGGAGCCGATTCGGTATCCGATATGAGGGGCAAAGGTTGTGCCGTTCAACACCAATTGTCTAGGAGTATCGTACTCAGTCTTAATTTGTATATTAGCAACCATTCCAGTGGGCGAGCAGGCAGAATACCATGATGAGTCGGCAGATGGATGGATTAGTAGGCGGCAAAGTGCCACCGGTTGGTGATTGGTGGTATACGGCGAGGAACGGCCGCTTCAGTACAATAAGAAATCCATGCACCTTAAAAAAGGGGAGTAGGTGGTGAACTAAGGTGTGTTTTGTTTATTAGTTACTGTGTTTCTAGTTTTATGCTTTGTAGTACTTAGAGAAATATACCCCGGTGGGTGCATGGGGAGTAAAAGTACTACGTATTATTAGTATTATTAGTCTTGGTGGCTTTTTATGTTTTATGTGAGAAAAAAGACTATTAAAATCAAGTGCTACATATGATACTAAAAATGATTTTGACATTGACGCTCTGATAATACCAGTCCTCAAATACACCGATACAGCACCAATTCATCATTTAGGTTAGATAAGCTTCAAGGCAAAAGAAAGTAACTTGTTACGCTTGGACATAAATGCGTACACAAGATTTCTACTAACAAAAGCCGGTCTCAAAGCATATTTTCATATATAACATATATAATGAATGATCTTTCCTCTTTGTATTGTTGTCATTCTCCAATCGTTCCAGCTGCAACTGCATGAGGTACCTAGATACTTGACAGCTGCCAAGCCACCTGCTTCCAAAAACATTTCATCATTGGCCCTTTAGATTCCCCGCTAAGCTTTATTTACGTTAGCGTAATTGAAGCTTCCATTCTCCAGAATTAACCCAAAGATTTAGCACGTTCTGCACGTTGCGGCTGCTGCAGTTGAACGTAAAAGAAACCATCTTTCGCGTTCATCCTCCATCCTCCATCCTCCATCACACCCATCCTGCATACCTTTTTCTCATTTCCCTTCATTCTCTTAACAACTTCTACCTCTTTTCAAATATTTATTTGCACGCGTCAATACATGCGCTTAATAATTGGGCATCATGAGTGACCCTCGCGACCACGATCTCGAGTCGGACGAGGAGGAGGATTTTAATCCGGCACCTGCTGACATTAGCGACGAGGAGCAAGATGACCAACCGAAGCAGCAGTCACGAAAGTCCTCACCTCCTCGAAATGGAGGTGATAATGAAGATGAAGACGAAGATGAAGATGCCGAGGATGGCGTAGGAAATGACGACGATGAGGAGGATGATGAAGAAGATGACGAAGAAGACGACGAGATTCAAGTAAGCTATTTCCTATTCATCCTATAATTCATTACTCTCTTCGTTCCACACTACTAAGCTTAATATCTAAATATCTAATTCAATTTTAATCTAAAGGGTCACCGTCGCAAGCGTCGTCGCGACAGACGAAACGCGTTCATCGATATCGAAGCCGAAGTCGATGATGAAGATGAAGGCGAAGATGACGAAGAGGCTGCCGAAGAGAATGAAGGATTTATCGAGCACGAAGAAGGAGGCGATTTTGGTGAGCAAAGCCGACTAGATGATGACCGACGACATCGTGAGCTCGACCGACAGCGTGACGCGGTTACACAAGAAGATCTGGAGCGTGCGGCCGAAGGCTACGTACGCAAATATGGAAACCGTCGCACTGCTAAGGGCATGGGCGATTCTGCAATCATCCCTCAGAGGCTACTCCTACCAAGCGTGGATGACCCGGGTATCTGGGGTGTGCGATGCAAGGAAGGCAAGGAGCGCGAAGTAGTCCAAGCCATTACGAAGAGGATAGCCGAACGCTGGAATACCAAGGACCAGTTAGCTGTTACCAGTGTCTTCGAACGAGGCGGACCTAATTCCATCTTGAAGGGCCTGATCTACGTGGAAGCCCCTCGACAGACAGACGTGATGATGGCACTCGAGGACATGATGAACGTATACCCTCGTACCAAAATGCTTCTTGTTGACATCAAAGAGAGGCCTGACCTATTAAGGGTTCAGAAGACACCTACTCTAGAGCCTGGTGCCTGGGTACGACTCCGCAGACCTGCCAAGCATGCCGGCGATCTCGCGCAGGTTCTTGATATCACAGAGAACGGCCTTGATGCCAGAGTGCGCTTCATACCCAGACTCGACTACGGACTACGAGATGAGTCAATATCTTTGACCGCCGATAAGAAACGACGACGCCCAATTGCAGGTCCGCGACCCCCTCAAAGGCTATTCAGCGAAGTCGAAGCGAGGAAGAGACACCCCCGTACGCTTCAATATAGCAGCCAAACCAATACCTGGAATTACAATGGCGACGAGTTTGAAAAGGGCTTTCAGGTTAAGGACATCAAGATACAGCACCTGGTTGTTAGCGATGTGAACCCAACGCTAGAAGAGGTTACGAGATTTGCTTCTGGAGGCGAAGATGGGGTTGAGAATATCGATCTCAAATCGCTCGCCGCTAGTCTTAAAGACAGCAACGCAAACGTCGCGTATCTCCCAGGCGACGTAGTAGAGGTATATGAAGGCGAGCAGAAGGGTGTAGTCGGCAAAGCTACAAATGTTCAGGCGGATATTGTTACAATTTCAGTCACTGAAGGTGATCTTGCTGGACAGACTATCGAGGTACCTACGAAAGGCCTTCGCAAACGATTCCGAACCGGTGACCACGTCAAGGTCATTGGCGGTAGTCGGTATCGCGATGAGGTCGGTATGGTCGTGAACATCTCCGAAGATCGTGTCACCCTCTTAACTGACCAAACCACTACTGAAATTACTGTATTCAGTAAAGATCTCAGAGAGGCTAGCGATATTGGTGGCCAGGGCTCCTTAGGTCAATACTCGTTACTTGACTTGGTTCAGCTCGATCCTATGACGGTCGGCTGCATTGTCAAAGTAGACCGAGAGACGTTGGTCGTATTGGATCAGAATGGCGATACGAGACAGGTTATGCCCTCACAGATCGCTAACAAGCTACCAAGGCGAAAGCTCGCCGTGGCCGCCGACCGCAACGGTTCTGAAATCAGGCCGGACGATGTTGTCAAGGAATACGGAGGGATGGGTCGGCAAGGCAAGATCGTTCACATTCACCGCACTTACGTGTTTTGTCACACGAACGATACCACAGAGAATGCTGGTATTTTTGTGTCCAAGGTTAACAACGTGTCCACGATTTCAGCAAAGGGTGGTCGTGTTAACGCTGGGGGCTCTGGGCCAGACTTGACGGTTATGAACCCCGCAAGAAAGCTGAACCCAAATGGTGGCAGGGGCGATATGCCACCCCCCAAGGCCTCATTCGGACGTGATAAGCTCATCGGTCAAACGGTCACGATTAGAAAGGGTGGCTACAAGGGCGTGCTTGGTCGTGTCAAAGATACTACCGATACGCATGCTCGCGTAGAAATGCATAGCAAGGGTAAAGTCATTAGCGTTCTAAAGAGTGATATCACGGTTCGTGATAGTGTTACTGGGCGTGAAATCAAAAACTACGACACACGTCGCCCAGGTCAAGGAGCACTTCCCGGAAGACCTGCTCAAGGGAATTCCGATTGGAGCGGGGGTCGCACTCCTGTGGGCGGAGCCTCATCACGAACTCCTGCCTGGAAGACGCCGTCCGCAGGAGTAAGCGGCGGACGCACCCCTGCCTGGAGTAAAGGCGGTGACGGCGGTCGAACGCCAGCGTGGGCTGATGGTTCCCGCACTGTCAACCCTTATGATGGCAGCAGAACTTCCTATGGTTCTGGTAGCCGCACGCCTGCTTGGTCTTCGGGTGCTAAAACACCAGCACCTGATCACTTTAGCCACGGATCCAAGACACCCGCGTACGGTAGTGGTAGCAGTGACAACTGGGGCTCTAAGACACCCTACGGCGCTTCCGCGGCCACTCCAGGAGCCAGCGGAAATGATACTTGGGGCTACACCCCTGGTGCAAGCGGATCGTCGAATGCCTACGATGCGCCAACCCCTGGTGCTGGCCTTCTGGGTGCTCCCACGCCTGGTGCTATGAATGCCCCGACTCCTGGTGCCTACAACGCGCCTACTCCTGGTGCTATGAATGCGCCCACCCCCGGTGCCGGCTGGCAAGGTGGATGGGGAGCTGACTCGGCGCCCACACCTGCTGCTGCTGCCCCGACACCAGCGGCCAGCGGCTTTGCCACCTCAAGTGGGTACTATGGAGCGCCCACTCCTGGAGCCTACAATGCAGAGACACCCGCAGCAGGCCCCCGATACACCGATGACGACTAGATTTTTCAGGGAGGGATATTATAAAAGGAAAGCTACAGAGCGGCGAATGGTGTGGAGTTTGCTGCATATCTTGCTTTTTTTTTTTTTTTTGAGACGCAGAACCCTAAATATGTACTATTAGGACAAACGTAGCCTTTCCCAATTGATGATTACAATTCAGGATGTTGAGCTGAAGGTCTTGATTCTTTCGCGCTATATACAAATAAATTATGTTCAACTAGTGGTGTAAGACTATATTGGACCTACGTTCTGATATCGTAAACAGTTATGAACAATCATTGTTATTCGACTTGGTACCTCTGGAAGAGGTAAATCTAGGCTCCGGTTAGGTTGGGAGTGTCTTGTATCCTTTACTCATATCCTTCTCTTCCTGATTTCTTTTCACTGCTGCTCATCGAGCAAGCTTTCGCAATCCATATTTTGCTTGTCAACGCAGTGGGACCCATCTTAAGTGTGTAGAAGTGGATTCACTGTTGGGATTAGGTACCCATGATCATTGATACGGTTAAATAAACGAGTTACCTGTGTGTATGTCAGTGGGCCCGTCTATATTAGGTAGTTAGGTGTGTGTACATGGCTCCGTGCACGATGATGTAACCTAGTTGCTTTCCTGCTTCTTGCTCGTATAGTAACACACATGTAAAGCATCTAGAATAAAGTGTCTACCGGCGTTAATTATGACTCAAGCTAGCTAGGGGGTATATGTTGCAGTTCATGAGGCGTAAGCATCTCGATCGTGGATGTGTCTTATCGGGATACCTACCTCCTAAGGTAGATAAGTACCTAATATAATAATATAGCATTGCGAGTGGAGCTAGCGGGCTACAGCTGTGAAGACTATGATATGGTAGATGAATCGTTGATGGCGCTAGTGTTGGTGTGATGGGCGGGAGTTGCTACACTGGTGTTCCTGTGAATTGAGTCGAAGGCCATGGTTTGTGCTTAGGGGGTGGTGTCTCGGGACTCACTTCTAGGCAAGTTAGGAAATAAGATATCATTATGAGGTTGTAGTTACGATAGAGGAGTTGATATAGTGAGTCTCGTATTAATAAAACTAAATGAAGACTGAAGACTTGCGTTGTGTCAATGTTAAAGGTCCTTTTAGATAAGGATAGGTAATGATAAGGTATAAGATATATTAATAGAATTCTATAGGAAATATCACCAGGGATATCCCAAATTTTATGCTGTATTTCTTCACTTTTACAAGTCTCTACAGATTGAAAGATACCTTTTCAAAAAGACTGGATAACATTCGCTCGCCGCGGAGGTCCTTAAAACTAAATTAAAATACAAGAAACACGACATGACGAACATTGAAATATTTTAATGCCGTTGAAAAAAAGTTAAAAGAGCATAGAATCCCCCGTCTATCCTAATTCCTAGGTCCATGAAGTCTTAGGTTGAAAGGATCGTCGCTCATAGCAAACATCAGCCATGAACAGGTTATTAAGGTTTTCCAAACAACTAAATGAGAACTAATTACATACGTTGTTGAAAGATAGAAGTCTAGCTGCGTCAATAAATTTATAATTTTTTCCCCCTCAACCCCCCTGAGCCAGAATGAAGGATAATAGTTGGAAATTGAACATGACCCAAACTATAACTAAAAAAAAGGAAACACAATTAATGGGAAATCTCGATAATACCAAGAGGTTCAAAAGGTGCAAAAGCCTCTTCTTCCATTTCCCCCTATTCGGAGTTCAGTTTTGCTCGTTTTGCTGTATGTATGGTAGGTCCGGATTCTCAGCGTCCATATGTGGGAGATACTCAAATACAGGCCAGTTATTGCTCATATTTCCGTAAGGCCAACGTAACTCTTGTTGGTCTAGTACTAAGGCTTGAGAGGGGCCGGGCATGGGATTGGGTGGAAGCCTTGTCAGTTGATTGCCTCCGTAGCCGGGGAAATTCTGCGGCCCATAAGTCATTCCGGGGGGGATCTGCGGCGGGAGTATCCGGTATTGGGCTTGAGGCTCCCTTATAAGCATCGGCTGGCTATTTTGTCTGCTCATCTTTGGGACTGATATATGCCGTTGGGTCATGCTTGGGTTGCTTATGACGGGTGTTGTAGGCATAGTAATTTGGGTCGCCGTCTGGCCGCTAGACGAAGAATTCCCTAGGGATGGCGTGTCGTTCAGATCCATGTGGAGATTATAGGCCCTTTGTGCCAACGAGTTCAGGCGGCTTTTCATTAGTAGCTCTTGCCCTTGGATAAATTGGATACTACCGGACATAGTTCCGTGGTCGAGGAATCGTTGGAACAGATTCGCAAAATTCTGAGTGTTTGCCGGTGTTGGCAACGACCTCATTCCTATAGTAGTCCGTTCGGCCCCTCACAGATTATTAGACTTATATTACCCAAGACATACCACTGCTTTCCGCGAGAAAACTTACAAGGATGCGGAGGGCGAGGCGTTCCTGGGTATATCGTCTCCCAGATGTTAAACCATTTTTCAACTTCAGAAATCTTCTTCCTCTTCTTGCCTCCGCTTCTATCCAGTAGCGTCCACTGTTCCATATTTATGCCCGAGTTGGATTCAGAGTTTCCTACGGCACATGGCTCTGGTTGCTGGCGATGTGTCTTCAGCTCAGCAACGCTTTCTTCGATGGCCTTCCCCTTTCCCGAGAAGTTCTTATAGCAGCGCTCGCATTGGATTAAAAGATGCTTCCGTTTGATATGTTCCCTCAATGATATTTAGCTCACCTCCTTCATTATTATAATGAATACTTACTTCAAACGCTGGATTGTTTTGTATCCTGATTCGCACACGCGATATTGGTCTCCGGTGAGCGGGTTACTACAGAACCTGGCAGGATCGGACTTATTGAAAGGACACGCATATCGTCCCCTCTGCTCGCCTGATATTGAGCCATCGTCGTGGTTTTCAGGTGAGCCACTCCCCTCGTCATCTCTTTCCCCATCTCCATCATCGGAACCTCCTCCCCTTGATCTCGAAAATCGCTGCTTCTTGCGGGATTTCGAAGACCTCTGACCTGCGTTAGGATTTACAAAGGGTTGTCGTGAGCTCTCTCCCGAACCAGGAGAATTTTGGCAGGTAACAACGCCTTTTTGCCAACCTCCAATTCTTCGTGCTTCACTATGAACTCGATCTTTATGCAATTCCATAATAAGCGATGCAGCAAATTCTAGATCGGGAATGTTCATCAGCACCGCAGCCTCGATCTTATCTGGTTCCCCGGCCCATTCGTCGTCATCTTCTTCGTCCTCGGTGTCGAAATCGTCGTCTTCAAATTCACTGCTAATCTCCTCGTGCCTACTTTGGCTAGTCTCGCTAAGTCGGCCACGGGATGTATTACTCTCATTGTTATCATTAGATGGTATACGCTTTTCGTCTGCATTTCTCGCCGAAGGTATGGCATCGTGAAAGTCGCTGTTCATTGCTTTCGTAAGCATTTGTTTGCGATATCTACAAGTTGCGAAATCAACGATAAATGATATTTAATAGGATAGAGGAAGAAGTAGAGCTTACCGTATTTCTAGAACCTGAGATAGGTTACGAACTTCGTCGTCAGTATCGGATGGTCTCCCACATTGTTCGGTTATATTCAACTCCGTCTCTGTGAAAGGATCATCCTTGAAGGAAGCCGGACTCGCTTCCGAGTACACGGCTGAGGATTGGTCCCAACAAACACTTTCGACTGTACTTGGACTGTCAGACCTTGTAGATAATGCGCCGACACGGTGGAGCAAGTTTGGAGTTGAGCTTTTAAGGAGGTAAACGTCAGTATTGGCCCCAGATTCACCCTGGGCATGTAAGTCCTTTCTAGCTGTGTTATCTGGAGGGTATAGGAGCATCATATCTCGTGCTGTAGATGATTCCATAGCGGCTGCTTCTACCAATAGAGCGAGCAGTCGTGGTACAGTCTAGTTTGAAATGGAGACATAGCTCTTTGGCCGACTTCACAACCCACCTAGTTTCAGTAGCTAACCGTGAGCCTTGCTAGATAATGATTAAAATAAATAATAGGTAGCTATATTATGATCCTCGGACGTGTCTTGTTGGTCTAAGTAAAGAATAAATGCCAGCGGGGGGTTAATTCGCAAGACAGGTTATGACAGGGGTTAATGTTGAGCTTACAGCCAGAGCCTCACGCATTTGCGCGAGCCTTCTCCCTGCGCAGAAGAGTGATGAAATCATACAAAAATGCACTTTTGGCCTCCTCGTGCCAACAAGTTCCACCAATTAATTTTGATCTATCTTAATCCCATCCCAACGCAATGTTTCATTCGTAAGCAACAACACTTAACGACGCAAATGCGCCGTATTTGGCATCGGAACCGACACGGTATTAATACCAGATGATTTCGATATATGGGAATCTGGATAATCCGATTTTATTGACACGCGAGCTCAGCGTAGTATCCGGACAAATACAGCCACACGGAATATTCCCGAAACCCTACATCTAACGCGTGAAGGGCGTCGTGGTATCACACGAGGCCGGATCCTCTATGTGGGTTAGATGCGAGTTTTAACGTTAGAACAATTCCGCATTATTGAACAAAGAGCGACAAGTTTGCTCAGTTCTTGTCGGTGAACCTATTAGGCCTCTTGGCGTTCGTGGTCACAAGTATCCATTAAGACACCGGACTACGGTGTATTGATACGCGCGGCAACTCGAAGGGTGGCGAATAGGGTGGTAAATGGGTGTAGTTGTAATACAAGAGGTTCCTCTTAGATATTATTATCGTGTATAATTTATTATAAACGATCAGATAGAATCCCCTCGAGAGCGGTAGGATGATCGCTTCGAGGGAAGTCTGAGATCCCTACATGCTAACTCTGCGTAATTCTGCAAATAAAAGACCAGAATTATTGCTCTTTCGACTGACTATCTAGGTTAAGGGAATGTGGATATGTGATCTACCATGATAAAATAGGGTGTTTATGGTCCAGTACATCGGGGACGTTGCGTATTAGGTATAAATTCGCATGCGAGATACTTGAGTCATCAACACAAACCGTTACACACCCTATAGTGCGCTTTACCCCTAGTTAATTGTGCAATGGCGGTTTGTGTGTTAGCGTCTTTCAATTATTATCTTCGCATCTGCGCGGAATTATAGGGAGTCTGTTCGCCGTTGACTAACCGTGTTTTAACACTCAAGTGCGAAGATAACCGAGTACACAGCAGCACTTGCGAGTATTGAAGAGGAATAGTTGGAATCATCTGCGCAAATGTCCATGATGTATTCGGCCAGTATGTATATATATTGGGGGGAATCACCCAGAGCTGACTTTGGCATCAACTCGATCACAACTTAACCACACTCGAACAATCCAAACAGCTCGTCAAGATTAGCTACGGCGTTAAATATACACACTCACTACATTTCTTCTTAAGTTTGAACTGAAACTCCGAGACTCCTATCACCGACAATTGTCTTTACTAAAGTCAAGATGAACTGCAAGAGCAACAAAATCAATGTCAACAGGAAGGGCGATGACGATCAAACTTCATCTGGCGATCCCGGTGTGTATTATTCACGGGCTACGGTTTAGAGGCTTTCACTAACAAATCAGGTTATGGAAAATGAATTATCTCGCTACAGTTAATATTCAGGGCATCACGCAACTTCTTATGTCTTGCCCTCATACTCCCATAACGACAACGGAGGTGGCAAGTTGCTGATTGCTTACGACAACAACAACAACAACGACAACGACAACTTAGCTTGGCTTGGCTTACAGGATATTGATATTCAGCCTATTAATGGGGTAGACATTGGTTACTTACGCATGTATCATAATTATGACGGTATAATTTAACTAATTATACACATAATATTGCGTCGCTATTGTCAGGTGATCAAATGTAAGAAAGGTATAGACTGTTAAAGAAGTTGAGTTGTCGATATAGAAATTCCTCGATTTACACGATAGTTTCTTAAATATCTACCTATGATCAATACTCTAGTGCAAGCTCCAGTAAAAGAGTCATCTAAGATTAGTCGCTGTCTTCGAATACTTATATGATGCCTAGGTACACAACCATTTACGGGAATAATTGGCTGAGTCTGACGTTTGATGGCGCTACTAGTTAGACAAGTTTCTAATAAGAAGTCTTATATATTTTCATCGAACCTATATCATTATAACTAAATCATTCGTCGTACATGAAGCGTGGCTACGATTATTAACTAATGGGATACTCCTATATTAGGGGAAAAACTTGTTCTTTGGGCGCTTGAGACCTAAGTGCTCCCGCAGAGTTGTCCCCTCGTAATCCTTACGGAAGATGCCTCGCCGCTGCAGCTCTGGGATCAAGCACTCAACTACATCATCAAGGCCCTGCGGTAAGAAGGGGAAAACAACATTAAAGCCGTCTGAACCCTCTTGTATAAGCCACTGCTCCATCTCATCGGCCACCGTCTGGACCGTTCCGACAAATGCCAGACCGGAATATCCTCCATATCTCTGTGCGAGTTGGCGGACGGTAAGACCTTCGGTCGCTGCGAGCTTTACCACACCCTCACGACTTGACTTGCTTGCGTTGGTCTCCGGAAGCTCCGTCGGTAGTGGGCCGTCTGGATCAAAGTTGGTGACGTCGCAGCCAAGCACAATAGAGAGCGAAGCGATAGAACTCTCATAGTGCACAAGACTATCCAACTTCAACCGTTTGGCTTGGGCTTCTTCGACTGTATCACCGATGACTATAAACGCGGCGGGTAGTAGCTTTATATCATCAGGGGCACGGCCTACAGCGGCAAGCCGCCCCTTCACGTCCTTGAAGAACTCCTTGCCCGCCTCCAGATTTCGCGGTGCGCAAAACACTACCTCAGCCGTCTCGGCAGCGAGCTGTTTCCCCGGTTCCGATGCGCCGGCTTGCACGATTACCGGCCATCCCTGCGGTGGTCGCGCGATGTTTAGTGGACCCTTGACGTGTAGTTCGGCTCCGTGATGATCGAGAACGTGTAGACGCTCGGGATTGAAGAAGATGCCGCTTTCGACATCACGCACAAAAGCGTCGTCGGCGAAGCTGTCCCAGAGCCCCGTCACCACATCGTAAAACTCGCGGGCCCGAGCGTAGCGTTGACTGTGTTCCTTGTGCGCATCCTGACCGAAGTTGAGTGCCGAGTCTGGATTAGCGGTTGTGACAATATTCCAGCCGGCGCGGCCTCCGCTCAGGTGGTCGAGCGACGCAAACCGCCTTGCGATGTGGTAAGGTGCATCGTACGTCGTCGAGGCCGTAGCGACGAGGCCGATGTGCTCGGTCACTGCGGCTAGACTTGATAACAAAGTGAACGGCTCAAACGACGTGACTGTGTGGCTACGTCGGAGCGCCTCGATCGGCATGTTCAATACGGCTAGATGATCGGCCATGAAGAATGCGTCGAACTTAGCGGCTTCCAACTTCTGCGCAAACGACTTAATGTGCTGGAAGTTGAAGTTGGCATCCGGATAGGCGCCTGGATATCGCCATGCTCCTGTATGCAAGCTCACCGGACGCATGAAAGCGCCTAGGTGAAGCTGTTTCTTCTGTTGCTGTTGCTCGGCCATGTTTACTCTTCCTACGGATCTACAGGGCTCCTTTGCGGCGGGAGTGCACCGTTCTTCTACGTTATGAGGTGGGCTCCGGCCCGTCCGGGTCGACTTATACGCCGTGGGATGTCGCCATTACTGAGGGTATGACGGGAGATCCAAGAAGCCAACTCCCAAAGCCCGATAGACAAATGTTGCATAAATTGGTAACGATCGGACTTAGTTACGTCTCGGATATCAGTATTGACTTATAAATCAACAAAGATGACTCAAGACCAATTACACCAATCTAATTCGTTCGTTGATGAATTCTACTACCGCGTGACTAGTCAAACGTGATGATTATCAAAGAAAGTCTCCGACCGGACGGTTTCGATTAGTCTCGCTACCACTATACCACACCTGCATCAATATTGTCTTCATCATTAACACATGAGAAGTGTGATTTGAAATCATATGGTATATTAGCTTCACCGTCTTCAATGCGTAATCAAACAAAGGAGAAATGACGAGAAGAAAAAGAGGAGACGCGATGGTTTCCATTATTGGATGCCGAGAGCTTTTGTAGGGGTGGCGAACAACAAATTCTAGTAAAATTAGTATGGTCTTTTGAAAATACCATGATATCCACGGGGTAACAAGGTCTAACTACGACTAAGAAGGGACTGAGTTTCATTTTGCCCGTCGGATAACAGAATGGAACCTTGTCATGGATGTGGATTTAGGTAATTCAATATGTATCGCTGGCTTCTAGAATGGCACGACAAATATGACGATATCGCCGAATCTACTGTCTTAAATCCATGCTCTAAAACGTGGGTTGCCCCTTGATAGTACCGTAACCCAGCTTTCCACGTTCATAACTTCGACGTACGAACTTGTAAGATTTCGGCTTCTATGGAGTAGCAAGGGGCTACGAGGACTACCCTGCAGTTTCGTTAGCCACTGGGGGACAGTGGAGTCGAATTCCCTTCGCTTTAACTAATCGCTTACCCCCTGTTTATCCCTGCTCGACTTCAGACGACATGAACTCATGAAGAAACTCCGTCTTATCATTCTGTCGCTGCACTATTCTCTTCTCTAAACGAACTATGTTCGGTCAAATTCACTCTTGATATGTAACTAGAGTATAGGTAGTTAATGCTTAGTTAATTTGCCTATGTTAGATGTTCTGCTCTCATATCGCTATAATCGCATGTCGATGTCGGGAACGAGACCGTGCGTTTTCTAATCTAAGATTTCTACTTGGGGAGCCTCACGATAGCGGCTAGACGAACCCGAAATGGCCATCCAGACGCGGGCAGCTAACCCCATCATTATAACTTCCGATATTGAAGGATCTCTCAGGGTATCACTGATATGTTCGGCGCCATGTGAGGTGTTCGTCTCTTGGCATTGCCGGGTCCTACTTCGCAGACCGGGCTCGCGATACCAAATCTTAAAGGTGAAAAAGGAGACATGGGTTTCAGCCAAGACTTTCTTGGCTTTCTTCACGCAAAGCGCGTTGCACAACCAACTCGACTAGCACAAGCGTGCTCGTCCAGGTCCCTCTACGAGGCTTCAGCCCGGCTACAGTTACCGACGAGATAGTCGAGCGCCCCGGAAATATTGAGATGATTTTCCGGATCTTATGGAAATCAAGCCGTATAAGATCTACGGCTTCCCGCCCCTACGTTTCGCAAATCTTTTTTTCCTCTATCCCATTCTAGAAACATCAACAGCCAGTTTCTATTCCTTCTTTCTTCTAACAGCTGTGCTGTTCCTTTCCATTACTCGTATTCATTTCATTTCGCTAGTCGAATAAAGTTAGCCAGTCGTTGACGACTTTCAATCATCCGACTTTTTTACCCTACCCTACCATACCAAAACAATCACAATGCGTTTCTCTATTGCTCTAGTTGCGGCTTACGCTGCCTTTGCTCAGGCTGGTGTCTTTACCCAACAGAAGTACAACGATATCTCCATCTCCGGAGGTGTTGCCGGCAATGCACAAGAAGAAGCCCTCGCTGTCTTCAGCGCTCTAGACACAAACAACCTGGCCAGCGCCGACGAGGACGACATCGACTTCCTTAAGTCGGTTAACAAGATCTGCAACCAAGCTGAAGAACAGGCTTTCAACCCTGCTATCGATGATGCATCTGGCGAGACTGCCGATGCCATCCAGCGCGGCAAGATAAAGAACAAGGTCCTCAAGCTCCAGGCCACCATCCTTGCCTTGATGATCCAGCAAGCCCAAGGAGAGGATGTCTCCGCCGACATGGCCAAGGAGCAGAAGAAGCTTGACAACAACATCAAGCAAGATGAGGATGAGGCTGGCAAAGCCTCAACATTCCTGTCTTTCGATGCCACCACCGCTTAAATTATCAAAACGAAGACTTAGCATCTAGGGAGGAGGAATACCCATTTTGGTCAAGCATAATGACCCATATACCCAAATTTTTATGAGCAAGGGTAGAAATGTATGAATGCGAGTGTGGACTTTAATTCTTGATACCGAAGGAAAGAAATACAATATTTTCTGTTGATTTAAAACTTGAGTTCCATCTATAATTGTGCGTCAGTGAATCGTTTTTGATATATATTGTTGTTGGAGCGTCTATGACGGGCTGCTATCTGACAATGTCAAGCAGAAAACCACATATTATGATCTAATCTACGAAGCATTAAATGTATCACGAGGTAGAAGCTGTCAATTGGGATTTCACACGTGAAACGTACTAAGACTTGAAGTTAAGACATCTATTTAGAGACTCATGGTATTACTCTCTTCCCGTCGCGAACTCCATAGACCTAAATCACCTAACCTCTACAGCCACTTAACAGGTGAACACAGCAGGACCAGGAGCGGTGTAAGAAGTGGGCACCGGGTAGTAGATGTTAATCAATAGACCAGGATCGGTAGCCTTGTAGGCGCCAGGGAACGAGACAAGGTTCGTAGGGGTCTTGCTGCCGCCGCCAGTAACAGTGAGCTGCGCGCACGAGATGTACGTCTGGGCGCCGCCGACCGAGCCCGCGGAGTGAAGAGCGATGTGTTCGACGCGGAGCAGGTAGTCTCCGGCGGGGATGCACGACGGGATCTTGGTCGTGACCTCCTTGGCGCCCTGGCTGGGCCAGGTCAGACCGCTGGGCGAGATGTTCGGGCCCTGCGAGAAGATCTTGAACCACACTGCGCCTGCGCCGTCCCACGAGTCCGCCTTCTGGCCCCCGGGCACCTTCGCCATGTAGAACTGTAGGGTCCCCGGGTGCGAGACGGAGGCGTCGGCCGTGAAGCCGACGGTGGAGCCGGCGGCTACGGTCATCGTCTTGGCGCCCTCGTTGCCTGCGGCGAGTTGGTAGCAGCGGAACTGCTCGGAGCTGACATCGGTCACTACGAGGTGTTAGTTCATACTATTTAATCGAGGGTTTAGAGGCAAGAGCTGGAAAATACGGACCTGGTCCATTGCTCTGGTAGTTCGTTGTCTTCCTCACGTACTCCCACTTGTTGGTAGCACCGCCGTTTGCAACCAGCGATGGGAAAGTGTCTAGCCGTATATTAGTTATTTTACCGCATATTATTCATAGTTGTATTTAACTTACAGTGAGCCTGGACGGCTGCCACGAGGGCAAGGACAGCGGCAACAGCCTTCATTTTTTATCAAGACGTGGGAATGTAGGTTGGCAGTGTTGAAGTTCCTTGACTCTGGTAAGGATGGCTTTGAAGATCGGCGGCACTCGATATATATATCCAGAGAATGTCAGGGGGGCACACGTCGTACTACTATTATTATATCCATGCTTGTTTTCTACAAATTTCTAAAAAGAGACATCGGGGAAGCAATTAAATTCTTGCATTACCGAATGATCGAGCCATGCTCAATGACGACCTTACATGTTTGGACGCGGCGAGATGGCTACCGAGCGGATAAAGGTCCTCCGGGTAAATGATACCTCATCCTTGTATAACTCCCCCACAACCAATCAACTTTCCCACCTTAATTGAAGTCGACGGGAGACAAATGAGGGCATGTAGTCTTGGAAATCCAACATGCAGGTTATATTCTGTGGGGTAGCGAGTTGAGTCCACTGACCTAGATTAACGGTGTGTATGCGTGGCCGTTCACTTAGGGGATAGACCTCGTGCCTTCGACATAAATTCGGCCCAATGTCCCGACGCTGAGTGACACATTAAACATGGGCGAAAGATTGGTGGGTCAGTATTTGTTATTGTAATAGCATTGGGCGAACCGAATTCGAAGACGCTAGGCTGCTTGCTCACTTCGGGCAGAAGGCGGTTTCATTGTATTCCACTTTGAGCTCACAAGTGCTTCAATTCTTTCAACCCGAGAATCCCAGTAAACTTAATCATGGAATTGGGTAGAGTATGGCTGCGAATCAAAATGTAAACAGGGGTTATACTTGGATCTTACCTTTCCCCCTTTAAGTACCTAGGTAGGTGTATGCCTCAAGGTTACTGATTAGTAGAAGTAGCCCCAAACCAAACCTATCGTGTCTAAGATCTTCGGCTAAGACTTTGAGGCTCTAGTAATATCCTTGGAACTCACTACATATACCAGGGTACTCCATAATGTCCACCTTCGGTAGGCCGAAGAATGAAGGTGTACGCTATGAAAGGGTTCATCGTTTAAGGGGCCTGAAAGATAATTTAAGACAAATGAGCCTGTCTTCTTAGTAGAAACTCGATGAATTGTACTTACTTAAAGACTTTGACCAGGTTTATATAGAGACTGTAAAGTATGAGAGAGAATGAAGGCTATTAGCAAAAGCTTAGGCATCTTCATTGTAAGAAGCTACTTCGCCTGGGTCAATCAAAGAGAAGACGCCAACAATGACATTTTGCAATAAACAACAATGCTTATTGTTCTAAGGACCCTTTAGAAAAGTATAAGAACCAGTCCGAACCACTTCGTAGATTCTCTCATTCCAATCAACACAACAGCTCAGCTTGGTATTCGACTTCTTCGGTTGACAGGATCAACCATTCACGCACTTCTACACCGGGGAATCTCAACATCCATTTTTAACTTCTACTCATACTTTTAACCCATTAACCTTTTAACCCTTTAAATCTTCAATACCGCCCATCATGTGCTGGCACCCGCAACAACTCTACACCTGCCAACATCGCCAGGACTATTCCAGCCAGGTGATCGCATGCCCCTTAGTTGCCTCTTACGGCCGATGCCCGCTTGTCACTCTCATGGACGCCCCCGAGTCCGACACGGTTCGCGTCAATGAGAAGTGCCACAGCTGCAGGCGACGATAGGTAAGTATGAGTCGAATTCGAAAATGGTCCCAGAGGTAAATACACCCTTACTCTAGTAATGCCGGTTTTCCCTCCCCCTTTTCCGATCGCAGAGCGACGGAGTGGAAGTAGCGTGAAGATGAAAGTAGATAGTAAGCTTTAATAAAGTTTAATGTTCAAGAGAAAACGCATCAATCTCAGTGAAATACCTATCATGATTTATAATTTATCAGGTCGTACTATATAATTTTACTAGACACCTCTTAGCCTACATAATGCAGCAGATTACCTTATATTTAAAATGTGTTATTTAATGATTCGCCGAATATAATGCCATCTTTGCTAATAAAACATATTTTAGAAGTCTAAGGCCACTCATGGGCTCTTAATACGTACTATCAAGTATACCTAGAACTAATCCAACAATAGAATCTATACGTACGTCTACACTCCACTCCACTCCGTAATTACCTGGAACTCTTTCTAAAGAGTTGTATTACCGAAGCGGCATAATATCCAGTGAGATATATAATACTTTATATTGTGTCTAAGTTCTGATGTATAATAATTCTTATATAAACCGCTATATAAGCAGGACATCCTCCCCTATTCTCGGGGTTAAGCATGGGTTGAATCAGCCACCGATATCCCTAATATACCTATATATACTGCCCTACCTCTCGCTCTACGCAACATGATCCCTGATGTTCTATGATAGAACAAAGCTATACCGTAAACACAGAATAAATTACTATACCTAAACATTTCAAAACGTCCTAGATGCACCAATTTTGCCCCGCAAACCCTTCGTTGAAAGATCATCAGGCGACCCCCACTCATAGCTAGCATTCGCCAACGTCCATATGCGAGAACGGCGCATGTTCATATCCCATTGGCCGCTCTTCTGCACCGGCGCCGGTACCGTCACTGGCACCGTCACCGGCGCGGATGCGCTTTCCCCGAAGCTGAGGAGCATAGCCTGGAGCTCGTTTATATCGTCTTCGAGCTTGAAGTACTTACGCGTCAGGCCTACGTATTTCTCTTCCAGTTCCCGGTATCTGAAGCACTTTTTCGCATCCAATTGCGAGTTGGAGGAGGTGTTGATGAACCAGTCGCGCGCGTCGAGGTACCGCTGCTTTGCGGCGTATAGCTCCCCCTGTAGTTCGCACTTGCGGTCTATTAGTTCTTCGTGTCTTTCGGCGACTACTGTCCTCATATCCGAGGTGAACTGGCCACCACGGTGCTGGGTGTGTACGGTAGGAACACCATTCCTCTCGTCTTCCTCATCGCTGTCATAGTCCTCGTTCTTAGCACTTCTGTAGTGGCACCGCGCGATGATGAGCTCAGGTAACCTTTTAACCTTGTCCTTCAGGAAAGTACAACTACTGCGTCTCCTATCGTATCCATGCTCCTCTTCTAAGGCCTTTACCCGCCTCCTTAGAGAAGGCAGCGATTCAGAGCGCTGTCTAGATGTCCTCTCAGATATCATCTCGTGTACCCCATAGATCTCCCTCTGCAAAGTAGAAATTTGGTTCATTATCTGATATTTATCTAGTAGGCCCCTTAAATGCGGCCTGTGCTACAAGAAACATTAATGGCTATTCGCGGAAGGGGAAACTGGTTTACATTCAAACCCCGAATTAGAATTCAGTTAGAATACTAAATATTATTTTTATTTTGATAGTAAATACAAAGAAGTGACTTGGCAGTCAACTATCAAATGTGTATCTCAAAGCCTAGTTGTACGATCTACTGAAATTGACAATGCATCATTATCTAGTCGACCTTTGCTTTGATTATAAAGCGCGAAGATCCTATTATATTAACATTTAATTAGTTAGACTTGGCTTTTTTTTCTACCAAGGCAGAAACCTGGATAGAGTAAATATTATACTACGTACCTATATTCAGTTAAATCGCTTGCCGCTATATATAATTTGGTGTATGGGACTTGGTAAATGTGGATTCATAAAAGTAATAGAGTATTTGGCAACACAGTGAATACCTCACTATTGGGTACGATAGTTCATGGCAACTAAATTAAAGCTGAAGTTGTTGTAACGTCATACCTGTTACAGTTAAATAATCGACCAAGCGTGTGCCAAGTGTTATTTGAGCTTATTGCTTATTGCTAACTATCTCTTTGTCGTGTTCAATGACTTTATATGAGGTAGTTACTTGAAAAGCAGCCAAGTAAACCTGAAGTGGATCGAACAATACCAAACGCTTTTCTATCCCAGTCAGAGATTATACTCTTGATGGATGTCATAGATAGAGTGAATGTCGAGATAGATAGATCGAACTCGTATAGCCTGCCTTTTTATCCTCTTACGAGGCGTTATGCGCCTGTTATGTAGTAGATAGACCCTTGTAGCTACCCCTTACCCGCTTATGCCCTGACAATCTTAGGTTTATAGGCTCGACTGGAAATTCTACATCGAGCAGCTTAATATTGATGCACTTTGTAGCGTAATCCCTCCTCTTACTTCAATACGAAGTGGGTGTTATTGCTACCAAGAGAGTTCAAGGCAAATCAGAGAGTACTCCATTGACACTGCAACATGTGCAGCAAATACCTGCCAGCTGCCAAGCCTCAGCTACATCATCAGCTTACTAGTCTTAAGCTAAACGTCGAAGCGACAAAGAACCTGGTGTTATTGCCAAGTATAGCTTCCATACTTTAGACTACTGATAGTTGTCAATCTATCACCTGGTAACTTCGCCTTCTAGGTACCGAATGATGAAGATTCGATGACTTAGAGGCGTTTGCTTGGTGGACGTTCTATGTAGCTTCGTGAAGCCACCAACATCCCGAAATGCGTTGAAGAATAACCCTTCATTTAACCCTTCATTTTTTCGACAATGTCGTCCTTCGGTCGCAGTTCATGAAACTTATAGTTGTAAATAGATCCTTGACCTGTTGCAATAGTTTCATCTTGGAGACAGATTTCTCCTCCAATAGCTCGCATTGGAGTTTCAGCATTTGAGCTTGCTTGCTGTCAGGCCTGCCCTCTATTGTGGCAATGACTCGTTTAGTAAGCCGTTGAGCATTATCAACCAGAACCGAAGCGATATGGATCAAGAGGACGGTCTGCATCGTCGAAGCGGCCGTATTGGTTGCAACAAAGTTTCCAACTCGAACTTCTGGTACATGCACATGCGGCTCGACAAGGTCGGGTGACGCCAAGGTGACCTGAGTACACGCTCTCGCGCAGCTGATAATAGTCCCTATCGCGTCTACAACCTTGGCATGGCAGGATACCAGAAGGTTAAAGAGAAAGGTATCAATTTCATTCTGATCATCACCCGGGGTCGAAAAGAAGGCCGCTATATCGTCAGGCAGCTCGGACAAATGAAAGCAATCGGGATCCTGGCAGTCGGGAGAGTCTGACGCATCAAAAAGGACGCTTAGGACCTGTGGGTAAATATCCGTAAGGCGTTGGGCTAGAGCGAAGAGTTGCTCGATACAGACGGTGCGGGATGTATTTTCAACGAATTTATCATGATATTCCTTAATTGGTCGATTTTTTGGTATATGGACGTGCGATACAGATAATAAAGTTATGGAAACCTGATTAACCTCAACAGCCAAGGAGGTTAGTAGACGAACACAGGTTGACCGTGGGTCCTGCGAAGTAGGCTCTGATTGTTCGACTTGTTGATCTGGTAGGGATTCTTGGGAAATTTCTGGAGGAGTAACTAAGGCATTTTCAAATTCCAAAGGAGGCCAGTCAAACTGCATGTTCATATCCAGGTCGCCGTTCAAGTAGGTAAGATTAGAGGCCGGCAATGCGCGTCGAGCGCTAAGTCCGGCCGGGCTGAAGATACAAGTGGCGCCGGCCTTGAGACATCTTGTACAGGTTGCGACTCCAGGCTGCTTCGGACATTTGAGCTTGTGTGAGTGACAACGATCACAGCTCGATCTTAAGGGACGTGGCATATCGGTTTTCGTATTGTCTACGTTTCATTCCGTAGCTAAATGCTTAATAGTTAGACTAGCACCTAGCACCTAGCACCTAGCACGCTGATAAGCTCATATATAGGAAATGACTTTATGATGTTGACTCTAATAAAAGGCAACGGTGGGGAAATGGAGGGACACGAGGTACTAAGTGCCTAGGTTCAATAGGTTAAAACATTAGCTCTCTTACAGCTGAGGATCTCAATTCATAACTTTTAATTCATAACTCTTAATTCATAACTCTTAATTCATAACTCTTAATTCATAACTCTTAATTCATAACGAGCATAAGTTTCTTAATATTTTTATGTCAAGCATGATTCTACGCTTAATCTGCTTCAACTGAGTCTACACCTCATCCCAAAGTCATCCTTGACCATCAACCCAAAGTCTAACCCGATTTGGCAAAAGCTGGGGCCTTGGATCCAACATTTTAATTGGTTGCATTTGACGGGGTCTGCTTTGGGGTGAGCTTTGTACGATTTTGGGGTGAGTTTTTAGCGTTTTTAATTATTAGAATAAGGCTAAATGCCCTGTAATTACAGCGCATTATAACCATTAAGTTCCTTGTATTATAGCGCTAAGCACTTAGGTTTTTAGCGCGCTTTATTTAATCAATTCCTAATCGATTAAAAATTGATTAAATATGCGCTTACCTATTTTTTATCTTTTACTTATTTTAAAATAAATTTTTTATATTTAAATAAAATAAAATAAAAATCAATAGTTAATCGATTAATAATTAATTATTAATTAATTATATTAAATTTATTTATATTTTATTAAGTCTTATAATGCTATATAAAAACGTATATTTACATAAATATAATGTTAGTAAAATAGTAGTTAAGTTTTGGGTGCGCTAGTACTATTATGGTGTAAAATGGTCCACATATGCCTGATTGGGTTAGACTTTGGGTTGATGGTCAAGGATAACTTTGGGATGAGCTGCGCCCTCGCTTCAACTTACATGTAGGTAAGAATTCATCCGAGGTAAATACGCAGTGATATAATATTTGTTCTAATATTTCATTCTAAAACTCCAAGCATAGGTAATCACTTCTACATTCCATTCCATTCCAACTGAAACTGTTCGCAAACGTTCTAATACCGCTCGTCCGGAGTTCGATACCAATTGGCACGCATACTATGTAAAGCCTCATGCAAGCCGCCCCCTTGTAAAGCCCCTCTGCACGTGCTAATAAAATCTATACTATGTAACCTAGGTAGATAGGTATATGTCCCCGACGCCCATAAAGCAAACAAGACCTGCTGATAAACGCCACTAAAGGAGTCAACAGGGCTGGTTGGTCTGGCAGGTGGGATTCGCGTACCTACATGGTGACCGGGCGACAGATCTATCACCAGATAAGGTCTTGCTGCCGCTGGTGCAGATGTCTCAAAATCTTATCGCCTAGATCGTAGATGCGAAAGAGAGCCTTACGCGGTTATATATCGCCCAACTTGGGAATTACTTATCTTCTTTTGTTTCTTCTCATATTTCCTCCTCGAGCTTCTATATCTTACCTCCTGCTACTCTTATGCTGTACCTGATTAAATAACTATGCATGTCGGTATCATAATAGCGATATTGCGTGGGGTTTAGGCAAGCCAATCGAATTTGATGGATCTCAGCACTGTGGGCGCTGTCGTCGAGGCTCTGGTTGCAACATACGCAGCCGGCCTGGAATACTACACCAAATGGCAACACCGAAAATGGCAGGAGAATCACTACGAGACTCACTCTAGAGGCAATATAGGCCGAACCAATACATGTGCTTTACGCACGTCTTTGAGTTTCTCCCCAAGCAAAATTAGGGAGGCATTTGATAGCGGGGTAGATATCTTCGGCACTGGCTTCTCTGTTGGAGATGGTGAGCTACCTTGAACATATTAGTACTTTAACCTACGTCTCCTAATCATAAGATGCAGATGTATGTCGCGAGAGCCTAAAGCGTGACCTCGAACGTCTACAGGAGCGCGTATATGCCTTGCGCAAAGCTACTCGTGCCGACAACGGCTCACTTGAGCTCTTCGAGGCTATTCGTGTATCGGAAAGCGTTCGTATCTCCTGTTTGGCTGCCCTGGCTAGCCAGTATAAACGAGTTGCCGTTGGCCGTCTAGTGCCACAAATCCTACCAGGAACTAGACGGCGGTCGAGGCTTAGTGTTATAACATCTGAAGAGGATATGGCCAATCCGGTCGCCGTTAATAACAGTAGTAGCAGTATTGATGGCGACGCAGCCGGGTACGCACAGTCAAAATACGGCCTAGAAGCCCCTAGCAAGCCGCCGAACTCTCAATCAGAACCACCGTCCCCGCCACTGACTCCCAAGCAAGTTCCAGACGATCTTCAATCAATCCGCACAACGATCACATCTGATTATTGTCCGCAGCCAAAGAATAGCGTATTCAGCATGTTTTGCCCTGGGGCATTAGAATATCAAGTTAATCTTCAAAAAGCGATGCCAGAAAACCAGAACTGTAGATGTGGATATGATTGGAACGGAGTGCAGACCGAAGATAAGACCTCCTTCATGGTGAAGGAAGGGTTTGAGATTACAGCTCGATTCCTCGGGAAATCACATTGCGACGGCGGGTTTGGGTGCGTTTTATGCACTTCAAGCGGCAGAACAGAGAGGTACGCAAGGGTTGAAGATTTGAAGGATCACATAAACGCTTCCCACACTAAGTGGCAATTGCTTCACGATCAAGACATGGCCGGCCAATACGTAGGAAGTAGCAGCTCAACGGCCTCCCCTACGCCATCAGGCTAATCGCCGTCTTCGCCAGCTTCTTTATGCTTATTTTCAATCATTCTAGCAAGCGTTGTGGAAGTTCTGGCGTTGGTATTAGCTCTTCTGGCGTTGGTATTAGCTCTTCTGGCGTTGGTATTAGCTCTTCTGGTGATGTTATTAGAGATACCCGGGATAGTAGCTAGGTAGTTGGAAGTCACCATAAACAAATTTATGCGTATTGATATGTATATTATGTAGTTAGACATGTTATTCTACTGATTTCCTCCAAGTTGCACTATGCATGAAATCAAGTCGATGCACGGCAGATGGCATAAATATCGACCACAAGCTCCTTACCTAGAACACATCACATTTATCATTTGCATGTTACTCTATAAAAACGGTGGAATTTTCCTCCATCCCCAACACGTGTTATCAGCATATGGGCAGAGAGAATCAACGTCTTACACTTACATACGAAAGTAACCAATAGCTCTCAACATGATGTATTAAGCAACTATGTAATTATCTGAATCCAAGAGATGAAGTTCTCAAGTACGTTCAACCCCCAACCCTAACGGGATAAACAACCCGTAGTTATCCAAATTTCCCAGGATGGTTTGGTAATCAGGGGCACCCGAGCTATCGAGCGGAGCCTCTATTGCCCCGAGCTGCTTCGATCGTGAAATCTGCCCCGATATCGTAAACTCAAAGTGCCTGTTCACAGCGTAGCGATTACAAATTCAACCCTCCCTCTCTCTCTCCTCATTTAACAATCTTACAACGTCAATTGCACGTAGAGCAAACGTAGACATAGAGGTATAAATAAAGTCTACATTTCATCCTGACTCCAAAATGACGATATCAAAAGCAAAAAAGAAATCTTAACGCTTCGGTGACGTCACCATGGCCCAATCCACATTCCCCAAGAGATCCGTCTTCGTCACCGGCGCGAACGGGTACATCGGCTCCGCCGTCTGCCGGGCCTTCGTGCGTGCCGGCTGGCGCGTCTACGGGCTGATCCGGCGCCCCGAAGCAGCTGGCACTTTATACTCCGAGGAAACCACCCCTATCATCGGGTCCATCTCCACCAACGCCACGTTCCCCGAGGCCCTAGCCAAATACACCAAGACCCTCGACGTCATCGTCTCGTGCACAGAACAAGTCCCCTTCGGCGCGCACTACGACGTCGCCATCTCCCTCATCCGCAAGCTCGCCGCCACGTCCAACGCCAACGGCATCCGCCCCCTCGTCCTCGCCAGTTCCGGGTGCAAGGACTACGGGACAACCGGTATCCACGGATCCCCGAGCCTCGCCCCGCACACCGAGGCCTCGCCGCTCCAGCCCATGGACATATTGAAAGAGCGCGCGTTCGCATGCCTCAAGATCTTCGAGCACGAGGACTTATTCGACGCGGCGCTCCTGCGGCCCACGCCCGTATACGGCTACGACAGCAGCTACTACGGCCTGGTCTTCGAGCTCGCGGCCGCAGCTGCCCAATCCGAACCCCGCGTTTTGGAAATCCCGTTTGATTTCGCCACGATTATCCACGGGTGCCACATCGACGACTGCGCGGAAGCTTACGTCGCGCTTGCTGCGCACGCGGACCGGGACGCGGTCGCGGGGCAATGCTTCAATATATCCGCTGGCCAATATGAGACTTTGGCTATGATTGCCGACGCGCTGAAAGCTGAGTACGGACTGCGCGACGTAGTGCGGGCGCCGACTGGGGTTGAGGCCGATTTGTCGATGTACATTGCGCTGGGCCATAGCCAGTGGGTTGACAGCAGCAAGATCCGGCGACTGACCGGGTGGACGGATAAGAGGCTGCCGTTCTGGGAGGGCTTGCCTGTGTATCGCATGGCATATGAGGAGGCGGCTCGGAGGGGCCACGAGGGTGTGTTAAGGGTTAAGGAGAGGTTTAGGAATGTGCTTAACGGGACTAAGAAATAGCTTGAGGATACTGGTATAATGGTGTGAGGTTTAAAGAGAGGTAAGGTAATTGAATAACAATTATATGAAATATTACCGCCTATTATACCTATACTCACGTTAAGGCATCTTAGAAACGACGAGAAGTAGCTATATTACCTAGGTGCCTAATCTCTAACCATTAATATGCAATTATTAGACGCAAAGAAAAGATGCATATAGTAGCCGTTGAGAAACATTATTTTGCTCGTCAATCCTGACTCAACTCCTCACCCCAAGCCGCGTCCAATTCACTTCTGTCTTTTTCGACGTCGATGCTTAAGGTATAGTTCGATGATGATGATGATTGCTTCCTTACACTTGTAGAGAACGTGGCTGTATGGTGTGTACTAACATAGCCCTCCTAATTACATTAGAATGAAAGGAAATATGTAGTTTCCGTCGCCCCGTCGCCCCGTCGCCCCGTCGCCCCGTCGCCTTGCACTGAGAATTGTTAGGAATAGACGCGAAAGTTGGAACTCCAGGGGCAATAAAGAAAAACGAGTAGCTGTAGGTAATTGCGGTATCGTTGGCGGACTTTAGGCGATGGGGTTAGGAGTCCCAGGCGTGTATTCGATGTGTAAGACGTATGTGTGTGTGGAAGAAGGGGCTCGCGGAAGGGTTTACCTTGAACTATTTCGTGCTCCGAGTAAATGATCTCGGGTCAAAATATCGATCTCCGTTCTTCCCGATCCCCCAAATACAAATGGGGTGAAGAAGACATTAATAAATAACTGAGCCATGGTGTATATGACTGATGGCCAGGTTTGTAAATTACCAGTCCGTCCAGGTATCCCCAAATGAAACGCATAAAACGTCCAGCCCGGAGAGCGCCCACAAGGCAACGAAGTGAAACATAAGTAGTACAAAACTCCCTCTTAAACCCCAGCTCCAACGTGACAAACCAGATCCGATACGCCTGTGTTGTCCCCTTTCGTAGTTAGACAAGGCTGTATCAGTCTGCAACGGTATACCGAGGTCAATTCCAGCTAGGCCGAGAAGGGGTACCCCGACCCCGAGACTCATGGTAAAGGGCCAACATGCCCTGGCGATTGATACGACTTTGACTAGAAATATAACTAGCCGAATGGTAAATATTATCGAGTCGCAGTGGCGACGAACGAGATAAACTAAGTTACCTCGGGTCTGTTGCCCTAATGTTCCTAATGCACCGGTCGGGGGTGCTAGTAATAGTGGCGTATGTAGAGTAGGAGATGGCTGCGAATGGGCAACCCCAGTAGCACGGCCGCGCTCTGGGGATAAACGTATAAGATTCTCATGACTTCGTGATAGGGTCATGGCCTGTGGGCGGTGCCGAGGCGTGCTAGGCGTGCCATACTTCTGAAGGCTGCTACGGTAGTCTATTTCTGGAGAATGACTTATAGCTGGTGAGTTCCCCTCGCTAGGAGATGTTACGACTTCCTCGGGGACCAAAATGTTACGATGGTGCTTCTGAGGGTCGGGAATGGGGGTACTAGGAGGCATAGGTGAGTCAAGGTTTTGAATCCGCCGTCCCTGGAGACCGATAGAAGGGCTTGTACTTCGCCCTCGTAGACCGCCGTGATATGATTCGTGATTCATCACGCTCAGTACTTCCGTAGCGCTAGGTCGTTCGGCGGGATTGAGAGCTAGCATCTTTTTGAGTAGTTGGTAGAGCTTTGATGGAAGGTCAGGCCGCTCCCGCTTTTCGTCCCGGAAACCCTTCCAACCAGCGATTTCTGCTCGAAGCAGGTCAATGTCTTCAAGTTCTTCCTGAACGGCATTGGCATTCACATAGGGAAGTCGACCAAAGCATAAGAAATATAGAACCATGCCTAAAGAGAACACGTCAGACTTGGTTGTAAAATTACCAAGACGACCTTCGGCGTCCCTCTTCAGGACCTCCGGGGCACAATAGGAGATTGTACCGGTTGTTCCCGTCGAGTTCCGGATAGCATTTTCGGGCTGTACTTCGCCGAAGTCGCTAATTAAACAGGTAACCTTTCCACTTTCGTGATGTAGGAGGCAATTACTAGGCTTTAAGTCACGGTGAATATAATTGGCACCGTGAAGATAGGCGAGGCCGGATGTGATGTCTTTGAAGAGGGAATATATCTCCTCGAACGATAGACGACGTAGAGAGGGGAGAACGCTATGGGGTTGATCAGCAGCGCCCCTTGACTTGCGGCGCATCCGAGCTATAAGTTCCTCCTTCGTGGTTTGCTTGGGCCCATCCCCGGCGACATAACGTAGTAGGTCGCCGCCATTGCAGTACTGTTGGAGGATGAAGGCGCAAGCGACGCTTGGCCCGAAACGGTTCGTCTTCACGTCCTCCAGCCAGACATGTCGATAAGACACTAGATTAGGATGCGAGAGCTTGGCGAGTAGCTCGACTTCTATCAAGACTTTCTCCAACCACGCATGGTCGTCCCCCACAGGAACCCGCTTACACGCGAAGTGGCCAAGAGCACATCCATCAATCTCGTGGCGAACCAGCAGTACGACACCCTTGCCGCCCCGGCCGAGTTCCCTCTCCTCGACAAAGAACCTCTTAAAGTAATTAGGACTAAATGCATCTCTTCTTATGCGTGCCCCCTCTTGAGGGGCGGGCGAGCTGGATATGAACTCGGCATCTTCGACTTCTTGGGGTCTCGGACCACCGCTTGGCAATGTGGGTTGTGTTAGTCGACGTATGGGACTCGGTGGAGGCTGCCGTTGAGCATGTTGCGCATCTTCGTCATGCCCTGCTTGGAGCATGCGAAAATAGTTCGGGTTGACATAAGAGTCAGGTGCTTGAGTCGGAGGATCGAAGTGTCGGTCGGGTGAGGGTGGACGAAGAGACTGGTGGCAAGTGGGACATTCTGTTATGGTGGCGCCTCGAATCTCGAGGCGTTGCGACGAGGGATCACGGACAACGATAGCATTGCGATGTCGTCTAAGACAAAAATATATTTAGCAGCATAAACTAAGAGATATAACATATTAAACATATTGAACACGTTGATAATGATGATAATAATTCACACTCGGTCCTCCTCCTCCCTCCACCTCGAACTGGGATGACCGATCATCATGGCGGGGCATCGTAAATGGGAAAAGGGAATGACGTACAACACGATTTCACGACCGTCTCGAGCCGTGTAGGGAATCAACTCCATTACGCGACAGCTAGACAGGTACCATTTGGTAACGGCGGAGACTGAAGAGACGTAATGATCATGAGGATTCGTAGTTCATATTCATCATTTTATACTATATAGATAACTGGTCAACGAAGTATGTGGTATGAAAGGAGCTGCCCTTCGCGAATAAGGTGTATGCTTTTTTTTTTCTTTTGGCATGTATGGTTTGATTTTTATTTGTTTGGACAATGGATCCAGGAGATGCAATGGGGAAGATGTATTGAATCCTAGCGGCAAATCAGATCGAAAGCGTCTCCCCCGGAATACGCTAAAACTTAGGTTAGCAAATGGGACCTTGTCAGCTGCTTTACAAGCCCTTCTTGCCTGCGTTGTATATTAGGTACCACCTACCACCGAAGGTAACCTCAGGGTGGTAAGTTCGGCAAATTCTCGTCTTCCGTTGCAAAACCCTTGCTGCTATGACGTAAACATGTAAAATAGGTAAACATTAACCTAGTTACCTAGGTTAGGTACTAATAGTTTGGCGAACCGTTGTGGTTTTTAATTCGATCTAATCGTAAACATGTTCACGTATAATAATTAACAATTAAGAAAAAAAATAAGGATATGGCCAGAGCACCGAGTAACAAGGTTTCACTATACTTCTTATCACCCGATCCATTTCTCGATAGTGTCCCTCATGGTTGATAATGGACTTTGTATATCGACCTCTGGTGTAGATGTTTCCCGCCTAACGGCATCGAATGGTTTTTGTTCGGCAATTTCGTCTTCGGAAAACCAAGCACCGTGTAAACCGTAAGGCACTCGTTGAGGCAGCCTAATTCTTGCTACAATATCTCGCATGTTTATCGCGTTAATAATCCAAAGCTCGCTAACAGCATCATCACGGCATTCTCCTTTATCGTCAAGTTGGGACTCGTCAAACACATAAGTAAGCAACCAACCGTCATCCTCTGTCGCGGGGTTTGCACGCGGTACAAAACGCGGTTCTTGTGCGAACCAACCCTGGGGCATTTGGAAAAGCTTTACCGGGTCATTTTCGTCTGTGCTCTGCATTACCTCGTCAACGCCTCGGGTATCGACACAACCTTTGATCTGTTTCGGTGGATGAGCAATGCCTTGGTCAATCAGCGTCGTTGCGTCCATCTTTGCTAGGTACGCGATTTTGGCCCCTTTTCCGAGGGCTGCAGAATAGGACATGCCACCCGTGCTGCAGCCATATATGTAGCGGGCTAAACTCATGGCGTGAGATGGTGATACTGTCGGGAATTCAAAGGGAATGGCTGATAAGGCCCATTGATTTCTGATCATCGGTGCCTTGCCCGATTCCGTATTGGCGAGCGGGAAACTATAATAGTATAGCCTGCATTGCTCCTCTTCGAAGTATTCCGGGGGTACCGGTTTAAGCAGAGGCGATGTAAGTGCACCGGCACTGTACACAATCGATGCTGAGGTGAGACGGCAAACAAGAAGGTGAACGCACGTCTCGGCTTCTGGTATTACCAAACCAGTTTCCCAACAATTAGCCGTGTGAAATATTACGCACGGGTTCGTTTCGAACCATTGTATTTTATGTGGCTCATATCGGGGAAAGACGCCATATCGCGATTGCTCAGTTGGGTCGTACGAAATAATCGTCTTCCCTCGCATGCTGTTCATAGGATCTAGAGACAAAGGAAGGTCAATTATGACCGTGTGGCGTGCCGCAACTCCAAAGTCGTGCATCATCTTAGGCGACTTCACTCCAGGAACTGGCATGTCAAATCTCGGCCCTGAATTGCTCGCCTTAGCCGGAGATCTGGTTGATGGGACTATCGAATAGTAAACGAACGGCTTAACGAAGACGGCATGAAATGAGATGAGTTCTTTCGTAATAGGGTCAACATGTGGATGACCAGTTGTCCATTCCCTCATAAACGCCAACAATCCATTCCCACCGAAACCTACTTTATCGTCTAAAATGCCCTCATTCTCCGCCTTTCGACCGTTATACCACCCTATGGTCTCTAGACTAGGGAGATGGAATCTCATCGGTGGCCCACTTTCGCAGGTCGCTAAAGCTCTACCATCGTGATATATCACACCAGTATTAGCGACGCTGATCCTCTTGACGGCTCTTTTGGATCCTGGTAATCTCGATAGGCATATTAGAATTAATGACCTGAGTACCGCCACAACGATAGCTACTAACGGGGCGCTGAGTAATGTTGCAATACTAGGTAGTAGAGGCCGCTTCAAATTGTTGCTGTCCTTTGCGTTCAGGTAGACATCTGTCAAGACGTACTGATTCACAAACTCTGGCTCGATATTACCTCCCTCTTTCCCGCGCTTAAAGAGGACACCGGTGAGCATGCCATCGCCGTCGAACCAGTGTAAATCTCTCCCTTGGTTATCATTGGTGGTCGGATTCCCGCCGTTACGGACATATTGACCTCCCGCGAGTTCTCTCGGAATATGTCCGATACCAGAGCATCGCGTTAGTGTTCGAGTTTGTTTGATGGGCGCAAAATTTCCAGACAGATACCTATATTCAGCAATTAGTATTGAATATCCTTCTGAGCTCTATCCAAGCGCTTACGGGTGCGAATTCTGCTTCTGTCCCGTCATGCTTTAGCCGATTCACACACATGTAGGCCAGCTATTAAAGGATGCCTAGTAAGATCGTATGGAAACGACCAGTCCTGATTACGACTATTCCGTGCTGACTTTGGACTACGTCAATAATATAAGGGCTGGCGTTTAGTATAATTTGGGTCAGGATTCAACTTATACAAGCGATGCTAATTCTTGACTAGGTTTCGTCGGCCGTCCCGCTATGTTTAGCATCACCTGTACAAGCAAAGTATAATGTGTCATGGGATTGCGATGACGACATACACCAAAAGCAACAGAAGACGATAGCTAGGTAGGTACACAGCAAGTTGGTTTCATGAACAATACCTAATTTACGAGGTATCATCATATAGTAATGCTCTAAAGCGTCATAACTCTCCGAGGAATTGTACGAGTAACTAGTACGACAGAGTAACCATGTTCCATTCCCTGTCGGTCTTAAATTTCAGGATATCAAGGATCTAAGAGTAAAAGCTTTGAAAGGGGCGTTATGAAATAGCTGCTATCATTCAGTTAGATGATATCACGAATTCCGTGGCCGGCTAGTTCGGAGACTAGAGATAGACAGCACCACTATCAAAACTCAAATCTAATGGCAACAGGAAGCTCTATGCAACAGAGTTTCCTTGGAGTTCCTTTGTTACCCGGTCTGAAGTTCAGTTGACCGTCAGCTTAGGTTATCTTCCTTGATTGGGAGTTCGTCATACATTCACGGAGACATGGTCAGGACCTTGTAAACAGAGACAGTCTGGTAGGTTCCCAAGGTTGCAGCAACATGACATGATTGTGTCATCTGCTGAAGTGCTCTACGAGATAATGAAGTCACCATTGACAAGATTGCCCACGCTTTCGTCTGGGTTGGATCTTGCATTCAAATATCCTGTTGTGCGTCCACATAGAGACAGTGTCGGTCTTCAACTATTAACCACCTAAGAATTAGACTCATGTCCGCATTCTATAATTCACTTATTCTATCACTATCCGAAACTGCGCAGCGCATACTAAGACCAAAATGTCTGGACTTGGAAATCAAGCACTTAACATCAATAGTGTCATTGGTGAGCATGCCAATCTAGAAATCACCCGTCACGGTTCAGATTGGTACTATGCAGTATGTGCCTTCATGGGTTTTTGTACTCTCCTCTTCATGGGCCTAGCTTTCATGAAACCTCAGGGTGATCGTATATTTCACTACATCACCGCGGGTATAACCGGCGTCGCGTGTATCGCTTATTACGCGATGGGGTCAAATCTCGGACAAGTTCCCATTCAGGTTCAATACATCCGACCCGGTAGTCGCCTGGTGCGAGCGGCAGGAACCCGAGAAATATTCTACGCCCGCTATCTGGATTGGGTTATAACGACACCTTTGCTGCTTCTCGACCTTCTCCTGACTGCTGGAGTACCGACTTCAACGATTTTAGTTACTCTTCTTGCCGACGAGATTATGATTATTACTGGTCTAATCGGTGCTTTAACTCGAACTCGGTTCAAGTGGGGATTTTGGGCCTTCGGAATGGCGGCGCTATTATTTGTTGCTTATGAACTGCTGATCAATGCTCGACGACACGCTTCGATCCTAGGCGGAGACGCGAAGAAAACATTTATGCTATGCGGCAACTTTCTTATATTTATTTGGTTTATGTATCCTATTGCCTGGGGTCTGAGCGAGGGTGGCAACGTCATTCACCCTGATGGGGAGGCCGTATTCTATGGTGTTTTGGATATCCTAGCCAAGCCCATCTTCGGCCTCCTCCTCCTTTGGGGTCACCGCAAGATTAGCAGTTCACAGCTAGGTCTACGCACCCGTAATCGCGGCCATATCACAGGCGAGAAGTACGATCACGGTGCCAGTATCCACCCCGAAGGCCCCGGGGTAAATGTCGGTGGCCCTACCACTACTACCACTGCCGGTCATCCCACTGCCACCCATACCGCCGTATGAGCCATAATTTTGGTATCACGAAGAGCGACCAGCCGTCGTCGGCCGTGTGAGAATCTACCCCTATTTAACCTAAATACTTGAATATTATATCGTCACTTGAGGCCGCTACTAATTACCTTCAACTCGCTGCCGCCATTATGTTCTCAAGTTGGGGGTTAGATGTATATATTTACAGCATGTTAGCATATTACATGACCAGCGAAGTAATCATAGCTGGCACGCAATTCACTGATAAGATGAAGGGAAATCTAGAACCATCATGTTTCATATACCTTAAGCCTAGGCGGTAATAAAAGCAAACATATCACACTCGCAAAATTGCTAATAATCTTTAAATATTAGGTATAATAAGGCAAATTTAATAACGTCCAATTGCATTTTACCCCGCCAATATTAAAATATTTTAATAAAACCTTATTATTTTAATAAGTAATTATAAATCTAATATTAAGTTTTATATTTTTTAAATTAAATTATGTAATAGTTTAAAATTAAGGCTTTTTAATAATATTAAATTTAATTGGTTTAATATTTTATATATTACTTATTTACCTTAATAATTGTTTTTAATTTCCTTTTTATATTAAAGGTTAACCGATTTAATATTTCCTTTTAAAACTTATTAAATAAGACTTAAACGTTTTAGCCTTGGATTAAGCCTTATTAAACCTGATATCAAGGACTTTTAAATGATGAAACTGATGAAGGAAAGGAATGACTTGTATTAAAAGTGGATGATACTATGTAAAATGGGTGTGTGCG